TTGCGGTGAAAGCGCGGCGAGCCGTTGCGACTACGACCAGACTACTTCAAAAGGCAAGAAGGGGGGAAAACGCAGCGGCCCTCTGGAGCTCGTTTCAGTGGCTTCGCGTTGTCTTTCCACTCCCTTCGCGTTGGGCAAAAGCACCAAGGCACCGACAACAGAGAGCAAAAGTTCTTTATATATATACACGAAGTACCCTCTCCGTCGACTTAAGGGAAAAAATCCTGAAAGCCGGCGGACCACGAATCAATCACGTGCGAAGGGGGGTGCCGCTCGCAGCAGGGTTCGGTGCAACTTGATATTTCTCCACCAACGTGGCTACCACGGCACGTCCGCACGTCCTCCTACTTCATCACGGTAACAACATCACAAGAAAGTCGCCTCTCGTGGACTTTCGCTCGCCAAAAGTGCAACGACATGAAAAGCGTGCGCCTCGTTGCGACGTCAGGCAGCGGAGGAGGGATGGAGACAGAGAGGGGGGGGAGGGGTAAACACACGAGCTGCGCCGACCCGCTGGGGGGACGAGCACGCGAAAGCCCGACGGCGCAACCGCACGCACAAAGCTCTCCACACCTTCCTTTTCTCTCTCTTTTGATGATCTCCATCTCCATCTGCGTTCGCTACGCTTCCTCCGCCTTCACTTGCGACCACGGTGCGCCCGCACCGCAGCCGCAGCCACAGGCCGTCGCAGCGCACGCAGCAGTCACGGCTTCCGCATCCACAGCTGCACGGGGCAGTGGTCGCTCTTCGTCACATTGGGCATCGGAAAGCAGTCCACCACGAACGGCATCAGCCGCGACGAGACCACAAAGTAATCCAACCGCCACCCCAGCCCCTTCGCGCGTCCGTTGATCCGCATAGACCAGAACGTGTACGCCGGCGCGGCGTTCGGGTAGAGGGAGCGGAACACATCCACCGCGTCGGTGGTGGCCACGGTCTGGCGAAAAGAGTTCCGCTCCTCTGGGGTGAAGCCGCTGCACTCCTGCATTGTCTTGAAGGTGCCGGCGTAGTACCGGTCGTAGTCGCGCTCCGCTACGTTCAAGTCACCAGTCCAAATAAACCCGTGCGGCGGTGGTGTTGTGTTGGGAGCGGCAGCAGCAGCAGCACTCTTACTGCCGCCGGACTTGCCACTCGTGCTACTCCAGTCATCCAGCTTCTTCAGGTATTCGCGCATCAGCGGGTCGAAGGACTGAACGCGGAGCGGCAGGCGGTCCAGCGTCATGCCGCTGTTCGGCACGTAGGTGTTCACAACGGCAAGTCGCGGCGCCGCCACGGACGAAGAAGAGGGAGGAGTAGAAGTAGAACTTTCAGGAGACAGGAATGTCGTCAAAATGCGACCCTCTTCATCGCCGGTGCCCTCCACTAGCGGCGCACTCAACGCCACTGACGCATTGTCAGATGGCAAGGTGAAGCCGCGGGTGCACCGCGCGTGCAGCTGCTCGACCATCGAGTGCGTCCGCATGTAGGTGCGCGTGCCGGAGTACCCTTTCTTATACGCACACGGGTGATCCACGAAGGCGTAGCCGTCCACCACGCCCAGCTTCGCGTTGCCAGCCGCGTCATCAACGTTCAGCTTCGTCTCCTGCAAACACAGAATATCCGGTTGCTCCGCGGCGAGGAAGTCCTTCAAGGCAGCGTCGTCTTTCTTAAGCATCCCGCGCAACCCCGCAACGTTCCAGGTGATGATTTTGAACATCTGCTGCGGGTCGAAATCGGAGTCGGTTGTTCTGCGCTGAAAAGTTGTGACATCGGCCCAGATTTCCTCCTCCGTCTTCTTCGTGTTGAGGCTCAGCAGCGCCTCGGCAGATCGCTCCATCTTCCCCAGCGAGCCGTTGGAGATCTTCTTGACAGGTGAGGGGCGCTTCGGCGGTTTGGCCGCCTTCTCACCTGCTTTGACCTTGCCGGAGTCCGACGGGCTGCGATCCCGTTTACCAGCCATGTCGAATGTAGGGGCGTAGGCTGCGTGTGTGTGTGTTTCCCTTGTTTATGCGGAAGTCGAATCGATAACGACAACTCACTGGGGAGCTTGAACCGACCAAAACCAGAAGACACAAAAAATTGCACCCTCTCGAGCTCTCTGCTTTCGTTGGTGGTCGTGTGTGCGCGACGTCTATCAGAGAGGCGAATGAACACCGATAATATTTATTACTATTATTGTATGCAAGTAAGGAAGTATTACACTGCAGTAATCATAGAAGAGGACAGCGGTATAATATCAACAGTAGGTTTTCCTTCTTCCTTTTTATATAGAAGGAGTAGCTTGTCTAACTCTCGAGGCACACATGATGTGATCTCTGCTGTCGGTCTTCTGCGCGTCTTCGACCGTAATCGATGATGCACACGCCCACAGCACCGCAGCGATAAAGGTGACTCGCGTGAGTTATAAAAGCAGAAGAGCCTTTTTATCAAGAAATGCAGCGAGGGCAGGCAGCCGCGCCGCTGCACGCTCGCCTTCAATGCGCATGGCCAGTGAGCTCCGTCCTTCCATGGGACCCACACAGCAGCTTCAGTCGTCAGCATTGGCCTTCTTCTTGTGTTCGTTTGTGGTTTTCTGGTTATTCCACGGCAAGGGTGCAAAGAACAGCGAGCATCTTAAGTCCACGCAGAGAGAGAGAGACAGAGATTGAGAGAGCTGTATGCGCGCCTTTCTTCTTCATTAATGTGTTTTTACCTCCCCCTCCCACCGCAGCCACAGAGCCCATTTTCGTCGGTGCATCGACCTCGCTTAACCGGGCCGGCTGCGACGCCGCACGCCGCGCCACGACCTCCACCACAACACCAAGAAAGGAGAGACAGGAGAAAATAAAAGAGGGAGGGGGAGATGCGCGTGTGAGCGCGTGGCGCAGTGAGCCACAAGCACCCCAATGTCATACCCCCCCCCCCCCCGACCTCCATCCTGATGCTGCTTCTTCTCTTCCTCTTGTTGTCGCACTGCTTTCAATGCCGGCGCTTCTTCTTCTGTACCGCCACGGTGGCCCCCACCGGGCCGGCCGCCTTCGCCTGCTGCGTCGACGCCGGGTCGCGCCTCAGCAGCGCCGCTGCGCGTGAGGTCCCGCCAGGTGGGCGGTACGCCTGCGGCTTTGGCTTCTCCTCCGCTGTCGCACGGGGCGAGGCAACGCGAGCCGGGTAGTCGCTCGGTGCCCTCATCGCCACCCAGTGCGCTCCATACAACATCGGGAACTTCTGCGTCAGCACCCGTGCGCCGTTCAGCTTCGTGATGACAATCTTGTTGTCCATTCGCAGCCGCGTGAAGACGGTGGAGCAGAGGAAATTGTAGCTGTCCGGAGCCCAGAGCTGGAAGCTACACTTCTCGTTGAACTCACCGATGCAGGCGGCGCTGCTACTCGCCACGCTGCCCGACGATTCGGCGGTGGCGGTGGCGGTCCCCACCGTCTGCGGGCGGGCGTAGAACTGAAAGTCCCCTGCCAGGTTGCCGCTTCCACCCACCACGAAGTACTGGCCGTTCGGCGCCCACGACACCGTGTTGCGCGGGGCCTCGCCAAACGTCACAAGCGCGACGCCGCTCCTGTTGAACAGCGTGCATTTGTTGCGCGGCATCTTGCCGTGAATTACGAGCAGCTCATCGGACGAAGGACCCCACTGGCAGTCGTGCACCGTCTCCCCTTCCCCCTTCAGGCGCACGTCGACGATGCTGCGGTTCAGGGCGTCAATAATGTGTAGCTTCACGGTACCGTAGTAGCTCTTGCCACTCGGGTCGCGCTCCGACTTGACGAGCAGGGCGACGTAGTTGCCTGAGGGGCTCCACGACACGCTGGCCGTCTCGGCGCGACCGAAGTTCACCTGATAGAGGGGCCCCTCTTGTACGTTGGGCAGGCGGTACACAGCGAAGGTGGCCTGGCGCTGCTTGTAGAAGGGCTTAAAGAGGGCCAGCATGGGACGCCCCTCCGCCGGCGCCATGGCGTACTCAATCTCCTTGTCCTGCGCCAGCATGAGGTCCATCTTGCTCAGCGGACCGCTGCCGCCTGCCTGCACTGTCGGCGTCGCCGGCGCCGTCTCGTGCTGTTCCGCGCCGTCTTCGTCTCCTGAAGCTTCATTGGAGAGGGAAGAAGACGAGGACGCGGTCAGCATGCCGTCCAGCACGTGCATCCACCCCTGCACCGGGCGCACCACGTACCTCTCCTCCTCCGTCCACACCATCGCCGGCCAGCGGGCCTGCATGCCGCGACGCAGCAACTGTCCGGAGGCGGACGCAAAGACACTCAAGTTGCCGTCCGGGGTTCGCTTCTGGTCCATCATGGCGTAGGACACCAAGTAGGTTCCGCGAGGTGAGAAGGCGAGACTGACGACGATGTGCGGCATCGGCACAGAGAAAATCGTACGGAGAGAAAAGCGGTGGACGTCATCCTCGGCCGCGTTTGTGTTCTCGATCACTTCGGTGTAGGTCAGAGTCGTGGTGGTGGCGTGCGCGAAGCGAGTGGGGTGGGCGGGGTTGAAAGCAACCTCGCACTCTCGGTAGTCGCCCACGTACGTGTTCGCCTCGTTCGCCAACTCCACGAAGCTGGCAGCCTTCTCGTTGTACACGGCAAGAAGAAGGCAATCGTCCTTGCGCAAGATCAACGGGAGCAATGGAGCGGGCATCTTCTGTCGCTTTCACTGTTGCTGTGTGTGTGTGTGTGTGTGTGTGTGTGCGAAGAAGCTTGAACACAACAGCAAGAAGTATGTGAGGGCGTCGACGAAGGCAGAGAAGTGGGCGGTGCCAAGTACGGAGAAACAGGCAGCTAATTGCGGACGCATTTTTATTATTATTGTTGTAAGTAAGAGAAACGGGTGAGAGGTGTCGGAGACTTAGTTCGAGCAGCAACCTACAAGAGAGTAAATGCGCTGCAACACACCATTTGCGAATGCGTCCCGCACACGCTGACTGCTTTCTCGTTTCGCCCTTCAAATATGGAGGCAAACGGAAGTGACGCACCTCCTTGTCGATCAGCAGCGGAGCCGCACGTGTACCTCGAACACCAAAACTGCCGTCTCCTTCCTTTTTTCGCTGTGACCAACGCAGGACGGCACCGCCGCCCTCTCCCTCTCCTTCTTGGCAGAAATAGGCTGCTTCATGTATGAAGCGCAGAGCCGCTGTAAGACATGTGCTCTGCTCTTCTTGTTTGCCAGTTTGATGCAAATGCGCCTTGCGGTGATGCACGCACCACGCGGGGACGTAAGAAGGTAACGCAACATGCGAAGACCGCAAAATCGCACCAGGCATTGTACAGATCTACTGTAAAATAATTTGTAAACAACAAGGAGGAGGAGGGGGGAGAAAGTGGCCCGCCATCCGGCGAAGAAAGTGAAAACAAAAGTTTGTATCTATGATGTGTAAGATGTATGTAAGATACGCCTCGGCACAGCGTCTTCTCCTCATCCTCCATGTTCCAGCTGTGTACACGGCGAAGGTCTAACAACGGAACGCTCTAGCGCGGCACAAAATTATCTCAATGAAACCCAATGAGCAACACTTTGCCTGAAAACTGAAGTGGCATAAAGCCACAAACGGAAAAAACAACAATAGAGGGAAGTAGTTAATAGCGAACGGGTGGTATCGGCGCAGGAGAGTTCCCCGCCACCGCTGTAAAGGTGTCCAACGGCGTCCCGCTGTGGCGCAGCTGTCGCATGTCCGCCGCGCTGTACAACTCTTCTTCGTCGTGCGCCTCCTCACGGTCCACTCGCACCTCGTCGCCGTCCTCGCCCTCCGCCCCTTCCTCATCGTTGTCTGACATGGGCAACACAATGGGCAAGTCAGGCGGCAGCGGCTCGCCGGGATGGTACTTCTTCAGGTACGGATTCCACTCCACAATGATCGCCACCGTGAGTTGGTAGGCTGCCGCAATGCCCGCTAAGGTGTCGTACTCCTCCTCCGCGCCTTTCTCGCCCCCGTGCCCCGGATTGTCCCTCTTATGCGAGGCGGCGGTCGCTTCCTCCTCTTCCTCACCCACCAAGCCCTCTTCCTCCACGGATTCCCTTTGGTGGGAGAATTTTTGCGACACGGAAGCGGAAGAAGTCGGCTGCGCCTCGCTCTCTCGGCCAGTGCCCCACCTGTCCATGCGCGGAGTGGACGGCGCGCGTTCTTCCTGTGGTGTTGGCCTCGGCGCCGCCACTCGTGATGACGGCTGCGTGGTCAACGGCTCCTCCTCCTTCTCTGAAAAGTCCACCTCAGCTGCAGCCGATCTCTGTACCTTCGGTGTGTATTCCGGGAGGGGAGAAGGAGAAGACACGGTCTTCGCCGGAGCCCACGGGACTGCCTTGGTCACCGCAGGAGCAGCAGCACCACCACTACCGCAACTGGCGCTCGTGTTCGCCCGCCGGGCCCGGCTCAGTGTCGGAGGAGGGCTGCACCCATTGCGGCCCAGCATCGCCGGGATGCGCGCCGAGGGCGTGTCCTCGATGCTGTCCTCCTCGAAGTCGCTGTCGCTGGTGAGGGGAGAGCGTTGCAGGCTACTGTTGTCACCACTTTCATTCCCCTCCTCTCTCTCCTCCTTGCCGTTTGGACCGCTTGACGAGGAGGTGTAAGAAGAAGAACTGATGGGACTGCACAACGGGCCCTCTGCTGCTATTGCTGCGGCACCGCACTGCGAGGACGGTGTCGGTTGTCGCCGCTGCTGCTGCTTCTGAACGGGGGTGGAGAAATTAACTGCTGCCGCCGCCGCCGTCGCTGCCTTGGCGGACTCCGGAAGCGAGGGGGGCGTTGGGTAAACGGCAATGGGCTTCTCCTGGCGTGCTCCTGTGTTCAGCGACGACATGGAGGAGGTAGAAGATGGCCCTTCGAGAGAGGGCGAAGTGACGAGGATCGGCGAGTTGGCGAGCTGCCGCGGGGTGGCACTCTCCGCAGGCCTGGCATTGCTGCTGCTCCGATCGTCGCTGGGGGAGGTGGCAGCCGACACGGTCGAAAGGGATGCACTGGGGTCGCGCACCACGCGCCTTAACGCCTCCTCGTCTTCCCCCGCTTTATGCAAAACGGAGGCACCGACTTTAGGGGCGTCAGCGAAAACATCGGCGGCCAGCCGCGTACGATCCGGTCTTGCCTTCGGTGAAGGGAACAGGTTCACCTTGACGCGCGACTTGCCGGTGCCGTCGGAGTGGTTCTTTGAACCTTCTAAATTGACATTATGAGGGGACAGCGCGGCGGACTTGGGTGGCGAGGTCATTGAAGGAGGCATTGCTGCTGCGCCGCTCCTTTGAGAGGTGGAAACGGTGTGCCGCTCCGCTGATCGCGTCAAAGGGCTGCTTGACGTCGACTGCGAGCGGCCGCGGGTGTGAACGGAACGTATGCTGGTGCCGGAGCTGCTGGCGCCGGCCGACGTCCGCAACGGCGCGTTGCCACTGTTTATCACCTCACCCAGCGGCTGTTGTGGGAGGAGCCGGAGTGGGCTCGTTGGCTCATGCGCCGTGGCGACGCCTGTCCCCGTGGCCGTCGGCGCCGCGGCAGACATCAAAGAAGTCGGTGTGGTCGGCGCCTCGCTCGCTTCACCCGTCGCGGCAGCCTTCTCCCCCTGCCTCTCCGGACTGGGCGACGGCTCCTCTCCAGTTACGTAGAACTCCCCGGAGCGGCCCTCGTCCGTCTTGCCCGCGGAAGAAGGCGGAGGAAAGACTTCTAACACCCCCATTATGATGGGCACCGGAGCGCAGGTGGGCGGGTCGGCCGACGATTGCGCCTCCGGCATCGACGGCTCCGGCGGCGGCGGGCTGTGGCTCGTCCCCCGTCCGCTCTCGCCCGTCCAGAGGCTCAGCCGGCTCGTGCTGCCGCCCTCACTGCCGCGCGGAACGCCGCTGCCGCTCCAGTTGCTGCTCAGCGAAGCGTTGACGCTTCTGGCGAGGGGCGCGTTGGAGATGAAAGCGCTGATGCTCGGCACAGAGCTGCCGGATTGTGGGGCGGGGACTGCGGCGGCGGCGGTTGGGGCGATGCCACTGGAGCTGCGTGGGTGCAAATTGTGTTGCTCAGAACTCTGCCCGCCGGAAGAGCGTGCGGACGACCGCGACGGAGCCGCGAGCCGTGGAGTGGGCTGCGTGGCCGAGTGCGGCTTCGAGAGCAGAGAAGGTCGCTGAAGAAGAAGTGGGGGGCCAGCAGAAGGGTTGGGGCCGGCGCGGCGTACCTTGAGGTAGGTGTTGGGCGGGAGTACGTCGGTGGCTTTTAATGAGTCGGGCAGTTGCGGGTTCCACGTCCGCAGATCGGCCATCGAGACCTGTAAGGCGGTGGCGACGGAGAGCAGCGTCTCGTCATCACGTTGCGCAGACGTGGTGTGGGAGCCGTGCGCCTCTAACGTGGGTGCATTTCCATTGGACTGCACAGCCGTCTTTTGCGCACGAGCACCACCTTCGCTCTTCTCTTTCTTCACTCCGTCTTTGATCGTTGGTGGGGGATGCTGGCGGACCGCGGCCCACTGCGCGAGTGCGGTGGCGCGTGCCAGCGTCAATTGCAGCTCTGAGACGGTGTCACAGCCATCTTCCAGAGTAGAGGGGTTGAGGTCGAGGGACTGCAATGCGGCATGAAGCAGCTGCAGTTGCGTCGAAAGGCCCTCCATTGCACAGGTCCCGACGGTTGGAGAGAGAGGGCGAGAGAGAGACAGACGCTCCGTCGAATGTGTGTTGTATGAACTGTCGTCTAGCGAAGGAATGATTCTCTAGTACTTTTGTGGATACTTCAATGTCGATGTCACGGTGGAAACGGGAAAGAATTGTTCCTTATGTACGTACACTGAGAGGTAGAAGTGATGTTTGGTCTCTAAAACGGCGCTTCAAGAATGGGAGCAGCGCGGAGATGCCGTTGATGGGGCAAATGAAAAAGAGGGAAAAAAATGCTCAAGAAGAGAGGAGAGAAAGGGAAAAGGTTCCTTGGTGTACGGCGCCGACGGAATAATGAAAGGCCTGCAGAGAAAAACGTGCTGTGCTTGTTGTCGTGGGCAACCAACGGCAGCGGAATGCCGTGACGGAAGGGGGCAAAGAGCCGCCACCAATTCGAGAGACAATACATAAAATATGTATATATTGGTAAGGGAATAGGATGAGAAGAAGAGGTAGAAGAGAAAGTCAACGTGGGAAGAGTGGGCGTGCCGCTGCGGCGGGACGTGAGCGGACGAACGAGAGGAGGAAAGACGCGAGCTACCCATGGCAGCGATATCCACCAGCACAGGTCCAAGGAGCGAGTGAACCACAAGAAGAAAACCAAAAAAAAACGTGCGTCGCACTTCGGCAACTCCTCCTTGGCTTTTCGTCTACGCCTCCACAGTTGAAGTAGCGAGACTTGTGCTTCGTAATGCTCACACGGGAGCTGATGGGTATCTTCTTTTCCTTTCTAATGACACGCAAATGGGGGCGGCGGAAGCAACCAACCGAAAAAGGCAGATGCAGAGCTGCCTGATGGCGCCTTCTCCTGAGACGAAAAAAAGTGTGTGTGTGTGTGTGTGCGCGAGCAGACTCCTCATCCATCGGTCGTAATCGCACTCACACGAGCCGCCGCGCCGCGTGCTCGGAGGCAGTTTTTTGCAACTTGCCAATAGCAGCTAGCAGCTGATCGTGCCGCCGTATGTCCCGCTCCAGCTGCTCCCGTGCAACGACCATCTCAGCCGTTGTAGCCGGCGATGTCAGGGGCGTTGCTTGGAATAGCGCCGGTCCGTACGGCGAGAAGGGTGGCTGAAGATGCACGTGTGCAGGCTGAGGAGAAGAAAACAGATGTGACACATCCGGCTCCACCTCCGCCTCGGCAGCAGCCGTAGCGGCAGACCACTTCATGGGTGAGTACCAACCCTGCTCGGCGGAACGGTAGTCGGGCAGCCCCACAAAAAGCGGCGGCCGCTGCGGGGAGCCGGCGGACGACAGCGGCGACAGGTCCACATAACGCTGCTCGGTGGCGAGGTAGAGGGCGTGCATGGCGGCCGCAGACGCGGTGGGAGGCCGCGCGCTTTCCCTCTGGGACGGGGCAGACGCTGGCAGCTCTGGCGGAGGTGCGTAGCGGTGCAGTTGCGGAGCAGCAGCAGCAGCTGATGATGATGATGATAATAACGCCGGCAGACCGGAGTTGCCTGGGGAGGAGTTCACCGGAAGGGCAGACGTCAATGCGGAAGGAAAAGGAGGCGAGGTGTTGGTGCCGGCCGTGACACGCTGATACTGGACACGGGACAATCGCGGTGGTGGACTGTCCACAGTGGACGGCGGTGCCGCTTCGGTGTCGTGATACTTATCCTTTCCACCTTGACTAGCTCTTCCCTTCCCACACTCAGCCTCCCGTGTTCGCGGCGTCACTGAGCTGTCACAGCTCACCGCCAGGTCTGCCGGCTGATGTGATGTCCCTTCGGTGCTGTCGCGAGAGCTGCGCTGCTGCGGTCGCGGCGGCAAAGGTGGGGGCATCGCCACCATGCTCGACGTCCCTTCGAGCAGCACGGATTCGGCGTGTGAGGTTTCGTGGTAAGATGCACTCGAAAGTTTCATGAAGTCTGGGTTGGGCGCCGACTGCCGCTGCAGAAGTTCCAGGCAGCGCAGTCGCCACGCCTCTGCCTCGTTGCGCAACGACCGCACGTACTCGGTGGCGGTCGTCGTACCTTTGTCAATATCACCTTCTCCGACGCCGTTCGGAGCCCCGTCACTGCTGGACGATCCATCGCTGTGCTCCTCTTCACCCGCCACCGATGACTTCTTCGATTCGTCATCATGTGAGTGATCTGCTGCGCTGTGTTGGGGCGCGTGTATCGCCTTGTGGGGCGAACGGCGCCACTCCGCTTGGGTACTGAGGTGCCTTGAAGGTGTGGAGGAACCGTTCCCGTTGTCCGCACCCTTTGGATCGCGCACACCACCGCTTTCTCCCACGGCCTCTCCCGTCGCGGAAGAAGGCACCGCCCGCTGCGGCGACGTCCCTCGAGTCTCCCGCCTCGTTGGCGTTTTGTGGACCTGCTCTCCATCTTTGTTTGCATCTGTCACCACCGCATCCCGCTTTCCGTGTTCATCGGTGATGGCCGCCGCCGAGGTGTGCAGCCGATGACGGAGACACGAGCGATCCTGTTCCCAGCTCATGTACTCAATCAGGTCGTGTATGTCCGCGAGCTCTGCCTCGCGCTGGGCCGTCTCATCCGCGTACTGCGACATCAAATCGTAGTAGCGCCTTTGCCACCGCCGTGCGCGTTTTAATTCCTTCGCCTCCTGCTCTCGCTGGTGGTTTTCCGAGAGGGACGTCGCATGGTGACCTGGTGGAGAACGGAGCTGAGGATGACGATGGCGTTGACGATGGGCGGACGGACTTCGACTTGCTCGCGCACACGTGTCGTGCCTCGCGGGGTGGCGGTGGCGGTGCCTCGAGGCCGGCGGGTTGGCGGCGACGCCTCCACTGAGATGCTTGCGTGTCTCCCTCGCCGTTCCCTTCACTCTTCTGTGCCTACTAGCTGTTCGAGACGTGTGGCGATGCGCGGAGCGGTGCGACAACTCCCTCCTTTCGCGGAGACTGTTTGCCACCGGCGCCGCACCGGCGCTGCGGCTCTCATCGGCCTTCGGTGACGATTGTGTGTCCCTCTTCGAGCGAGACGGTTCACGGCAGCGACTGCCATCTTGGTCAGCATCTCTTGCCGCGTGTACGCGTTGGTGGGCTTTTCGTTTCCCAGGAGATGTATTCTCCTCCTGTCTCGTTGAGTGGACAGAAAACGGCGTCGAGGCATCGCGACGTGCGTGCGGCAGAGACACCGCTGCCCCAGCGCTTGCGATGGAGCTGAGACCGCTGGTGGACAAGAACGTGCTCGTAGACAGCAGCGACGACGACGAAGACGAGGAAGGGGAGACAGAGCTGGGAGAGAGAAGGAAGTCGCCGCCCTCAGCATCCGCGGTGGACGGCAACGAAGGGCGTCTTCGCGATGGCGAGGTCTCGCGTGCGTCGGCTCCGCGACGACGTCGGATGCCGTCAGGACGTTTCCGGGGTCTTTGCTGCTTCTCTGGTGAGTCGGGAGGTGGAGGAAGTGATGAGGCAGGCGGGGGCAGCGGTGACGCTGCTAATGTTCTCTCACCAGTGCTACTCTGTTCCTGTGCAGTCCCACTGCACTTGCCATCGTCGGTCGACACAGCGGCGTCCACCATAGTCGAAGCCTCCGCCTGGTGCAGTCGCTGCTGAAGCTGACGTGCGGTGTGGCGCGATTCCGCCAGCTGTCGCACCAACTCCGCCACGTTGCGCACTTCAATGCGCGAGGCAGCGGCCGACGCAGATGCAGTGGAATGCGTTGACAGAGTCGAGTTGTCCGCCATGGAGGAGCGAAGAAGGGGATGTGTGGAGGAGGTGAAGCTTGGGGAGGCGGCACCGTAGCTGTGTTGCGTAGACGGGTCAGGTATCCGTCCTGGGATGTACGGTGACTGCGCGAAAGGAGTTGAAGTGATGGCTGGGCCAGCGGAGAGTGGCATGGCGCCGTGCGTACTGGAAGATTGGAAAGGCGCCTGGACAGAGGAGCTGGGGGTCGAGGAAAGATATGAAGCCGCGTAGAGAGGGGCGTTGCTGCCAGCGGTGGGTCGCTGCCCAGATGCGCTTTGCGGAAGCATGGCGTGCCTCTGCGTGGGGTGCGCTGAGGAGAGAGGGGTGTAAGCGGTTCAAATGCGCTCTAGAAGTGTTCGAGCAAAGACCAGAAAACCAAAATAGATTACCCTCGGAGAGAAACCCCGAAAGTTGCCGGATGAGGTCAACGGCCGGTGAGACACAACTCTTGGCACAGCGGAGGCACCGCTAGAAACGGAAAAAGGGGCAGCACAGCGAAATTGAGCTAAAACAGAAACGTACGCCTACAGTTCTATGAAAGAGAAAGAAAAACAGATATCCATATATAAATATATATATGTAGATATAGCTGAGGCAAGAAAGTGGGGAAGCAGTTGGGAGCAGGTGCCCAGTGCAGCGATGAGGCACGCACGTGTGTGTGTGTGTGTGTGTGTATGTGCGTAACGATGCCCCGAGAAGTGCTCTGCTCACGGATGTGTACCGGTGAGAGTAAAGAGAAGGTGGTAAAGACAACGATATATGTACAGTATATAATATAAAATGAGTTTGCTATGCTAGCAGATGGACCGTTGGTGACTCGTCCGTGCAATTGATGAGACGACATGCATTAAACGTCGTCTTAGACTGTATGCTCCTTCACCCGTGTGGCACACAGAGGCGAAAATACTTTTTTTTGAAGTGAAGGAGAGGGTTGAAAGAGTTCGAGATAATACGCACGACGTCCGATTGTTTCTGTTCTTTCATTCGTTGCTCCTTTCGCACAGATACTCGCGGAAATTGCGAAGAGTTTAAAGCGAGCAAAACCAGAGAAGTACATATATATGTATCTGAGAAGATACGTGGATTTGGAGTCCCCTTGAATGAGAAGCAGCGGGAAGTGCCGCATTCTTTTGTTGGTTCCGTCGTTGCTGCTGATCCTGCATTGCTGCTTTTTCCAGTTTTCACATCAGCGATAGTTCTGCTGCAATCGACTGCACAACGCTCTGGAGAAGTTCGTTCACCTCCGTCGTTGACCACAGGGCACCGTGAGAAGGCGCGAGCGGTACGGTAGTCTTCGCCTTTGTCGATAACGCCTCATCATCCTCGCCTTCCTCCTTCCTCCCGTCTCCAGCTCTGTCCGTAGCTTCAGCGGGGTGGGCGGAGGCGTCGGCTTGCGGTGCAGTTCCGCCGCAAACCTGTCGAAGCCCGCGCTGCAAGTTTGCGCGAAGAACCTCGTCGACTCGCTCTGCGGATAAAAGGCGCGGCGGGTGTTCCGCGGGGTCATCTGCGGCCATCATCAACCCCATCTGCTTGGAAGTTCGCCGGTTGACGTGCAGCTTCGCCTCCACGTACGCCATCAGCGCATCGGGCAGTCCGTTGCCACGGAGGTCCAGCGACTGCAGGGAGTTGTTGAGGTAAAGCGCGGTAACCAACGGGAAGGCCGTTACCGCTTCCACGCGGACACCCCCGTGAAAACCACCACAATCATCAGCACGAAGATGGCGTGTGCCGGCGTCGTCGATGCCGTCGCGCGGCAAATACTGGTCATCACTGACGTGCTTCAAGTGGGACTCGCCCAGCGTCAGATCAGAGAACACGTCCACAACGTTTGTGCTCCCTCGTGTAAGGTAGTAACAGCCGAGCAGGTTGTGGGAGAGATCCAATGAACGCAACGGCACTGCGGCGCTCGCACCGGATGGGACATCGGAGAGCTTCACAGATCGCGCAACGACCAGCTCGGCGAATCCGGCCATTACAACGCCGCCTCGTGTCCCTTGAATGCAATTATGGCTCAAGTCCACCGCCACGATGCGAGGGTGCAGCTGCAGCGCCGTGCACAGAAGGGCGAGGCCGGTGGGCGAGGAACCGAGATGGTTGTACGAGAGGTTCATGGTGTGAAGACGAGGACACGCAGACACAAGAAGAGAGAGTGGACGCGCGTCTGTCAAGCCGGTGCCGCTCAAGTTCAGCACCTCGAGCGTGAAAGACGAGGGTAAAGTGAGGTGCGTTGACAGGGTAGGCCTGACACGTGAAAGGTAGCTGTTCGTTGAGGCGCTTAACGTCGCTAATTCATTTGCGAGGGTCCGCAGTCCAGCGTCGCCGACGTTGGTGTCACGCAGCACGAGTCGCCGCAACGGCAACACCTGCGCGACACTGCGCAGTGCCGCCGCCCACTCTGACATCGTCATGCACAGCCGCGATAAATCGAGTGCCACCCCTGAGGAGGACACGCCCGAGTCAGTAGAAGGAGAAGGAGGCGAGGCCGGGGATGTGGTGATTGCCTCAATGGCGGGGATGACACGGCTCACCACGCCGGGGTGCATCTCTTCTTCCTCCACGGCGTGGCAGCACGCGTTGTACAACGACAGCCATCGGCGTGTCAGGTGAGTCCAGTGGAGCTCATCAGGGTCAGGAGAATGCGTCATGAATGCTGTGTGTTTCAAAACACCCCGGTATATACAAATATAACTTGCTCTATAAAGTGATAAAAGTTCTACTCGCGATCGGATGTCTGTGTGTGTGTGTGTGTGCGTGTGTGTGTGAGTGCGGGTGGGTGGGTGTGTGTATCTATGTCGATAGGAGAATGTACAAATGGAAAAGGTGCGGCCGAGGCGAATGTGTTGACGTCGCTCGAAGTTTTGCTTCGTCTACGCGCTTTCGCTCCTCACCCTTCCATCAGAAGTCTGCTGCAAGAGCAGAGGTCACAACACCGAAAGGGAAGAGAGAAGAAAAAAGTGTATGAGATCAAGAGAGAGCAGATGAAGGGAGACAGCGGTGAAGAGCGGCACATCATTATTAGTTTCTTCACTTCCACTCCGCACGTGCGTGTGTTGCGTGCAACGGCTTTTATTTCTGTGTGGGTTGGGTTTGTCTGTTGCACCCTTCAGGTCAGCAAAACACAGAGTTGCTGACGAAAGACGCAATACGTCCAACGTGCGCTGATACTACGCACTACTCATTGACGATTAGTATTACTAGTAATAACATTATTATTATTATTTGAAATCATAATACGTTTGTTTGCCGCAGTGTTGGTATGTTTTTAGTATTATCAAACGGCAAACCCATCCATCACCACAGACAGCGATCACACGCACACACGCATAATGCGTCCATCCATGACAAGTCCTCATTACAGCAACACCCACGCAAATAATAGCGGCAGCAAATGGTAATAAAGGTGAAGACACGCTCACCTTATTCCTTTCTTCGGCAATACAGCCGGTTGCCTTACCGGGAAGGCAGCGGCGCCTCGCACATCTCACACACCACCATGCCAGGCGCATTCAGAAAGGTGCACACCGCACAGGCCACGGGCTGCTCCACGCTTGCAGCGCCCGGCACACCCGCCGTTGTCCCCGTCACAGCACTTGAGAGCGCCGTGCCAGAAGCCGGAGCAGCAGAAGAAGACGAAGGAGCTGATGTCTCGGCTGCAGCGCCGCTCGCATCGCTACGCCCCACCGCGTGACGGCCCTGCAGACGAGTCTCCCGGAAAGCAGCAGAGTGCTCTTTCGCGGCTGCCGCACCGTGTTCTCCACCCTGGCCCACGCCCGCTGCCCCACCAGCCTGCAGCAGCTCCGGCGGAATCGCCTCCCACTCCTCGTCCACGCCCGGGGCGGTGGCGCAGACGGGTGCGATGTTGTCGACGGACTGCACGGAAAGGGCTTCGCCGTCCTTTATGCCGAGCTCCTGCAGCGAGGCGTGCTCAAGCGCACTCGACTCCTCCGTCCCCTCTGCCGCGTTGCCGGTGGTCTCCTGCGACGGTGGGGTCCGCAGCTTCAGCGGTTTGTTCTTGCCGCGCGTAATTTGAAGCTCCTCCGGTGGCACCAGGTAGCCGTGCTTCTCGCGGAGGTGGGCGCTGATGTAGGTGCGGAGCTGGGCGAGCGTGGTGTAGTAATGAATGCCATCTGGAATGGCATCCCCCTTTGCCGTGTGATCGGCGGCAGCAGCAGTGGCTGAAGCCGTCGCCTTGATGTTGTGTGGATCATTGCTTTCCTCCGTGTCATCGTCGTCCAGAACCGCAGGCGGCGCCCCTGCGTATCTGCCGTGCGGAAGCGGAGCCGAAGAAGCAGCAGCAGAGGCAGTCGCCGCCGACACCTCGCTCGCCTTGCTCTGCTGCACCGCCGCGGAGGTCAGCACACTCGATGCGTCGTAAAAGTTCTTGCGGCTCTTCCGCACGTGGAAGTTCAGCTTCAGCGACCCGTTCACAAAAGACTCGCAGTTCACCTCGAAGCTCGCCAACAGCTTCGCACAGCAGGCGGCGCACGGTGCGGGCTGCAGCTGACGCACGCCGTTGTGCATCACAACTTGAATCGTCGCCGCGGACAGAGACGGGGGTGAACGCTGGGCGGACGGTGCGGCACCACCCGCGCTGGTGGCTTCAAAAGACGTTTGCTCCTTCGTCGTGGGCTTCCCGTCGACACTTTCCTCCGCTGCTCGGGGCCCGTTGCCCAGCGGCGTCTCGGGCGGGGTTGGAGTCACGTACTGCGCCAGCAACGTCAGGTACTCTTCCATGGGCAGAATCACCAGCGGCGGCAGCCAACACTGACTGCGGTACTCCGCCTTCCCCGGACCACTCTCCGCCACAGCAGCAGAAGCGGAGGAGGACGCAGCGGAGACACCCTTGCCCTTCGGCGCATCGTGCTGCTGCGCCACGGTGGCCCGCTCCACCTGCACGCCGTTCCACAATACGTCCGCCCGCTTGCCCCGCACCCCCTGCCAGAAGCCGTCGGACGGGTTCAGCCACGGCACATCCAGCAGGCAGCAGCCGTGCTCGCACAGAAACGCACGGTAGGAAATGGGCGGCAGCGGGTTCGTCGAGGCAGCGGCGTCACCGCCCTCCGCCTCCTCATTCCCCTTACTGCCCGCTCCCTCGCCGCGGTCGACGACAGGAACAGGGGACGGCGACGCGGGTCCGTCGTCCTGCATCGCGGCGTACCACCGCGCCACCCACCACGTCGGCACGCACCCGTACGACACATCGAAGTCCGGAACGGGCTGCGCACGGAGCTGCGCCAGCGCCTCTTCCGCGTAGAAGAGACGGCCCTCCAGCGTCTCCGGGTCGGGGGGCGACGGGGAAGGAGACGTCGCGGTCGAATGGGCCTTGAGATCACGGCCTCCGCCGCCGCCGCGTCCCGCACCTCGCCCGCCCCGCCGCGACGTCACCCGCGCGTCCCACGCCGCGTCGTGCTCCCTCTTCTTCGCCACGGTGGTCTGCAGGCGCGTCACCTCCGACGCCTGATGCGCGATGCGGGCCTGCTGCGCCTCCGTCCACTTCCGCACGTACTCCCGATGCTCCCGCTCGGCGTTGTGCTTGAAGAAGAGGCGGTTTGGGTGCTGGGCAGCGAGCAGCTGCTCCTCGTTTTCCGCCCCGGTTGCGAGCAGCAGCTGCGCGACACCGGCAGGCGAGGTCATCGCCCCGGCGAGCCACAGCGACGGGAACTTTTTGCGCTCCTCCATCTTGCGGAGGCGTTGGTGGTGGCGGGAGGTGAGGGCCTGCACGCTGGTTCGCATGCACTCGAGACACGTCGTGCTGGTCGTCGAGGCGGGCACGTAGGGGAGTAGGAAGTGCTCCACGTCCCCCTCCGTTGCTCGCCATGCGGGGTCAGCCGTGCGCAGCTGGCCGGCGCGGTGGGCCGTCGTGAGCAGCTCCGCAAAGCGCCGTATCCAATACCGCCGCAGCGGGGCAGGAATTGCCAGCACGTGCTGACCCGGACGCAGGGCCCCGTGCGGGCACAGAAGCTGCGAGGACAGGTCCAGATCCCCCTTGTCGACGTTAAACACGTTGAACACCGACGTCAGAGTGGGGGCGGCGGAGGCGAGCGTCGGGGAGATGGTGGTGGTCGTCGTGGTAGCTCCCGTGGGCGACGGCGAGGGGGAGGTGGCGCTGCTGCGACTGTTGTCGCGCGAGTTGCCGGGAAACGTGTTATGCGTGCTGGACGGTGCGCGCGGTGGGCTGAGGCGGGCCTCCTTCATCACCACCACCGCCGTGTACCCGCCAGTCTGCTGCACGCGGCTCCAGGCACCCTGTGCGACATAGTAGGAGGCCCAACCCTCCACAACCGTCTCACTGACCAGCACCAACCCGCCTTCATCTTCCTCCTTCGCCGCCGCGGCAGCAGCGTCGCTGGTACCGTTCATGTTGTTGTGATGTAGGTTCGGTGCAGCTTCGTTTTTAGGCCCTCCCTCCACCTCACCACCACCCGATGATATGTTGCCCTCTTCCGCCTCCTTCTTGCTCTCCGCGTCGCGCCATGCCTGCGTCAGACACAGCTCCGCCTGCTCATCCTCCGCCGCGGCAGCGGCCATCCCGTGAACGGTGGCCGCCATCGCTGCCACACACAAGGGGCAAAAGTTCGACTCAGCGAAGGCACAGCTGGTCTGCGCATCCACGGCACCACTGCTCTGCGTGCTGTTGGCCGTTGATCCGACCGCCTTCAACGGGGCGCCGCACACGTGCAGGAAGTGAGCCAGTTTAGTGTACGCCGCAGCCGAGACAAGTTTGTAGGCACCCCACGGTGCAAGGTAGCCGTGCAAGCAGAGGAGAGGGGGCAGGGCCTGCAGAAGGGAGTGCTGGCGGACCAACTGGTAGATCTCTTCGAGGGATTGGATGTAGCCGTGACGGCGTGGACCCATGGAGACTGTCCCCACCACAACACCGTCCGCGGGCGCGTCGTCAGAAGCCGCAGCACTCTCCTCCTCCTCCGTCGACGGCGCGGCACCAACCGCACCGGAAAGTTCATTCATGCGGTTGTGGTGGTTGTTTCTGTCCCCGCTCCCCGCGCTCCCGCCGGCTACGCCCTCCGCCGCGTCGTTCTTATTCCTCTTCCGCTGCGATTCTGCCCCACCACCGAGGGCGGCGACGTCCACGTAGGCTGGTAGAAACAACCGGCCGAGCTGCTGCAGCCACGCGGTGGGCAGCGCGTACAGCATCGTCGTCGCAGCAGCGGTGGTGGTCGTTGATGACCCGGTCGCCACCGTCGATGCCCAGGCGGAGGTCGGCACGTCAAAGACGGCCTGTGCGGTGGCGGCCCAAAGATCGTAGAAGGCGGCCACCTGTGCCCGCTGACCCAGCCAAGCTTGGCGTTCGTCGAGGCAGCGCTGGTTGACCTGGTCCACGTACTGGCGAAGGTACAGTGGAAACTCAGCGGGCGTGGGCACGGCACTGGGGGACGTCGCCAGCGCAGACGCGGCGGATCCAGTGGTGACACTGGTGGATTTTGTAGGAGCTGCACTTGTCGTGGGCGGGCTTGTGGAAAGCGCAGGGGTGATGCGGTGGTACACGAGCAGGTACGCATCCGCAGACACGCCGCGCTGGCCTTGATACCGGTTCAGCGTCGTCACCTCCGCATCGTTAAAGTTCAACCACGTCTGCTGGGATGCCGCCACCGTCGATGCCGCGGGTGAGGTGGTTGAGACCTTGCCATGGTAGGTGTAGTGGCCGGACACGGCAGTGTCGCCGAGGTGGTTCACTACACCACGCAGCTCATAGCAGAAGTTCTCTTTCAGGCCTCCACTGGCAGAGCCGCCCGCTGTGCCAGCTGCCGATGCCGCTGCCGTTGTGGTGGTAGGTTGGGTGGTCGCCGTTACGCTGCTGGCCTTGTTGACGGGTGCGGCGTTGCGGTGCTTGTGCTCGTGCCACTGCCGCACGTAGGCGGCCATGTCGAGCTGCAGCGGGAAGGAGGTGGCGGTGGCCACCTTGTGCCGCTGCAGCGTCTGCAGGTCGAACTCAAACCGGTTCCAATGCACCACCAGCACGTCCGGCAGCGTGCGAATATACTGCCGCGACGTCGCGACGGCCGTCTTGCCGCACCCCTCGCACGTAAACCCGTCCACCTCCTCCGGCTTTGAGTACTCGGACAGCGAGTCCTCCAGCGTCGACCGCACCGGGAGAGAAAGGTAAAGAAACGGCTCAGCACGCTTGGTCGAACGCCCGCAGGCCCCGCAGCGGCGGTCGTAGAGCAGCGTACCGGCGAAGGTGGCGGTGACGGCGGTCTGCACGGCAGGCCCGCAGTGGCAGCGCAGCCAGTCGAGTAGCAACGTAAAGAACTCTTGGGCGTCCTGCTGCACCTTGACGTCGAGGGAGAGGTAAGAGGCGAAGGACTTTGGGTCTGCACCTGCACCTTCACGACTGAAGGCCATCAAGGCGAATAACTCCTTCAACCCTGACTCCTCCAGCTGCGTGTTGGCAACCCCCGCGGCAGCAGTCCCAGTAGGAGCGCCGTGTTCCGCAGCCCCGTCATTCAAAATAGCACGGCGCAGCCTCGCCACGCTGAACACCATCTGCAGCACGGAGCTGAAGTAGCAGGTGTTCATCAAGTTCCGCACACCACGCCAGAGGCAGGGGAAAGCAGGGTCGCCCACCACTGTGCGCGTTGTCGTCGTCGCCGTGCTGAGAGCTGCAGCAGCAGCAGAAGACACAGACGAGTCCCGCAGCTCATCAGATGCGGTGGCAGCGGCTGCCGAGGAGGACGCGCGCGCACCTTTCCTACTGCCAGTCGCCGAGCCGTTCACGGAGGAAAGCGGATCGTCATCTTCAGCATCAGCAGCAGCAGCGCCGGGACTTGGAACTGGCAGCTTCACCACACGCGGCCCATCGCCCATCACCACCCGCAGACAGTCCTCCCGCGTTACGGCGTCGCCGGCAAGAGTGCGCAGGCCTGACATACACCGCGGCGACGCAGCACAATTCAGCAGCCGCTCGCCCTTTGTAGAGTGCGACATGACACAGGGGATTTGTAGGTGATAGGCCTTGTGCAGGAGGGGGGAGGAGAGGGCTGCCCGCACCGCCTGCATTTCCGTAGTAGGGGCCGCCCGTTCCATGCGAGGGAGATAGGGCTGATACGAGCTTCCACCACCGCCAGAGAGGGAGTTAGGGTAAGGCGAAGCGGACAACACGTCTGCGTCCTCTTCAGCGTCCACGTCGATGAACACGTGTGCCTGCGTCGTTGCTGCCTTCTGCACGGTAGTGGAAGAAGAAGAGGGTAGGGGTGCCAGGACGTTCAGCAGATTCCTCTGCGGTATGTAATGCGCAGCGGCGCAGCGTTCCAGCACCTCCGCCGCCCACACATCGGTAGGCGGCAGCCGCACGTCTGTCGCAGCAACCGAAAAGGCCGTCTCGACGTGTGGCATGGCGAAAGACACGAAACAGAGTGACCGGATTGAGAAACGAAAAGACGCAAAAGAGAAGCAGCGCAGTAAAGCACGGTGGATGCCGCTGCTTAAAATGAGCAACTTACAATTGAAAGAACGCAGAGACAGATGTGTATGCGTAAATAGGTTATTTCTCTTAAATATAAATATATATATATATATATATATATACAATTCCAACAACGTTTGCTCTGCGGGACAGGAACGGAATTACCCCTCGCTGCAGATTTCCACGAATTGGAGAACGCGCGTGCTCTACAGATCGTAAAAAGCGGGAGCGCACAGTCTCTCCTTCTTCGCCTCACCACACACAGAGCGCCGCCGACCGCCTTGATATACGTTAATTGTAACGAAGCGAGTTCTCCTTTCAAAGCCAGCTGCTCCACGTGCACTCGCACCCAAGTCACGAGAGAACGCACGCAACGAAGGAAACAGGGAGGAAAAATAATTATATATAGATATATGTATAGTGAAGCTGCTACGATGTACTACACGAAGAGCCTTGATCCTCTGGCGGAGAAATAAGTGGAAGAATCCGCGGCGCATCATTGTTGGGGGCGGAACGGAGGAGAAAGAAGAAGGAGAAAGAAGGAGAGTAAAAGCACAGACAACGAGGTTTGAGCCGGCGAACAATTTCGATTCGCCGAGCATACGTGGTTCCATATGAATCGATGTCGCTTCAAAAGGAGTTTCAACCACCGCGAGAGGTCCGTCTTTCCGTGTGCAGTCGAAAGGAGAAGCCTCCGGACGTGCCGTCATCTCGCCGCACACGCGCGGCACCGATACATCCATGTGACCCGAGAAAATCAGGGTGCTCGGCCAACAATCCCCTTTGGCTATCGTTACTTACTCTTTACCTTTTGTATTCTCTGTGAGGTGTGACGTGCTCCTGCAATCCATACGCGTCATTCAGCAGCGGCATTTAAACTGCATGTACGCCACTACGGAAACCTTAATCAAAGTCTCCCTTCTATACTTACTTTGCATGAGCGCTTCGTCCACAGGCGCACTACGCACAGGCGGCGGAAGGACAACACAACAAAGAAGAAGCCACTCCCCCGCCGCCCTCGCTCTGCTTCGCCGTTCAGCTCAAAAGCGTAAGAAGGGGGTACTGATCCGACAGCGAGCAGCGCACCCGCGAGGGCACGTGCGTCACACGCAGTGGGGCATTCGCTGACCTCGCGGTGTCATCCTCGCCTGCCGCTGCCCCGTCCGTTACATCCTGCGTTACCGGCTGCTGCTGCCGCTTCGCCGCTTTCCTGCCGGCTCGGCTGTACTGTGTCGTGATATAACGCGCGTGCCACGCCCGTTCCTCGCTGGCGAGCTCCACCTCCGTCATGGGCCGCAGCACGACCACTCGGCATCGCCGGTACTGCCGCAGCAGCGGACGGGCGGAGAGGTGCCCGCTGCGCGATGAGGGCCCACGGCGCACCCAGGACCGGAAGAAGCAGCGCTGGAAGCGCCCGGCCACCTCTGGCATACCCGTGGTGAGGTCAGACAGTGCCAACGATGACGGCGATGATGGTGACGCATCCACAGGCCCCTTCGTACTTCGATTCTCGTGCTGGGGATTCGCATCTTTCGTCGACCGCGCGTACCACGCCCCGTCTGCGTCGCCCACATACGCATCGAAAGGAATGGGAGTGCCCACTGCCGCATCGGACGGTACAACCACCTGCGCCGCAGCGGCAGCGGAGGAAGAGGAGGAGGGTGGGGCCACGTATTCACCACCCGGCTGATCTTTAGCCTCTGCAGAAAGCGTTGCTTCCGTTGCACCGTCTTCTCTTCCCTCTTCTTCTCCCTGTGCTTCTGCGACAGGACTGCCTATTCGTAGCTCGTCTTGTTCTTCTTGCTCCTCCTCCATCACCACTCGCATCGCCCGCTCCATCGCAGTCTTGCTGGCCACCCCCGGTGAGGGTTTAAAGTAAAAGTAGTTCGTCAGGTGATCGACACGGTGGCGGGCGTAGGTGTTGGTGGTGCGCTCCTGCCCCATCGGCGACCCCGCCCACACCCAGGCATCCTCACACCCCGGCACCCGTTCCCGTGCCCCCATGAACACGTTTCCCACAAGCACATCCGGTCGTATGTGATGATGCACCCAATCAAAGACCACGGCCCGATGCGTGTCGAGCTGCCCTACCACACGGCCACCACGACGCTGCAGAGGCGACGCGGTGGCTGACGATGGCTGTTGCGTCTGCAGCGTAAATGGACTGCCCTCCTCACTCACGGCTGCGTCGGACAGCAGCCCCTGCAGGTGCGTGCCCAAGCTCTTTCCACGGTAGGAGAGATCCAGCGTCGTCAGCACGCAGCGGTGCGGTGGTGGCGACGGTGATGGGACGCTCGCAGAGGCGGGAGTGTTTGTTTCCTTCGCCTCTGAAGGTGTCGCCGCAGCGGTTTCGTCGTGCGTGTCTGCGGTCGGGCGACTGCGCAGTTCCATCGTGAGACCAGCCCCCATGCCAGGCAGCGGCTCCCCCTCCCACCGGGAGGTCGTCTTCAGAAAAAGTTGCACCTCACCGCAGTGCCCGTTGCGTGCTCTCCCAATCAGGCGGTAGTTGCACGGCGCAGACGACAAAACAGAAGAAGAGGAGGCGGTTGTCCGGGCAGGAGAAGCCTCCGTCTTTTCGTCCTCGCTGGTGCTACCCTCGTCTTTTCCAACGGAAGACTCTGCTGCTGCGGAAGAGATCGGTGTTGTTGACTCACCCTCCCCGATTCGTGTACCGTCGCCGTGATGGGGCTGCTGCAGTTCCCGTGCGAGCTCGGCGCCGTACACCTTCAATCGCCCCTTCTCGCTCTCATCGCCAGCCTTGTCGTGGTGCAGCTGGTGCTGCTCGCCTGTCTCAATCTCCGCCGTCAACGCCGCCGCCAGCTCCGGTGTCGAGTCCTGCAGCGCCACCACATCCGGCGCGGTCCGGCGAATCACCTCGCAGAGTAGCGGAATGCGCTGCGACATCGAAAGTCGGCGTGCGCAGTGATGATGGGTGTGCCCGGATCCGTCCACCGCCCAGGAGAGGATGGAAAGAGGGGGCGGCGGTGGTGATGGTGAGGCAACGGTAGGCACTTTGGCGGGGCCTGAGGCGGTAGAAGCCGACGGCGCGGCAAACGTGGAGTTGAATCGACCGAGTTCTCTCATTGGAACGGCGAAGAAGGAGGGCGGATTTGGTGCGCGCAGACGTGCGCAGATGACGAAGCTGCTGCTGTTGCGTGTGCCGCCATTGCAGAGTGATCGGGAGGGGATGCTTCGCCCACAGAGCGCCGCGCACCTGTCAGAAGGCAGATGTCGGTACATTTCTTCTTGCAGTAAAAGAAGAGTGAGAGTCCTATGTGAGCGCGCGTGTGTGTGTGTGCGGTGTCCTTCCGTCGATGTCTGTTTGTCTTTCAATATGCCGTGCTAGTCAGGTGCACAACCCTGTCCCTCAAAGATGTGTTCTTCTTCCACAAGAGACATCAAGACGTACGTGCAGGTTGCGTTGGCCAGACGAAGAGGAGGAAACAGCAGAAAAGAGAGGGAAAAGGGGATAGGAAAGGGAAATATATATACATATATATACATGTGTGTGTATTTGCAAAAAAAAGAAGAGCCTTTCAGAAAGCCCGTACCTCTTCTGGTATCGTCTTTAAAAAAAAAGGGGGAGAGATCCCTCGAAACGATGCACAACGTGGTGTACGACGTGCTTTGGTTGTTCCTGTTGGTTTCGCTTTGCGTTCTTTATTTGAAAGTGCCCCTTCGTTAGGGCGTTACGGGATCAGAGAAGAGAACGTCAGGGAAGGAAAATGTCTACGGTGTGGTGGCGCCGGGCAACGCTCCGAAAGTAACGGGAAAAAAATAATCGCAATTGTTTTGTACGTCTCTCCAATAGAGCAGGCGTGAGAACTAAAACGCAAAGAGGCTGCACCGCCTCAGTGGAGTAACAGGAAGGCGCTGCTCGCCTTCGCAGTTGCTCGAATAAGAATAACAACAACAACAATAATAAGCCGCCGCATATCATCGTCGCTTTAGAGAGTTGACCGTGACGGATCTCCCGTTGCCGGGGCACCGCGGCGCTCGGCCACCATCGCCTTCACCGCCGTCTGCGCACGGCCCGCACAGGCGGCGACGCGCTCCGGCGTAAACCACGTCGTCTCACGCGGCTCCCCGTTCTTCCCCTTGTCGGCATCCTTCACACAACTCGTCAGCAACTCCTCCAGAAACAGCGCGGTGCCCTCCTCTTCCCCGCCGACGTGGTACATGTATGGAGAGGCATCCTGAGCCGGAGGTGTCGCCTGCATCGCCGCCAGCCTTTCTTCCGCGCAATCCTTCGGCGAGAGAGAGATGTATTGCATCGGCGGGTACTCCGTCAGCGGACGGTCCACCGACTCCGGCACGTCGCCGAACGCCACGGCCTTCGTCAAATCGAACGATACCCCATTTGATCCCTCTTTCCTCCTTTTATTATCTTCGGCGACGAGCCACCGCACACAGAGGCCTTTGTCGACGCCGCGGCGGAACATGCACACGCTGTTAGGCTGCGACTTCAGCTCCAATCCGGCAGCCTCGACGCGTACCATCGCGCCTGCGCCGACGGCTGCGCACTTGGCACAGCACTGCCACTGCGGGGACGCGCTCGCCGTCGTTGTCGCAGCAGCAGCAGAAGAGGAAGGCGACGATGAGGGAAAGACACAGTCAAAGAACCGGGCGGGGATGCCCATCGCCACGACCTGTGCGACGGGGGACCTATTTTTCACTGTGCCGTCCGCACACGGCACCTGCTGCACATCCACCAGCGCATCGTTCGTTTCCTTTAAGTAGAGCCCGTCCGTTGTCAGCGCCTGCAGGCTGAGCAGCGGCGATTCGGCAAAGCAGATACGTGGCACCGGCTCGCCTCTCTCCGCAAACGACAGCAGCGAGGGCGGCACTTCGCTCAAAAGCTGTTGCAGCAGCGCTGGAAATACGGTGTGGTACTTCGTACTGAGGCACCCGGCGAAGAAGGCAGCCGCGGACATCACGTTATGGCGGGAGACGTACGAGGCGTGCTCGAGGAAGCGAATGATGGCGTTGCGGGCTTCGGCGGCGGCTAGCGCGTGCGTGGCTGCGTCCATCGTCGTCGTGGAGGACAACAAGGGGGAAGAAAATGGAGAAGAGGGAGACGCGGGAAGTGCAGGGGAGGGAGGGATAGCAGCAGCAGCAGCGGCGGCTCCGCTTGCCTGGGCGTACTCAACCGCCTGCTGTCTGTACTCCGCCCATTCCTCGAGGCCCACCGCTGCTGGAGGAATGGTGGTGCGATCTGCGGCGTCGGCTGCGGTGGTCGAGGAGGGCGTGCGCCAGCCGGGGTGAAGGCGATCCATGTCTTCCCATACGGCATGGCAAGGGCGGGTGCGGAACATGGCAGCGCCGGTGAAGCCGCACATGTACAGAGTGCCAGGAGTCGTCGCGGCGGTCGTCGTCGCTGCTACTGCGTGGGGGTGAGCATCGCTCGCTGAAGCGGCAGAAGAGGCCTCCAGCACACGGCTGCATCGCCCAGCATCATCAATCGTGCCGAAGCCGAACACTGCAGGGGCGAGGTCTTGGTAGATCTGCGTCCACATCCGCTTCCCCGCGGTGGACACCACGCAGAGCGAGCCGCCGCGCTCGATAAAGAAGCGCAACCACGGCAGGCAGCTGCGATAGCCTGCGCCGTACCCGAGACCGGTGGCCACGCAGTAGGACAGAGAAAGATACTTGCCATGGGCTCGCGAAGGGGTAGGCGTCAGCGTGCCATCCATGTCCGCCACAATCCAGTGGTTCGCGAACATTGTGTAGAAGGCAGAAGGGAAAAAGGCGAAGCGTACGGTAAAGACGGAGTTATTACGATTTATCGGTCTTTGTGGTTCCCTTCGACGGAGATGGCTCGTTGAAAGTGCTGGGGGGCAGCAACGACAGCCAATAATAATAATAATAGGTTAAGTTTAAAAATGGAGTAACTAAAGACAGCAGACGCTTCGATTTCGGTGGTGGCCGAAGGTTTGCTTCAGGAAGGTCGTTCTTTTTCTCCTCTCTGCCTCCTGGGTTCCGTTAATTTGCATTGATGTGTGAAACGGTTTTTGAAAAAGGAGGAGGGGAAAAATCTGTAGGAGAGTCCTTTTAGAGGGGAGAGAGGGGGGCACGTGGCGAACGACGCTGCTTCTCAAACGCCGACAGTGGAGCTTAGGTGATTTGCGTTGTCAACACAGGAGAGATGGTGATGATTATCACGTCTCTTTCAAAAACTCTACTGCGAGAGGGTTGCGCGTCTCTTCTTTGAAAGAAAGAAAAAGAAAGAGAAGGCATGGCACTGCACCTCTGCCGACCTTCTGAGCTTGTCATCCACAACGATCGTAGTCTTCCTTTAAACAGCTTGAGAGCTATTATAAAGAAAAGATACGAGAAAAAGATGGCCAGCGCATCAACACGCCTGAGCAGGGCTTTTTCTTTAATTTCTCCTTCCTTCGCAACTGCTCTCAATCGCTTCGTCATTGGGGTTAAGACATTTTCATTTCACGTAAAAGAGCTAGAGTGCAGCAGCTTTTAACCTTTCCTTTTTTTAACAAGAAGGGGGAAAAAAAGGCTTGCTCTCTTCTTTGATGTGCGTATGTATGTGTGTGCGTGTCTCTGCGGGTGCGGTGTCGCTCTCCGTACTCGTCGTCTCAGCTCTCATGGCCGACGCTTTCTCGCAAGGAGAAGACGCTCGCACGAAGTAAAAACGAATGAAATAGAGATATATGATATATATATATATATAATAATGCCCTGCTCGACTGCTGCGTGAATGTGAAACTACTTTTTTTTTCCCATCTTTCTCTCTTAACGAAGCAAAACAGGCACAAAGAACGCAGACACATCCACACCAACACACAGACCCATTCACTCGCACAGCGCGGAGAGTTAATACTTCGTGTTGTTGTTTTCCTATATATTAGAAAATCCTTAAATGCTTCCTTTTGATGTTTCGCAAGTTTTGTGCTTTACCTTATGAGAGCTTCTCGTATAACTTTCTTCGTTATGTGCGAGTGCTGTTAAGTAAAACAAGAAAAGAGGGCTTTGTTGTTGCTTGTTGGTGTGTGTGTGTGTGTGTGTGTGTGTGTATCGCGTAGCCACGCCAATGCGTGGCTGTGTCAGTTGTCCTTTCTTTTTCTCTTGTGCGTGTCTGTTCCTCGAAGTCAGCTCAGCGTAACGGCAGTGGGAATGAAAGAGCACTGGCGTACGTTCGTTGCTCCACCACCAGCATTGCGTTCGCCGTTCCACACCGTCCTCCTCGAAGCATCAGAGAAGTAAAATCAAAGAGCATTTTCACGAGTGGGCGGCCACCACCAGTGCGAAAGAGGCGAAACCACCGAACAATGGCAGAAGAAGAAAAATAGAAAAATCCATAGCGAAACTAATGTAAAGCGCGGGTGTTTTGGTGAGGGAGATAAATATTTATTTCGTGTGTTTTTTTGTGTTGGCGCGTGCGTGTCGCTGCACAACGCCCGCGCAGAGGAGCACGCGCAAAAACGGGCGAGGAAGGGATCATCCTTCTTTTTTTTTGACGGCAAACCAAAGCTTTAGAATTAAGAGAAACGCGAGAGATAAAATGAGAGGTTTTACCGCATCCGTAAAAATAGATATAAAACCAGAAGTAAATAAAAGACTCGAAAAGTGTTCAACGAAGTGAACGAATAAACGGAGAGGAGGGGAGGGCAGGAGGTCCTCAACCCCGGATAAAAGAGAAGGGAAGCGCCCTCCTCCTCTTCTCTTTTTCCCTTCCCGTAACGTCGGCATCCATTCAACATCACTCGTTACGCTCCCCTGTCATGCGAAGATGAACGGTAGACACAGATTGCAACGTGAGGTCGTTCACTTTGGAGCACGAAGCCGCAAGAATCACAAGGGTATTTGCACTGTACGCCGTAGGAGTAAAGTAAGAGGAGAGCACGCGTGCATGAATCGATTGAGCGTTCGACTTGACGCCTCCACGAAGAAGAATCAAAAACGCGGAATTCATGCCCCGCTGTTTTCCATTTCCCTTCCTCCTCTCTTACATCTTCTCCTTGATGGCCGCCTCCAGCTTCACCGTATCCTTGTGGAAGTTACGGATGCCCTCCGCGAGCTTCTCCACCGCCATCGCCTCCTCGTTGTGCATGAAGAGGAAGTCCGCCTGCGACAGCTCCGGCAGCTTCGCCGACTTCTGCGTCAGATGCGCAGGGTCGAGCTTGCGGCTCAGCGTGCCCTCCCCCTTGGCCAGCTCGCCCAGCAGCGCAGGGGAAATGGTCAGTTTATCGCACCCGGCCAGCTCCGTGATCTCCGTCACGTTGCGGAAGGACGCACCCATGACGATGGTCTTGTAGCCGTGCTGCTTGTAGTAGTTATAGATCTTCGTCACGCTGATCACGCCTGGGTCGGCGGCACCAACGAAGCTGTCCGCCTTGGCCGGCTCCGCCTTCTTGTACCAGTCCAGAATGCGGCCGACGAACGGGGAGATGAGCGAGACGTGCGCCTGCGCACACGCCACGGCCTGCGCGAAGGAGAAGAGCAAGGTGAGGTTGCAGCAAATGTGCTCCTTCTCCAGTTCGCGGCCGGCCTGGATGCCCTCCCACGTGGAGGCGAGTTTGATGTAAATGCGGTCGCGCTTGATGCCGGCCTCCTCGTAGAGCTGAATCAGCAGGTGTGCCTTCTGGATCATCTTCTCCTTGTCGAAGGACAGCTTCGCGTCCACTTCGGTGCTCACGCGGCCGGGCACCACCTTCAGGATCTCCAGCCCGAAGCTGACGGTCAGCTTGTCCACCGCCAGCGCCAGCACGTTCTCCTCGTGCTTCTCGCTGTTGTAGAACTTCGCGTACTTGCCGATGTGGGCCTTTGCAAACTCGATGGCCTCCGTCATGAGGTGTGCGTACTGCGGCAGCTGCGAGCCGGCCAGGACGAGAGAGGGATTCGTCGTCGCATCCTCCGGCTTGTACTGCGCCAGAAGACCGAAGTCGGCCGTGTCCGCCACCACGATGGTGAACTTCTTCAGCTGTTCAAGTTCAGAGGGCATCTTGAGAGAAAAGTACAAGGAGGAGGAGTGGGGGGAGGCTTTAGAGAAGAAGTGTGAAGTGTTTTAAAATGAGAAGAAGGTTGTAGCGTACTAATAATTCAAAAAAAAATGGAGGAGAAACGGGGGGCTGATAGGCAACGTAAGAGAAGCTCTGAAGGGGAGGGGGGGAAGGGGGGGGAGGATAACGTTTGTGTTGAGAGGGGAGGGGGGAGAACGTGAGGAAGAAGGTTGGAGGCAGTACGAGGTGGTAGAAGAGACATTTATGTATACGCGCACTGTGCAGGTTGGTATGGAAAAGGTAAGAAGAGCACAAACGGCTACAACCCTGAAATAATAAGAATAATAGTAAGGGAAGGGCGGCTTGGGAGCCGAACAACCTCTACGTGTTCATGGGAGAATGCAACGAGTTGGCGAAAAGGAGCGTCGCAGGTAGATGGTCGACCCTCCCCCCTCCTCCCCTCTCCTCCCTCTGGCCCCCTTTTTCAAGCAGCTGACGCAACAAACCATGTGTGTGTGTGTGTGTGTTTGTTGTTGTCCCACCCTTCCCTGTCGCTGCTGAGGTTGTTGATGCTACTGAGCACATGATGCGGGGCAGCCCCATCTTGCACAGCGACATGCAGCAACGTACTTCTCCTACCTCTCGCATTTCTTATTTGTTTTTCTTCTTTTTACGTTTACTTCAAAGAGAGAAGAAAAAAACATCTCAAAACAAAGAAAGCCTCAAAACGGCGAAGTAAATGAAGAACGCACTCATAACAAACACACACACACACACACATGTTCACACGCGAATCGAAGAAGCAACCCAGAAATAGTAATAATAAAGTACAACACAGTGAAATGGAGAAGAACAGCACGAAAGAAGCTGAACAGATGGTAAACAATTGAAAAGGAAGAGGAAATATATATTCATTTACTCACACAGGCAGCGAGTGTACCATCACCTTCATGAAACCGAGACACGTGCGCTTCATTGCTGCACGAAGTACGTGGATGAAGAAGCAAAAGCCACCGTTGAAAAAAGAGGAGTAAGTGATTGATCCTTTAACAAAACAAAAGACAATAAATGAAGGAAGAGTGCCGACAGCCGCGCTCGAGATGCGACAACAGGTGCGTGTGCCTTCACCTAAATAGCCGAAGCACGCCTCCTCCTCGTTGTTGTCGGGGGCCCTTCCGAACGACAAGAGCATGGCTCACCGCTGTGGTGGGCAGCTCATGTCGTCTCGTTCTTCTATTTGAAAGGGTAAGATGGAAGCACATATATACGATGAAATCCAGTTCACCAAGGAACCGAATTAACCGAGCACGTCGGGGAGAAATAAGAAAGAGAGAAAGCAGAAGGCAGGCGAAAACCTCTAAAACGAAGCAGGCGGGATCAAAGCGACAACAACGAACCGTCGTGGCAAGGTGTATAAATATGAAAGCAAACGCACACGGCGGTGCGTGCTCTCCGTGACGAAACACCATCGGCGTGGAGCTGACTTATCTCCATTTGTCCGCGGATACGTCCCTCTCCACACACACACACACACATGTCAAAAAAAACAACGATAATAAGAATCGGCCAATGAAGCCCCAGAATGGAGAGTAAACCACATATAGATATATACACACAAGACAGCATGTGACCACTGAACATGCTTTCCACCCCCGCCCCCTTTCACTTCTCCGTGAAAAAAAATTCGTTTAGGGTGAAATGGAAGAACAACGTTTCGAGCGCATTCAAACTCTGCTCCTCCTCCTGCGCACACATCGGTCTGATAGAAAACGAACACATGAACAATGGTTAAAAGATCAGCTAAAAAGAAAAAAGAGGGCCTGTTATAGTACGAATGAAAAAGAGATCAACATCTTCGTCTTTTCCTCTTAAACAGCAAACAAAAAAAAAGGAAGAGGGGGAGAAAGAAGGCGCTACACATCGGGACATAGTTCACATATGCATTTACAATAAATGTACACAGCAAAAAGAAAAAGAGAAACGGTTTGGTTGTGGGTGTGTGTTTGGTCTCTCTTTATGAAATGGATAAAGAAGAAATTTATTTCAACAGCGGGAAGGCGGACGGGCGGGGGGCGGGCGGGAACGAAAACACAGCGCAGCCGCCAACGGAACAGAGAAAAAAAAGAAAGGACGCAGCACTACATCTTTGCGGTGGCAGTCGAAGCTTACGAGCCGCTCACAGCCAATCAAACGCCTCATCAGCACAGTTCCACTCGAGATACCGCCGCTGCACCGGCAGCAGCACGCGGTTGCGCCGAGTAGCGCCGCGTGTTGGAGGTACGAGCAGACGGGCTTGTCAGGTCCGCGTTGTAGGTCTCCCTATTTCTGGACGACAGCGAGGGCAATCGCGGGACGGCGGATGACGTGGTGGGGTATTTCTCTGCGTCGGCCACGCATGTATCGTTGTGTCCCAGCGTATTCCGCGCACTTGCACGCACGTTGCGGTTCTCACTGTGCGCCGTGGCACCGGATGACGAGATCGCCGCCCCTGTCGTGACGCGTGGGGCGGTGCCGCTGCTGTCGCGACGCGTTGCGGACGACGGCGCTGCATTGATCGGGTCGTGGAGGTGGATATCGTCGTCGTGCACACGCGCTGGTTCGCTGCCAAGAAGGCGACGGTCTCTATTGGGGGCAGACGGCGAGGACGAAGTAGGAGGGGGATGGGAAGTCGTGTCGGCTGACTTAGTCGATGGCGTGCGCAGAGGCGGCGGTGGTCGGCCTGCGAGCGACACGACTTCGCTGGTATTGGTTCGACGCGTCAGAGGCGACAGGACAGGGTAGTGCTCGCCGTCCCCCTCTCTCGCTTGCCTTTTATCCTGCGTCGAATCGACAGCAGGAGCGGTGGTGGCGGTTGTCGCGGCCCGCTTCTTTGCTGCGGTGGGACGCGCGGAGGTGCCAGTTGAGTCGCCCTCCGCCGTCGATTTGGAATTGATTCGCTGGGGCACACTTGCGGGCAGCACCAAACGCGTCCCGGGCAGACCCGCTAACTTCGCTTCCACCTGCGCTACCGCACGCGGACGGAGCACTGAGCAGCCCGCCTCCAGCAACTTCGCGTCCAACTCCCCGGCGTCCTCCAACTCCTGCACGGCGGTAAAGTCACCTATCAGTTTATCATCCACAAAAAGCAGCGGCATGTCCGGCATCACCCGCTTCTGTGTGCTATGCGTATACATGCGTCGTACTCGCCGCTGAAAGAACTCGCTGTCAGCGACGTCGATGGTGTGATGGGGGATGAGCTTTAAGTACAGCATGTTCTCCATCAGCCGGCAGTGATCGCGCACTTTGCGGTCCCCGGTCATGCTTGTGGTAAAGAAGAGCACCTGTCCGGTCGGCATCGACCGTAGCGTGTAGTCGAACATCGACGTCTCATCACGGTACCAGTAATGCATCATGTCCTTCATTCTATCTTCATAGGCGGCCTTCTCCTCGTCGGTGACCAGCTTCGCGTCGGTGAGCATCGGCTCGCCGTCGTCGAGCGCGTTCATCGTGTTCTCCTTTGTACTGACGTTGCCGTCCTCCTTGTCGTTTATACTCCGCAAGGAGGACACACCGTTTGTGGAGCTGGAGGACACTTGCCTCTTCTCTGCCAACTCCGCCCACGCCGCTTTGTTTCTCGGTTCGAGCGCCGCCGCCGCCGCTGCGCTGTCTTCGTCTACCTCCCGCCACCTAGCCCCCGTACGGGTCGAGGCGGCAGTGTACCTTTGACGCGGCAGCGAAGCCGACCCGCTGCCCATGTCGCCGGCGGCCCTCGAGTTCAACAAATCCGGCGCGCTGTGCTGCCCACAGTCATCCTCACTCCGCACGAGGGACCTGCTAGACTCCCGCAACTCCGTCAGCTCAGAATCGCTGCGGCTGACGCGCGTGTCGGACCGATTGCGGTTGTACCGCACCTCGCGGGAGATGCTATTGCCCAGCCGCGAAGAAGCAGCGGCTTTGGGGGGCGTAGCGCTGATGGTCGGCCGTGCACTTCGTGAAGAAACAGCAGGATAGCCAGCGGCCGCTGCCTTCGTGGGGGTCGCGACGTCCTTCTCGGTGGCCTTGCTCCGACTACCCGCAGGGGCGGTGGTGGTCGTCGTATGGCGTGCATTACCTCTGCGGTAATCCGCGGCTGCCTCCTCGCCGTCGTCGTTCACCCGTCGATGACCTCTTCCCGTCTCCTCTGCTCCGTCATTGCGAAGGCCCTTGCGTTGCCGCAGCGCCTCAGCCGCGGTGCTGCCGGTCGGCCCTGCGCGTCGCCCGTTCGTCGCACAGCTCGTCAAAGGCGCTTGTGCGGGAGCGGTGGTGGTGGTGGTTGGCTTTGTGGCTTTATGCTTTTGGATGCCACCGCCCCCGGTGTCAAGCTTTGCCAAAGCGTCGTCGAGCGTCATTCGACGGGCCGACACGAGGTACGCCAGATTCTCTCGCACCTCCTCGTCTACTTCCGGGTACGAGAGCTCTAGAATGCGCCGCGCCTGGCGCTCCTCGGGGTATTGACTAGACTGAACCATGACAAAGGACTTGATAGGGAAATCAATGAAATGAAAAAATGAGAAAGAGAAGAAGAGGGGATGACGCGAGACGATGACGACTGAGCGCGCGCGAAGTCGCAGGAGTCAATCTTTTACAAAAAAGGAGAATGGAAAATAGAGAAAAGCGATGTGCAGCAACTGCTGCTCTGAGAAGTTCCTTGCGTGCGTGCGTGCGTTAGTGCGGCAGTTCAGATCAACAACGAAGCGCACGGCGGGAAGAGGGGAGGGAAAACCAAAAAAAACTCTTGCGACGGCGTAAAGCAAAAAAAAAACACAATACTCCTATTCACTTTTGAAATTCGAAGAGCGACACGTTTCGCAGGAGAGCAAAGTTTTTGTTTGCGTGTGTGTGGATGTGTGGGCTGGTGGGTGCACCGCGATAGTGTGGTAGCGATGAAATCCACAAGAAGAGAGAGAAAGTTTGCGCTCGGGAAAAAAAAAAGAAGGCGCGAAAAGAGAAGAGCACGTGAGAGAGAGGAACGAAGTGAATTTTCAGAGAAGCGCATCACAACGCTGTAGCGCGGCGAAGGAAGTACATTTACCGACCCAGAAATGTGTACGGCGGGCATACACGCCTTTCATCTGTCTCTCGCTCTATCTGCGGCTGCCCTCTTCTCGAAGTCAACCTCTCAACGAGCACGAGAACACCTTGCGATGCGACGACGAGCGGTCGGCGGTCAGCAGGCACAAAAGTACTGAGACGTTGTCGAGTGGAGAGAAGAGCATCCGTAGGTTCCCCTTTCCTGTTGTGGTTGGTGTGATTTTTTAGAGGTAAATTATATTTGTTCAATCGATTGGGCAGAGGACAACAACAGAGAAACAAATGAGACTCGAGAAAGAGCCAGAGAACTGCGGACAGACTTCAACGGAAAACAGAATACATCCACGAATCGGCACGACAAGGAGGGGACACCGTGTGTATGTACGTGTATATGTGAGGGGGAGAGCTGCCGTGCTTCTCGCTGGCAATACTGATTCCGTCAAGACGGAAGGCAGCTACACACGTTCCTACAACAACAAAAAAAAAACTCTCAAAACAACCGTCAGAAGAAGCATGAATAAGTAAAAGCACTACCGTTTTGTTACTGTTGGTTTTGGTGGTCGGCATTAGCAAACGGAAAGAGAGAGATAGAGAGACACGCACGGGCAGAAAAAAAATCTATTGAGCTTCTAGTTGGATGCACGCACGTTCTGCAGCGACGGCGCAGCCGCTGGCTCCGCTGAATTTTTCTTCGAGCTCGCCGGCTTGCTGTCCACCGTGCTGGAGGAAGGCTTGCGGTGATGGATGGGCTCCTGCTTGCGGGGCTCGAAGAGCCCTGGGGTGCCACCGGCGGCAGCGGGCATCGCAGGCATACAACGAGGGGGCTATTAATGGGACCTTAGAGGCCAAAAAGGGGACGACGATGGCGATGATGAAACGCGGAAGGTCAGCGACGGTGAGAAACAAAACAAAAAAAGAGGCGACGCATGGGAGTAAAAAGAAGGCACGTGTGTGTCTCACGGCGTGCTGAGTACTGCTGCGTCGTGTGTACGTAAGATATGAAAGGGGCAGATGTGGGAGGAAAGCCAACGCACGTGAAGACGACTGCTCACAGTGTGAAACTCCAATAAAGGTGTGCACCTCACAAAGCGTCGGTGAGCGTCATTCGCGTTTACATACACCGCCAGAGCGAGAAAGAAGGAGTGAGGGAGTGGGAAAGATGATACTTCGTCGGCGGACTGCTTTAAAGAGAAAAGGGGGGCCTCTCCGCTGTCGCCGCGTGTGGAATCTAGAGGAAAGGGCACCGCGCGCAGAGAGCCGCGCACACGCGACACCGAGGTCGCCCTGAAGCTGGTACGCCATGTCGATCTGTCACCGGTTTGGTTGCGTTGTTACCCTCCAGTGTTTCCGACGGAAAGTACGTACGAGGCACACGAGAAGTCTAAAGGCGCCTTCTCTCCTGACACGCTCCAGAGCGAATCAGCCACCCCCCCCCCCCCCGAGCGACGTCGTCGTGCGCAAACGAGCTCGTTCGACGCTTGTTTTGCTTTGCTATGTTCTCCATGTCGTGCTTTTTGTCATGGCGTGTGGTGTACGCCACACACGTACATGCATGCGCAGGTGTACGTGCGGAAATAAAGGCAAACACGTAGAAGATCGAAAACAAGAAGGGACAAACCACTTTAGAAAAGTCAACAACAACAAGAACCACCATTAAAAGAGAACGCCCCCCCCCCTTTATTTTTAGTTACAATTACGAGGATGGGCTTTGCGCTTGGGGCTGCTTCACCAAGCGCCGCTGCCACATGCGCCGGCGCAGGTTCTTCTGCTCGTTCATCATCGTCCACCCCGCGCTGTCGCCGCCAACGATGGTCCAATCGGTCGTCCACGTCCACCCTGCCGGGGCGCGGATGTCCTGCCGACTCGGCACCTCGTTGCCGTGCGTGTCTTGCCAACCGGGGCACTCCGACGGCAGGTACCGCTTCCCCCACCCCACCAGCGCGACCCGCTGCTCGTACTCGTAAATCTCGACGATGGTGGTGGGCAGCGGACCAGCCGCCGTGCCAGACGTGCGGGAGGCGAACGTCGGCGACGCACCCGGCACGTTCGCCAGCCCCGCCGTGGCGTCCGCCGTCACCACCCTGCCGCTGTTGCTGCGCACACTTCGCGCCGCACCGGGTTGTGGCAACTTCGAGCCGGCGGCCTCGGTGCTGCTGTCCCGCGTGGCAGCACCGATCGCCTCCGCCTTCTTCTTGTCCTGCTTGCTGACGCCACCCTTCTTCGTCTTCCCCTCGTCCTGCGAAGCGCCGCTGCTGGAGCCGGAGACGGCCTCCAGGTCAGACGCGCTGCGGGAGTGCTGATGCTTCTTCTGCTTCTGCCGGTTGCGTGGGGCATCGGGGGCCTGCAGGTCCGCCGTGCTGCGGGAGAGCTTGATCGTGCCGCCTGCACCCGCCGCGCTGGCAGCCGGGGCAGCGCCGAGGCTACCGGCGGCACTTCCCCCTTCCACACTGTACATGCTGACGCTCGTGTGTCCGCCCGTGACCGGGTCGTCCTCCTCATCCCCCGGCATATTGACCGTCCCCTTCAGCGTCTCTGTTGAGACACCGACGTGGCGGCCCGTGGCCGTCAAGTTGCGCATGCGTTGATGCAACGAACTTTTCTGGTTTGCGTACTCCTCCTCGACGGAGTACTCGCTCGACCCGTGTGACTTCTTGTGGGGGCTTCCGGCACCATTTGCAGAACGGCTTCGGCTACGGCTTCGGCCAAAGCTGCCGCTGCTGCTGCCGTGGCGGCCGTGGTGGATGCCGGGCAGGTCCAAGAAGCGCTTCTTGCGCGCCTTCGCCTGCTCCACCGTGATGGCCTGGAGCTGGCCGGGGGAGGTGAAGGGAATGTTGGTCTCCTGCGGGGTCAGGGTGGGGCTGGCGAAGAGGGAGGCGGTGCGCCGGCGCTGCGTCTCCATGCCAGGCGCCACACGCAGGTAGAAGGCGACGCGGGAGTAGGGCAGCGGCCGCACCAGCGCCGTCCAGCGCATCCGTCGCACCCGCACCTGCGGGGTCTGGCGCTCTGTGTAGAGGCCGTAGTACTTGGTGCTGTAGGTCCACCCCTCGAAGTTGGTGTGGTAGCGATCCAACGTCCAGCGCTCCTCGGGAATGGGCAGCTTGTTGCGGCCGTAGGTGGCGCCCTCCCGCTTCGACGGGTACCACTCCGGACCGTCCACGCTGGACAAGAGCTGGTCGCCCGAGAAGGTCTGCGTGCTCGTCTTGAGGCGCTGGTACTGGTAGACGGACACGAGCGAGCGCCATGGAGCGACGCCGCCGTTGGCGTAGAAGTCGCGGATGGGCCGTAGCCGGTGCGTCTTGGGGATGTACGTGTCCGTCACCAACTTCCCCAGCGTGCCTGTCGCCCGTGACACGTCGGAGAGCAGGCCGGACATCGGGTTCGCCACCACGCCGACCAGGCCGTGTGCGGTGCCTTTCAGGAAGCCCGTCGCGCCCGACTCTGCCGCGCCTTCCATGGGACGCTGAATGATCCCCAACAAGCCGCTCGCGAGGCCGCTCAGCGTGTTCTGCCGGCGACGCTCCTTCTCCGACACACCACCGCCCATGCTGAGCAGGCGCGACCACGAGTCCGTGAAGTTGGAGAAGGCGCCGAGGCCTCCCCCGGCGAACTCCTGCGCGAAGCCGGCCGAGCCGCGCGCGATGCCCTGCGCGAAGGCCGACGGCGAGGTGGAGAGCCCTTCGATGGGGTCGCGGAAGAGACGCACCGCACCGTTGCCGAAGCCGGAGGCGAGCTTCAGCGGGGCGCCAATCATGGGCAGCGACGATGCGTACTGCAGCAGCAAGCCTTTCAACTGGGAGAGTAGGCCGTCCTGGTAGGTCTTGAGAACCCACTCCGCAAACACCCCAAGACGACTCGTCTGCTTCGCCGTGACGATGCCCGGCGCCGCCACGGTGACGTCCTCGCAGGAGGACACCAACATCGACAGCAGCGCCGCGTCCTTCGAGTTGATGTTCTCGCGGAAGAAGTCGTGCCCCTCGACGTCACGGGTCAGCCACACCCGCACGATGATCGGGTTAATGATAAAGCGCTCCAGCGTCAGCTTCGCGGCCCACATGTCGATCTGCACCGGCGCGTCTGCGTAGAGCTTCGCGGCGGTGGGGCAACGCTCACGCGGGGCGGCTGCAGCTTCTTGCAGATCCACCGTGCTTGTACTGCCGCTTATCATGCTCTGGTTCGAAACCTCCACCGGTGCATCACTGCCGCTCCGGACGGCTTGCACGAAGCCTGCGCAGGCCACCAGCAGCGTGTCGGAAACCCGCAACGCCAGCGGCACGAAGTCCAGGCGGACCTCGTTCAAACAAATCAGTCCCTTCGCCGGCACCAGCACGCGCTCCACATAGCCCGACGCGGCGGCGAAGCAGTTCGAGGTGCGCAGAGAGAGGATGCACGAGTCGTACCGCGGCGAAACCTCCGTCTGGTTGTCCACCTGAAAGTTCTCCATGCTGAACTTCATGACCTCCCGATCCGTCTGCCGGTCCCAGCTGAAGCGAATATCCGTGACGGCGCAGAACAGGACATCGCGGTTGGGCATCACCACTGACAAGGTGGCCACGCCCAGGTTGAGCAGCACATTGATGGGCGTCGGGGGGGCGGCCACGCTCGTGTACGCAGACTGCAGCGTAGCCTTCGCAGGCGACAGATCAATGATCTGCTGCCCAAAGCCACCGTAGCCGAGGGAGTACGTCACGCCCACCGGCGACGACACGGCGGCGCTCATCTCGCGTCGCGTCATGGGTCGGCTAACGTCAAACTCCACCTCATACACCACCTTCGACCCGTCCGCGTTGAAGAGGCGCACCTGCGTGAGCGTCGTGACCGATGTGTCGAGAATTAAATCTGTGCCACAGCCCGGCTGCACGCGTGCCATGAGCCGCCCCTTGCTCTTCGTCGCCGTGTCGCGCACCTCAATCAGGTAGTTGGTGCGGTTCAGAAGCAGGTATGGCACCCGCTCCGGCGGCTCCAGCACCACGTACGTGTACGAGCCCCGCACCACCAGAGACACCTCCAGAAACCGATCCCGATCAGCCGACGTGTCCTTCCGGTCGTTGTCGCCTCTCGTGCTGCCGCTCGAGCCCCCTTGCGACCTCCGCGTGTCCGCCGGCGGCTTGTACGCGACAATCAGCTCGCTGTGAATGCTCTCGATGCCGACCGGAGTACCATACAGCGGCGCCAGCGGACTCTGCAGGACGTGAATGTTGTAGCCCACCTCTGGGGCGCAGAGCGGGGTCTCGTAAAACGGTGTCGCGCTGTACGGCGGCAACGCTATCACCTGCGTCGGGGCATCCGACAGGAACACGACGCTGTTCTCCGCCACCATCTCCTGCAAGGCGCTCTTGATGTCATCCATCTTCTGCTGCTGCTGCGTCGGGGAGGCCGGAGGGCAGGCGGCGGCCTCCGCTGCCTTGGCGCCGTCGCACTCCTTCTGCTGTGAGGCAACCACCGCCGTCGTGGCCACCGCGCTCGCCTCCTCGGCGGTGATGCCGTTGTAGGTGGCGGGGGCGACGTAGAGGGGGAGGTGGCTGCGGTTCACGACGACCCAGCGGGGGGCAAACGTCACCAGCAGCGAACCGCACGGGTCGACCTGCGCAGAGTAGGCGAGGTGGATGACGGTGGGTCCGACCTTCGCCGTCGCCGCCGTGCTGCCGCTGTCTGACCTCTTCTTGGACCCGCCACTGCACGACGAGAAGGCCTTCGACTTGGCGGCCTTGGGGGCGGTCGTGTCTTGGAGAATCACCACACCGCGCTGCTGCGCGTGCAGTGGAACACAGGTGCCTCGATACTGTTCGTGGTAGACGTTCACGAAGAAGTTCTCGCCTTTGCGAATGTCCATCGGCGTGGCAGCCACACTTGCGTTCATCTCCGGATGCAGCACGCTGAAGTTCGGCTCCGCGTCGTACAGCTTGTTGGACCCGTCCGGCTTGCACTCCCGCAACGTCAACGAAAGCGGGGAGTGGTTGAGCAGCACGAAGGGGGTAGTAAAGATGACGGAGCCCTTGGAGGGGACGTACACGGCGTGGATGAGCAGCTCACGGCGGAGCTGCGAGCGGAGGGAGATGTACGGGCTGTCTTCGCTGATCGCGGTGGGGACCAGCGTGGAGAACACCTCCTCTTCCTCGGCAGACTTACCGCGCGGCGCGCTGGCCGGCGGCGTCGAGGCTGTCGGTGCGCTGCCGGTGGTGTTGTTGTAGTCGCACACCGCCTGCGGTGGCCTGCGCTGCCGCACCTCGAGCAAAAACACCACCTGATCCAGCCGGTACGTGTTGAGGGCGAGGTCGGCGCCCTGTCGCACCTCCAGGACGGTGCTGACCAGCGGCGGCACCGGACGAGCCGGCGTGCGGCCCCTCGCCAGGTCACCGTGGGGGTCCGGTAATACGTTCACAATGAGGCGATACGGCAACTTGTTCCGCAGGCGGAAGCGCGGCTCGACGGTGATGGTAAAGGTCGGCACCCCGCCGCGCATCTCCTCTTGCCGCGCGTACACCTTCACCGTCATCATCTTGTCCGCGTACCCCTTCGCCTTGCACACCAGCACCATCGGCACACCACACAACACGTCGTGCATGCTCGTTGATGTGGGGCAGAATTCCACCGCCTCGCCGGCGGCCCTGCCGGCTTCGTACTCCACCCGGTCTGGTGTGTGGACGGGCTGCACCAGCATCGCTGTGTCGAGGTCCGTATTGGGGGCCAGGTAAAAGCGCTCGCCGGGTTTGATGGGCGCGTAGTTGCCGATGGACGCCAGCCCGCAATGCAGACGGTTCTCCACGCAGATGATCGTGTGGGACGTGTGCAGGGGGTACACCTTCATGGTGACGGTGCGGCGCAGAAAGCGTGAGCCGTCGTCCTGGCCCAGCAGCACCCTCGTCTCTAGCACCATGTACTTCGTCTGCACGTACAAGGGTGGATTCGAGATGCTCGTTGCGTAGTCCGTCTCCTCCGGCACCTCATCCTCCGGCTTCACTACGCGGTTTATCTTCACCATACGGTCCTTCGCTATGAAGCGCAGAGTGCCGCCGCGGGGGTTGACGCGACGGCCGTCGGCCAGCAGCGGCACGTTGCAGTGGTTCGTCACGTACACGTGGGCGTAGCCGCGCTTCGGGGGCACGGCAACGGCGTCGGCGTCAGCCTTGTCCGCCTCCCCGCTAGCAAGCGCCATGGCCCCGGAGAGCAGACGACGATTTGTTGAACTGAGAATGTCGAAGATGGACGTGTTGGTCAGGGCGGCGGCGTTGATGCCGTTTAGCGAGGGGTACGGAGGCGACGTGGCGGCGACGCCGATGGGATGGAAGATGCTGACGTTCTGCTCTGCGCTGTCGGCCGCGAGGGTCATCTCCTCCTCTTGCAGCTCTACACGGGCGACCTCCTCCAGTAGACCCGCGTTGACGTACATCGGGACACCCTGATTCGGAGCCACCTGCTGCGTGCGCTGCTGCTTCTGTCGACGGAACCGCTTTCGCAGCTGCTTCTGCAGAGCCGTTGCGGCGCCGTAGTCTGCGATCATGTTCGACAGCAGGCGGATGTTCTGCGGCGACAGCACGCAGTCAAGGCGGTCCATGCGAATGCGGTAGTCGTGCGTGCTGACGCTGCCAGTGACGGTCGCGTCGAACTGCTCAATCGCCGGCTCCCACACCGCGGCGGCGTTGCTGAAGCCGTCGAGGAACATGCGCAGCGTCAGCTGGACGTCCATCGCCGGGTCTACGGAGAGCAGCACGTTGCGCATGTAGATGTGGGCCATATCACCGGTAGAGCCGAAGAGGATGCCATCCACCAACGGCACCTCCACCCGAAAGTCAATGGCGGGCAAGGAGTCGTAGCCCGTGCAGCACTTGTAGCACAGAATGCCGGGCTTGTCGCTGGCCAAGGCGAGGTAGGCGACATCGCGACCGCAGTGCTGGCACTCGCCAGCCTCGAGCACGGGGTACAGCGCGTCCAGCGACGCGGTCTCATACTCGATGCGCGGCTTCTGCCGTGACACCGTTGTCTCTTCGATGAAGGCCGCCCCGAAGTCCTTGGCCAGCTCCACCAGCGATCGCAGCAGCGTCGTGCGGGTGCAGAATTCCATCGAGTCGAGAATCAGGGACACACTCACGCTGTCAACCCCCGTCACGTTCATCACCATGTCCGTCGGCAGCAGAATGTGCGCCTCGTCCTCGCCGGAGCGCACGCTGATCATCTGCACCGACACGGTGCGTCGGGCCGCCTGCTCGTTCTCCCAGTCTTGCACGAATTTCATGTGTGACTGCATGCGCAGCGACACCGACAGGTCGACCACCTCCTCTGACAGCATCTGCAGCTGAATATCGTCGCAGTAAAAATCTGCTATGACCCGCACGGTGCGATCGCGCAGTTCAATGACACCGTCCTCTGCGACCTCCGCGCGTGGCGCTGTCGTGGCCGCCAAGGTTTCCACGGTAGAGGCGTCGGAGCTCCGAGCGGTGTTCAGCGGCGACGGCGCACTGCCGCCCTTTCCGCTGCGGTTCGACGCTATTGCCGGTGGTGGTGCAAAGGACGGCTGGCCTATGATAGAGTCGGAGAAGGCGGAGTTTCCCACATTCAAAAATTCCTTCTCAAACTTGCAGGACTCCGTCGTGAAGAGCGCCGTGCACGGGGCGAAACTGACGTAGGAGCCGATGGTGTACATGCCAGGGATGCAGATCGTGCCGTTTGTGATGGTCAGCTCGCAGCCTTCGCACAGGACAACCTGACCCGATGGCGCGCCGGTGAGGACCAGCTTGTGCTGATTCAGATCCAGCACGTAGTTGCACCGAGTGCGGCTGGCGGTCAAGAGGACGTGCTTGCCGTCCAGCACCGTATCGCCGTCCAGCGTGGTCGTCGCGTCCACGAGGTTCAGCACCGGGAGCGGGTCGATCGGCACACGCAGCACCTTGTAGCAGAATGGCAAATAAAGCAGCTCGCGCGTGTCAAAGAGAATTGTAGGCGACACCGCCACGTTGAAGGCGCCGGCGGAGACGATGATGGTGCTCTCCGTCATGCTGGAAGCTGTCTGCACCTCGATGGAGGGCTGCGGCTGCACGTAGCGGACGTGCAGCTTCGTCAAGACAAGCAGGTCTACCAGCTCCTGAATGCGCGCCGTCTTGAGTGCGGGACTCGGGCCACCGGGCGGCGACGAGGACCCCGCTGTCCCCAAGCCGGATGTGCCACCGGACCTCGCCCTTGAGGCTTCCACGCCGCTCTCGGCATCCACCTCCGCTCCGACGTGTTGAATAAACATTGACCCGATGCGGGCGTCGATGGTCTTACCGGTGGTGCTCCCCTCCGTGCTCTGCACACGTACTTCGTCAACATGCAGGCGGAAGAGGTCCGCCAGATCGGCCTGTAGCATCCCAACGTGCGCGTCAATGCTGAAGGCGGTGACCGGCACGGTGGCACTCGCGTCGTAGAGGTGCCGCTGCTGCTTGGGCTGCCCCTCCGCGCCGTAGCTGGTGTTTCCCCCAAATGCCACCGTCGACAGGTACGCGTTGTTCGGCGAGCCTGCGACAGCGCCAACGCCAGCCACCACCGCCGGACTTCCAGCCCCGGTGTTCCGTCGGTTTCCACTGCCCTCCGTTGCGGGGGATGCTGCCCCGCTGCCCGCTGCGGTGCTGCCCTCCTCGACGGTCCGCACCGTGCGATCCATCGGCGTGCCCTTCATCAACGCGCCCAGCACATCCATGGCGAAGTCTGTCTGCCGCTGCGTGAAGTTCATGGAGAGCACCGGGATGTCCAGCTTCAACAGCGAGTTCTGCTCCGAGGTCTCGGTGTCGTTTGTGGTCGACGTAGCACGGCCGGTGCTGGTGCTCGTGGTGTTGGCTGCCCCTCCCAGTCCTGGTGCAACAGGCACGGCACCAGCGGTGGTGGTTGCATTCGCGCTGCGCACCGCCGAGGCCTCACGTTGCACGGACGCCGCGAGCGAGCGCTGATACTCGACGATGATGCTGCATTCCTGCTGGAAGCAATTCACCTCCTGCAGCAGCATCCCCAGCTTGTGCACTTGCACGTGAAAGACCTCGTGTGCCTGTAAGGCGAGGTCCCCCTCCGCCTTGCTGTGCACCACCTCCGTCGACGTGGACGTCGCCGCCGCTGCTGCTCCCGCATTGGAGCGCCGCGGCACGACAAGACGGCTTTTCACGACGATTCGGCCAGGGGAGAGCTGCATGCCGCACGTCGCCGTCGGCTTATCCACCAGCAGGATCTCCGGCCGATGCACGACGATGTCCACCTCCGTTAGCGCCTCTTCTGGCGCCTTGCGCTGCACCGACTTGGCTGCTCGGTCCGACACGTAGTGGTACGCCTTGCTGCGGTTGCCCTCTGACACGTGCGTCTGCACCTCCCGCACTGCATCCATCACGGCGTGCACGACGTTGGGCACAAAGATGAAAGAAAGGCTCTTAATGCGGCACCGCATCTGCTTGGTGTACCTGGGACGGTGCGACGATGCGTCGCTGGTGGTTGTCTTGTGCGGACCTTTCCTCCTGCTGCACGGCAGCGACCTCACCTGGTAGACCACCAGGCTCTCACGGTCCACCTCCGGGGCGTGCTCGGAGGAGATGCTCAGCTTGCGCTTGTCCTCCGCCTCTACTGTCGTGTTAACGGCGCGTGCGCCTTCGACGACCGCGTCCGCCAGCGTGGGCGAGGTGGTTGTCGCCGCCGCCGCATCGGCTGGGATGCTGATGCTCGCTGCATCCTCGCCGCTGTCCGTGTCCTCCTCCTCTTCCTCTTCCTCCTCCTCCGCGACCCTCTCGCCCTCCTTCTCATCCTTGTAAGGGTAAATGAAGGTGCGGAAGTTTGTCGACGTCGATACCGTGTCCACCATGAATAAGTTGCCTAGTGTGACAGAGAGTTCGTTCGTGCCGTCGGGGTGCGAGACGGAGTTGCACCCGATGCGGGAAAGCCGCAGGAGAGCCACCTCGCGCTCCTCTTGGCAGAACTGCACCCTGCACTCCGTTAACGTGGTCTTCAACGTAAAAGGCTTCGCATTGGTGTTCGTTGCCGCCGGTGGTGCCGGCGCTGGCACGGCCTTCTCTCCGTCTGCCACTGCCGATCCGGCAGAGGACGACCGTGCGTTCACCGTGACGGCAGCGGTGGTGGCCGTGTTCGTGGCAGGGACCGGCGCAGCAGGAGTGGCGGGGATCTGCACCGAGAGGAAGGAGTTCGCGAGCGACCCAATACTGCGTGGGATGACGGTGACGAGGATGGCGCCGATGTGGACGTTGCCGACGCGTTCGTTTGAGTCGAAGTGGAAGCGCACGGCGTTGCCGCCCGCGATGGATGCCTTGAGAGATCCCTCCGGGCTCGACCCGATCGTTGTGTTGTGCTGCGCGAAGGAGGCCAGGGCAGGCACCACGCTCGCATTCAGGCTTGCCGTGTGTGAAAGGGACTTCGTGCAGCTCTGCACGAGGTACCGGTTTGTGGAGAGGTCCAGCATGCCGAAGGACGGCACCAGCACCTTCGCGCTGCCGTCCGCCGCCACAAAAGCGTCGAGGGAAGCGAGAGAAAGGGTGTGTGTGTTGCGGCCCGCGGCATCGTGGATGGCGACGAGGAGGCCGTCAATGTGCACCTGAATGATGCGCACCGGCGGCGGCGGTGGTGGCGGCGACGAAGAAGAGGAAGAGGGAGAAGGGGGCGCGGCACCCACGGCAGCAACAGCAGCAGCTGGGGGTGGACTTGTCTGCGCCACCGGGCTCGCTGCCGGCGACGACGTCTTCTCATACCGGCCGTAGTAGTACACTTCCCGCGGCAGCAGAATGTTGCGCTGGCCCAGCAGAATCAACCCCTCCACCTCCGTCGGGTGGAACTGCGCGGTGGTGCGCTCCATGTTAAAGTCAATCGTCTCTGCGCCGGCGATGGACTGGAAGGCGAAGCGCAACGACGACCGCTTCAGGAGCGACAAGATGCTGTACTCCTGCACCTTGACCACGACGGAGAGGGTGCTGGCGCTGGATTTTAGGTGCACCGCAGCCCGCATCACCCCCAGCCGCATCTCGATGTTCGACGAGCGTCGCTGCGTCAGGTGGAGGCCGTCCGCCGCGAGGATAATGCACGGCCTCCGCCACAGCACGTGGAGCACCAGGTGAGAGTTGTTCGCCATCTGCTGTGCCGCCGCCGCCATGCGAGCACGCTGCTCGCGCATAACGCCTAAGCTGCCGATCTTCGCCACCGGCTCGCACGGCGAGGTGAAGTAGTCGACGAGGCCGTGGATGATGGGCATAGAGACCAACGCGTGCAGTGCACCGATGCCCAGCTGAATCTGATTCGTGTTCGCCGCGGGGTCCGCCTTGAAAGTAAACTGCAGAACCTCCGGTGCGTCCGATGCGGTGGGTGACGCAGCCGCTCTCCCGAGGGGGGCGCCGGCCTCGTCGCCGTTGTTGTCCATGCCCCCTCCCGCTGCGGCTCTGGTGGGGCCGTGGGCGCCCGTGCCGCCCGCCTTCGTGCCGAGCAGCGGCGAAAAGGGGGCGTCCACGTCCTCCCAGCCCTCCTCCCAGTCTCGTTGCGTTGCGGGCGCCACGGCAAGTGACACCGTCTGCGACAGGCCGGCACTGCCGCCACCACCCGCTCCTCCTGTCTCAGCTCCGGCGGAGAGCGGGGAGCCGGCGGGAAGCGACGCGCCGCAGTTCGCGGACGTGCGCGTTGCTGCCACGGCTGTTGTTGCTGCCGCTGCCGCTGTGGAAGTAGGTCTGCGGCGGTAAATAATCTCCTCTCCAGAGACGGCGTCCACCACGTTCAGCTCCCGCACCTTCACCGCAACCTGCGTGGACGCGCTCGGCAGGCGCACTACATCCACGAGCACAGCCGCAATATTTGCCTCGATGAGTGTCTCGCGGAGTGAGTTGAGGAAAGGAATGACGACGTTGGGTGTGGTGACGCAGATGCGCATGCCGGAATTCTTCGCCGCGGATTCTGTTGCTCCGGCACCGCCACCTTCTTCTCGGCCTTTCGTGGTATTTGTAGTGGTGGTTGCTGGTGCTTTCATCGCCAGCATGCCCGTCTGCGGGGCTGTCCAGGCGGCGGCGACCGTCTCGTTGCACGTCGCGTCGTACAAGGCCAGCCACTGATCCGACACGGCCAACCGGCGCAGTGTGAAATCCGCCGACATGACCGAGATGGACAGCAACTCCGTGTTTGCACCTGGCCGTGCTGTCGTCGGGCTGTGGCGCTTCTTGGGCTCTGCTCTCACATCGGGAGGGGGGAACCACTCCGGCTCGTCGTCGTCGCTATCGTTATTATTGTTGTTGACATGAGCGCCACCTTGCTTCGTGTCACCGATGCTGCTGCCCTGCTGGTGGCTGCTGCTGCTCGTCAGGGATCCCATCATCCATTCGTCCGGGTCGACGCTGTGCAGTGCACTGCGGCGGACGCCGAAGTCGGACATGAGAATGCTCTGCGTCGTGAGGGAATCGGCAAGCTGCAGCGAGCCCGCCTCACACCACAGCAACGCCGAACTGCTGTTGTCGCGTACGTCGTCCAGCTGAAGGCTCTTCCAACGCACCCCAATGTGATTCGACGGCAGCGCCGCGGTCATGGCGAGTCCGCTGCTCTGCAGCTGGAAGCGGGAGACGGTGGACGTGACCGCGGAGTTGCCGGTGGTCGCCTCACTCCGCCCATCGGAAAGCAGCGTCGAAATTCTGCCGAGGCGCAGACTGATGTACAGTTCTTCGCTGCATCGGTGGGTGACGCGTGCGACCGCGGAGACGGCGAAGGAGGTGGAGACAGGGCCCGCGGGGTTGGCCAATGCACTGCTGCTGTCATGGCCCTCCCACGCACCCGACGCATTTGTGTGGGACTGCATCACCAACCTCGCTTGGCCGTCCTGACCGACCACCACCTGCCGCGACGGCTTCGGTGCCTCGACCGTGAACTGTGAGATGGCGGTCTGGTCGGTGCGCGTCAAATTTTGACGCAGCAGCGTCACCAGTTGCACCAAGTCCGTCTCGCGCAGCTCCAGCGAAACGTCCTCGCTGCGAATATCGATGTGCGGCGCGTCGTCGGAGAGTAAGTCCAGCGGCAGTCGCACCGCCATCTCCACGTACGTCGGCTTCGGAAGCAAGGCGGAGTGCAGCATGGTGCGACGTTGATGTTGGCCGTTGTCTTTGCTGTCTGTGCCGTCTGTCGTATCGCCCGGTGAGCTGACGGGCTCCTCACGCCAGAAGCCAAGCTCCCCAAACGAGATGTTCATCGTCTCCTTGCACTCCGCCGTGTTCAGGCTGTTCTCCAGCACCAGGTTGCCGAGGGCGGCGCAGAAGCGGTGGGTGTTCGCCTTGCGTGGGTCGACGGGTAGCACAACGACGGTGTCGCGCACCACCACGCGGAAGCTCATCAGCAGCCGAGGCCCCTCCCTCGCCGGCGGAGGCGCTCGACCGTTGTAGAGCGGGCGGTCACTGAGGCGACTGAAGCGGGAAAAGAGGCCGGACACAAAGTACGTCTTAAAGACCATAACGGTGTTAAGGTCGAGGGTGATGGTGCTGGAGCCCACGACCAGCTCCAGCGCGCTCGAGTAGCGCAGCTCCTGCGGATTGGCGAGCACGCGCTTGCCGCCGACCTCCTGGAAGAGTGGCATGACGGGCCGGCTTTTACGGAAGCTGAAGGTGATGTGACCACTGCTGTCGGCGTCTGCCGTGTCGGGGCTGCGGGGGAGGGCGGAGCTGCTCTCGCCCCTTTCACCCCCCGCGCGGGGCCCCGGCGCCGAAAAGGAATGCCCGCGCACGTGGATGGGCGGAGGTGCCGGTTTCGCCGTATTTGCCGCGCCGGTGGGGACGCTGCTGCCGCTGTCCTCCCCCTCCTCCTCCACGGTGGACGTCGCTCGTGGGTGCGACGAGGCAGGCGTGTAGGCCAGCAAGGTCCGATTCTCCTCTGCCAGGCCGGAGGAGGCCAGCACGCTCGCTGACACCGCGCCCACCCGGCCCGAGAGGTCCATCGTCGCGGCGAACTTCGACAGCCGCAGTTCCACATCGCTGACGGCGGCAGAGGCAAATGCGCTGTCCTCCGCCTCACTCGGCGCGCGGTTAAGCAGTGTGACGGTCGCCGGTCCGTGCACGCGCACAAAGACATCCGCGACGTGTCGGTTCGGCATGGCGTTCTGCTGTCGCACCATGTTCATCTGGTACGCGAGGTCGCTGAGACGGTTGTGGGAGCTGCCCATGGTGGCGTCGATGCGTGCCACGCCGGACGCACTGCCGACCAGCTCCCCTTTTCCCGCGGCAGCCGTGAGGAACGACCAGTCGAGGTCGGGGGTGTCGTTGGCGGGGTCTTTGCTGTTTACGGCGGAGAGGATCAGGTTTACCACATCCATCGTCGTCTCGAGCATCTCCACACAGGCCGTGCCGACACACAGGTTCAGCGCCGCGTCGACGCTGACGGCCACACCCGTTGGGGTCTCCCCTTCCAAGATGAGCACATCGACGCGTACGCCGCCGCACGACAGAATGGGCCGGTCCGCGTCATGGGCCGCCACGATGTGCGGCTCTTTCAACCACAACACCATCTTCTTGTGGTGGGTCCGCACCGCAAAAATGAACTCCGCGCTGACACACTCCACCCTGTACACAGGAAGCGGCGAGACGTGCAGCGTCGAAGCGTCGTCGTCGTACACGTCGAGGCCGAGTCGCAGCACCAGCAGCTCGAGGCGCATGACCGGGGGATCGCCGCCGCTTGCCGCCGCCCTCGCCGGCGCGGTCGACGCGGGAGAGCTGAAGGTGGGCGACGAGCCCGGCGTCGGAGAAGCACCGCCGTCCGCGGACTTCGGCTTGGCTTTACTCTCCTTTGCTGGCTCGCCGTGATCGCCGCCGCCCTCCGCGTGGACCTCCATCGCCTCCGACACCGCCCGGCTTCGATGGAGTTCGGCCGACAACGCGGCGGAAGGACTGCGGCTTGTTGCGCCGTCCTTCACCGCCGGCTCATTCGGCTTGCCCGAACCGAGGTGCGAGATCCAGGCATCGACCAGGCTCGTGATCAAGTACACCTGGTGCAGTGAGCACGCCACCCGCAGCGTCGGCACCTTCAGACGGAGCACGAATGCTTCACGAGTGGTGTTGCGGTCATCAATGCGCTGCAGCACGTCGGCAGCGATCGACACCTCGGGAATGAGCAGAAACCCCTGCTGCGGGAGTCGCATCGCCTTCTCCACGGTGGTGAGCTCCAGGTAAAACTTCGAAAAGCTTGCCTTGTGGGGGTAGTAGAAGAGCGACTCCTCCGCCGCGGCTGCCCGCGCCGGCGCCCCGCAGCTCCTCTCCGCGTCGGACAGCGACGGCTTCGTCGGCGTCGGCAGTGTCGGCCGGTCCGTCACGGCCGCCGCAGCGGTGAGGCGGCGCTGCTTCTCCGTCTCCGTCAGCGGACGTGCGTGGAAGCGCACCCGACCAAGCGAGACGGCCAGCGCCGTCTCCTGCGCACTGAGGTGCAGGCCCTTCGGCAGGATCAGCACCGGCGCCGAGGCGTCCACCGTGATATACAGCCCCTTCGCCTTGGTCATGGCAGCACGCAGCTCCTGCGAGGCGGCCGAACGGACGGCACTCGCGGCGTGCTTCGTCGTCTCCGAAAACCCCGACACATCGACCCCGGCCGGTGGGGTGAAAAAGTCGATCAAGTGCTTAATCGTCGTCGGGTCCGCTACAATTCGCAGCGGCAGCAGCTGCACCTTCACGGCGACGTCCACCGTCGTGTCGGCCAGCGGCTGCTCCACCGGGTTCAAGAAGCCGGTGATGCTGAAAAGCGGGGTGGCGTAGTCGGACGAAGTCAACAGCTCCTGCGACGGCAGCTTGTCGTCCTCCCCGCTGGTGTTGCTGCTGCTGCTTCTGCCGCCGTTCGTCTTCGCAGGGGCGTTGCCTTGCCGTGCGGGCGACACCGCGGGTGGCAGCGGCGACGTGGGCAGCTCCGACCCGCTCGCGTCCACCACGTCGAGAATGGTAGGGGCCTCCATGGAGGACGGCAGCTGCTTTCCGCAGTCCACCGAGGTCAGCGAGCGCATGGTGACCCGCTCCCCTGTCGAGCTCGACTTACTCGCACGACGGTTCAGCTGGACACCCTCGATCAGGTATGGCACCAACGCCGCGCAGGTCTGCGTTGCCGACATCGCCGCTGAGACGCTCGCCGCAGCTCCTGATGTTTGATTGAGGTTGTTGCCGCCCTCGATGGCTGGCTTCAATGAGGAAGAGGAAGAAGAGGCGAAGTTGGCCAATGTGATGTTCTGCGTGCGGAAGTAAAACAGTACCGAGTTGGGCTTGTTGAAGGACGACACACCGCCGCGCAGGCGGAAGATCTTGAGGGTGACAGAGTCGCCCTGGTCGGTGTCGATGCGATAGCTCGTGAAGGGCAGCTCGAAGGTCGCCCGCAGCCAGCAGTACGACGGCGGCAGCCCCTTCTCCGCCTCGGGCGTATAGGCGACGGAGGCAGACTGATCCGCCTCCGAGTCCGCGCCGCTGATGCCGTACTCCGACTCAAGCGTGGTAAAGAACCTCTCGTCTTCGGCGATCTCCTTTGCGGTCGCGCTGTCTGAAACCGACACGTTCGGCGAAGAACTCTCATTGCTGCCGACAAGCCACGAAAGCCACCCTCGCTTCGACTGCCCCTGCGCCTTCTGCTCTTGCGCCTGCATCTGCTCCTGCTGCGCATTCGCCTGGTGCTGCTTCGCCATCTCCTCCGCTTTACGTATTTCGTTGTCCTTTCGTTTCATTTGGATTTCATTCGCGATCTGCGCGTAGACCTGCTTGCGGGCCGCCTTCATGTCCTCCGTCGTCGTAAACCGCGTGACAAAGCGATAGCTCTTCGTCTTCTCCGGCGTCATCGCCGTCTGGCGCACGACGTCGCGGTAGAGAACTTGGTAGTCGAGCTTGCAGACCGCGGACACGCGGGTCAGCAGCGCCTCCCGCTTCGGCTCCTCCAGCACGCTGCGCACTGCCCGAATGGCGTAGCGCCACCATTGCCGCGCGTGTCCCTTCACCGGCACGTGTGGCCGCCACCGCTGCAGCTCCGACACCTCCGCCTGGTTCGTAAACAGCATGATCGTTTGCAGAATTTTGGTGTACTGCGCACGGGTCAGGCTCGCCATGACGTGCTGCAACTTCAACGACACGTCTGCGTAGGGGGTATTCAGTAGCTCACGGACAAACAGCTTGAACACCACTCTCGCGTCGAGGCCACCAGAAACGGGGCCGAAGATGGTCGACAACGCAACCGAGCCGTCCCGCGCACGTTGGCGCATGCGGTGGTACCACTGCTGCCAGTCGTCGATCTTTGCGTACCAGCTGCGGCCCAGCGGTGCGTTCGTACGGACGAGACTCGGGTCATCGCAGTACACCTGTAAGTCGTTGAAGACGAGCCGCTTCCACATCTTCTGCAGCCCCGACGGGTCGGTGAACATCGGCTGCCCAGTTGTCTCGTTCATCGTCAGCAGCTGCACTCCGCCCAGCACGGCGCCAATGACGGTGTCCGTCGCCTCATCCTCGTAACGGACGTGCACCGTTTGCACCTTCACAATGACGTTGTTGATCACCAGCTCGCCCAGGCGGGAGAAGAAGCCGCCGCCGCCGCCGCTTTTTTGGTTGTTGGGCGTGTCGGCGTTCTTGCCTTCTGCGTCCGCTGCGGCTGTTGGCTGCTCCGCCTGCTCCTTCTGCCGCTTGCGCTCCGCCTCGAAGGTCTCCAATTCGTGTGCCTTTGCCTCAGCGATGGCCGTCCACCTCTCCGCCTTGCCATTGCGCAAACTGCCACTGGAAGGGAGACCACCGTCTTCCGCTGGCCGGCCACGGTCGCCGTTCAGGCCGGCGAGGTCGCTGGCGCCCTTCAGCGTCAGCAGCAGCTCCCCCACCTCCACCACGACCGGCTCGGAGCGAAGGTGCTTGAGAGGGATGGAGAGAGAGACGTTCTTGCAGATGCCGCGGTGGGCTCGGATGGGCAGCGCTGGCTTCTTCTTTTTCTTATTAGGCAACTGCGACACGGGAGACACTCCCGCCGCGACTGCGTCGGCCTCCTCGTCCTTGTCGCCGATGGCGCTCAGCAGCGCGTCGAGGGCCTCGGGCCGCAAGATGAGGTCATTCAGCGCCGCCTTGCCACTCCAAATGTTGATCTTCAGCTGATCCTCGTTGATGTTCTCCACGTACTTGGACAGGTACGGCACCAAGAGGGCGGCAATGTACTTCTCAAGCATCTCTCCCTCTGGTGTGGTGATGAATAACACTGAACAAAGCACACACTAATCGAGAGCGAAGGGTTCTGTGTTGGTTTCGTCCGCAGCGTCTCTCCTTCGCTCGATCACACACGGATCGACTGCTCAATTCAGCGTGAACAGGGGAAGAAAGAGAAAGAGTGCCGTACAACGAGCACCGTATGCACAAGTTTGCTCGGGAGGGAAAGGCAAACAGCGCCACTGAAGGTAGCCGCGGTTGACGAAACCGCGACCACGTGCGTTCGCTGACTCTTACGGTTCAAAACAAAAGGAGAGAAAATAAAGGAAAGGAACGAATTGGAAACGAAAAAAATACCTTTCTCCAGTTCAAACAAAAAAAGGGTCAGATACTGCCTGCTGCGGAGCCGGCTTCAGACGTGGTGTTTTACGCAGGTCCTACTAGTGTGTATAGAAGCAAAGGGAGAATAGAAGAAAAAAAAGCACTACCTTCCAGAGTAGTCAACGGTTGGGACAGTAAGTAAATGAAATTAGTTATGATACCGGAGAAGCAACGGTAACCAGTTTCCTAGCAGAGCGAAAGGAACAGATTATTTTGGCGCTGATTCCTCGATCAGCGCAATGCGCCCAAAAAAAAAAAGCCGCCTCGACACAGCTGTTTCGCATGGAGGCACGAACTACCGCTCGGCCAAGCCGTTTCGCTGCCTATTTGCTAAAATGTATATGTGTAAATATCCTTGTATGACACTGTATTCTGAAATCCATAAATGCCTTTCTCCGCCCTTTCAGTACAACGTGTCGTTGTTTCGGTGCGCTTTAGAAAAAAGAAGAAAAAACAGGAAAGAGATAGCAAGAAGTTCCGCGCTGTGTATCGCTTTGGGGTACCATTTAACTCTCCTCCAAAGACTGGAAAGCACCACAATTCCAGATAAAAAAAGGATGACAGGGGTGTCTCAGAAGTAGGAAGCGTATACGAAAGGTGAAGGAGATGAGCAGGGGCAAAGCAACGGCTAACAAAACAAGAAACTAAAATAAGGCTTGAAAATGTGTCTGCGTCTGTGTATGTGTGGCTTTTTACCTCGTATATCAAATCACCGCTGTTGATAGGGTAAAATAGAAGGGGAAAAGGAATTCTGAAGCGCAATTGAAGTACTTGGAGTTATGCCGGGTTTTTGATTTCTCGTCCCAGGTAACGATTGTTGTGAGAAGGGAGAAACAGAGGAGTTAAAGAAATGAGATATACGTTGTTCGCTTGTTTATTATTGTTATTATTATTATTATTACTTCAGGCATGTGCCCGATGCACTTAAACGTTTTTGTTGTTGCCAGTCGAAGAAGCTGCGAGTGCACGTTCCCCGATGAAAACATATCCGTCGACCACCACCTAATTATCCGCGGCTCTCTTGCTCTGCTTTCTTGCGTTCGCATAAAACTCTTCTCACAAGAAGGATGCGCAGACCAAACCCAAAAATACCGCACGTGGTTGTCACCTCTCCGCTGTCCACAAAGTAAAGCAACGAGGCAGCGTTGGGTAAAAAAGAGAAAAAAAAGACTGTCTCTTCGCGGCGAGATCACGCAACGTCACAGGTCTTCATCCGCGTCGTCGCTGCCCACAAGCCTCGTTGCATTTTCTCGGGTGTGCTCTAGGCGTGCTGGTGTGCGCAAACAAGCGTCACTCTCATCCGCGTTGGATGCGGTGTCCTTGTCCCATTCGGCCAGCTGCTCCTGCACGGCAGTCATCAGAGACATGGGCGACGTCCCAGGCGGCACATCTTGGCCCAACTCCCAAATCATAATACCCGCAATCCCAGAAGAGCGCGCCAGACGCATCTTTCGCCGCACGTCATCGTAGCCGTTGTAGTCGTAGCCTGCGTACTCACTCAGCGAGCGCAGCTCTGGTCCGCCCTCCACCCAGTCCGGATGCCGCTTCCCCGCCCACTGCCGAAGAAACTGCCACAGGTGCTCGTAGGTCTCCGGCGGTACTCGCCCGTCTGCGCGATGACGACCGTAGAAAGGGATTCCGAGGCACAGCTTCCGGCGGTGGTCAGCTTCGTGTGGTTTCCTGCTCTGCGGTGCGTCCTCCTCCGCCTCCCCGTGCGCCTGTCGGCGGATCTTCTTGAGACGGGCGTTGTACACGGCGTCGTCGAGGTCGCCAATGACGTCGTCCTGCAGCACCGACGCTGCGTAGGCGACGGAGCTGTGGGAGTCGTTCGCGATGATGTGGTCGTACGCCATCCAATGGAGGTAGTCGAGTGAGGGGAGCACATGGCTGACGCGCAGGACGTGGGGGATCCTAGGGTGGGGGTGCAGAGCCATGGTGATGAGGGCCGGGCCCACGCGGCGGCCGTGGTGATCGCCTGCGGTGGTGCGGTTCAGCGCAGAGCGCAGCTCCGTCAAAAACTGGCCGAAGTTGAGCCACTCCGGCATGGAACTCGGGTACTCCCAGTTGAAGTCAACGCCGTCCAGGTCGCGCTCGTGCAGCACGCGGCCCACCTCGCTGACAAAGCGTCGCCGGCCGAGGACATCGCCGACTAACCGCGGGAAGCCCGCGCTGCGACCGCCACCCCCAATGCACAGCAGCAGCTTAACTCCATACGTGTCTGCCAGCTCACGGAGTGTCTTCCATTTCTCGCGCGACGGAAGTCGGTCGTCGACGTGGGTGAGCTGGAGAGAGGTGGGGTCGACCTCAGCGCTGAAAAAAATGAGGTGTGTCAGGCCAGACCGAAAGAAGGCCTCGTAGTCGAAGCGGAGTTGCCGGTACTCCGGTAAGTACCCGAAGACGGCAAAGGGAGGTGCGGCGGACGAGTTGCTGCTGCTGCTGCTGCGCGCTGCGTCGGTCGTCGCAGGCGCGGTACGAACGGACGGTGGCTCAGAACGTTGCGCCTCAGTGGGAAGCGAACCGATGCACAGCAAAGCAGCCGTCAGCACAAGTAGAAACGATGCGGCGTGATTGCCGCTGTCTCGGCACTTTCCGCTAGGACACATCAATCTTGAATTCACGGTAATCGGTATCGCTTGTGCGCCTTTGTATAGCACGTTCGTCGGCATGGAGGGACAACAAAGGCAGGTACGAGAAAAGATGAGTGCTCTAAAAACAACGGTGGTCTATCACGCAGGTAGCTCAAATCTGCCTTTTGAAAAACACCAGTCCCCCCCCCCCCTATTGTAGCTAACTAGCGATAGAGGACGCTCTGAAAATTTTCCGCCGTTTTTCCTTTTCCCGCTTGCCGACTTCTTTGGAAATCCGCATGCGTGGACGTACGAACAAATACATTGTTCATCCTCCCACTACTGGCGTGCTTCGTCTCCGACTACGCTACTTTCATTTTGAATATTATTTCGAGAACAAAAAAGAGCTTGTTCGCACAAAGGAGAAGGCTCTTCGGCACTGCTCCTTTGATGATGGCGGGTTCCTTTAGTTGTGGTTGTTCTCTTTTCTTTGGCGAGTTCTCCCGCCGTGACAGAACGACGTGGGTGGCCTTGGCGAGCACCCTTACGCACCTATTCCCCGCTTCTCGTGGCATCTTAACGCCCGAACTTAATGGAAGCAAGCACACCTGCGAAGTAAACTTGAAAGCATATATATTGTATAGGTCAAGAACCAGGACAGGCACCACAAAGTAGATGCCACGGTCAACACAGACAAACAGAAAAGCCTTCACGAAGGCGAACGTGAGGCGAAGCATGAAGTGCAAGCCACCTCCGCCGCTCGAGGTGGAAACGCACACTACGCGAGTAGCAACGTACAACACCGAATGAAAAGGGAAATAGTGATTAAAAAAGACACAACTGAGCGGCACGCAACGCCGCGGTCACCCTGCGAAGAGAAACAAACGTTGAAGAGAGTACTACCTCACGCTCCCTACTTTAGCTTCGACACGTAGCTGAGACCGAGCGAGGCCCACATTACCATGGTGACGGTGCACAAGATGTACTGGAAGAAGAGCATCTTGGCCCACGGAAACGTCATGAACTGTCGGGCGTTGAAGATGAGCGTGCTGTTGATGGCAGTCGGGGACGCCAGCTCCACCATCAGCACCATAATCAGCGTCTTGTCATAGGTGCCACGCCCGCCAAACAAAAACGGCATCGTGTTGATCAAGAAGACGAGCACCGCGAAGCTGAAGGCGGGGGCAACGATGAGGCGAAGGCCAATGACACCCCACACAAACGACTTGCTGATGCCCCGCAAGGATAGCGTCTTCTCGACGCCGGCGAGGAACGCATTCCTGGGCGGCTTGTTGTCCTCCGTCTCCTCCTCCATGGGGACTATTGGTGCGGCGGCACCGCTGCCCGAGGCCTGCGCGACGTACGCGGTCGGCCCCTGCCCCAGCTGCCGCAGCGTCTGCAGCGAGAAGGAGTTGTGCAGGTCGTACTCAATCGACTCGTGTTCATTGTCGTACCACGCCGCGTGGCCCCGGTCCTCGCCCAGCAGTGCCCACTCTTCGGCGTGCAGCGGGTATTCGGTGTTCTGCTCCGCGTGACGCATACGAACTCCCTCCTCCGCAGCAGCGCCCGCGTCGGTGGCGGAGCCGACGAGGTTGGCGCCGAGCAGCAGCAAGGAGGACGGAATAGACCCCTGGCCAATCAGGCGGATCGCATCCATCACCATCTCCAACGCACCGCCGTCGAAGAAAAGGTTCCGCACCGGTGTGACGACGCCGACCACAATGCCGATCACGACGGAGAGAAACGGCGGGTTCACCATGAGCTTGCGCACGAGGCCCCAGGCAGCGTGTCCGAAGTTGGTCAGCTTCTCCGATAGCGTCTTCTTCTTCATGGCCTTCATGTCCGACTCGTACTTGACTCGTACGAGGCCCGCGCTCCGCCAGTCGTAGGGGATCTGCTCCGCCGTGGCCATGGTGAAGGCGTAGTGGCCGGCCGTGGTGGGGCTCATGGCACTCGGTGCGTCGGGCATTGAGATGGCCACCGCAGCCGAAGTGCACCGCGTGTCCTGTGTATCCGTCATGTTCACCTCCGTCTGCGCACTCGCGCTGAACGACCGCGCTGAGGAACTGCGAGAAAACTTGTTTCCGCTGCCGCCTTCGTCCACGTTGCCTGGTGCTGGAGTGGTGCTGGTACCGCCGTTTGAGCGCGGGCTGCGTTGGGTGCCTGAAAGGCGGTCGCCCTCCTCACGCGCGGGTGCGCCGGCGTGGGAACGCTCGGCCGCGGCGTCGTACTGCAGAACGTGGTCCACCGGAAAGGACAAGGTCTGCGTCGTAGCGTCGCAGCGCGCCGACATCCGCTTGTGCTTTGTGATCAGCTCCCGAATCAGCCGCTGCTTCTTCGCGGCCTTCTCCCCCTGCTCCACAAAGGCCGGGCCGGCAGACCACAGGTACAGCATGTAGCTAATGGCAAAGACGAAGATGTACGCGGCAGCCTGCGCGAAGTCGATGAATTCAACCGCACTGGCGATGTTCGTCATGAGGGAGATGGGCAGCGTGACGCCGTTCTGGGTAGAGCAGCCGACCCACATCGCCCAGATGTAGCCCGCCGTGTCCTCCAGCGACTTGTCTGGGACATCCAGCGACGGGACGACATCGTTGCCGTCCACGCCGACCTCGCGCAGATGCTCGCTGAGCACGACGGCCACGTACGGCACACGAGTCTTCTTGTTCTTCTCTTTGCTCTTCCCCGACGGCGGATACGGCGACGTGGGCGACGCCTGCGTGGACTCCGCTGGCTCGTCTTCCTCGCCGAACAGCAGATGCAGCCGTACATCGCCGCGCAGCTCGGCTGGGATGCCTGAGAGATTCGGGTTGAGGCGGAAGAGCACTGCACCGCACGCAACGCCCCACATTAGCCCCCACGTGATCATCAACGTAGAGAAGAGGATGAGGATACTGCACCGTACGAGCAGCTCCAGGTTGACTGATTGGGCAACGTTGGAGAGGGTAAGAGACGTCAGCAGCACCGCCGAAATTAAAAAGCCGAAGTCACGCAGCGTGGACTTGCTATTCGGGATAGAGCTGGTGGTGATCACGCCGATCAGCACGGATACGATGACCTTGCTCACCGCAATAAACGTCACGCCTAGCATGTCCATCTTGCTTACTCAAAAGGGGAAAACAGGCCGGGTTAGATAGACACGAAACAACAATAATAACGTAAATACTGAGCTAGAGAACTCACAAGACGGCTCCTCTTTCCCGTTTATACATTAGATGCAACATCAACAGAAAATATGATAACGCAGTCAGAAATTTGGGCGCGTCACGAACACACCCTCATCGGCCTAGAACCTTTCGTACGCACACACAACAGCAAAAAAAGCAAAACCCTGCGGGCCACACTCGATTATTTATTTAACCTCTTCGTTCTTTTTGCGCTCTCGGTTCGTTTGACTATTCAACCGTTGATGAGACCGGGAGTACGCTGCCTTCCACTTGAGTGACACAACACTAGACGACGAGAAAGTGTGTGAAACGCGGTGCTGTTGAGGTGAAAAAGCCTACTGAAAAGGCGCTGACAGAAATAGAGTCGACCAACCGCTTTTTTTTGCTGTTGGTTTGTTTACAACGCTGCCTGCAGAAGCAGCGAGTCAGCTTCGCGTGCTTTTCGTCCCTGCTTTGTGGTTTTGATCGATCTCTGCTGATGCAGCTCCGTTTCTTGTTCCCAATTGTCGGCAAGACTCACCGGCTCTGCTTTCCGCTTGAAGTGACGTTAAAGCACGAAAGAAAGTAATTCTGTCGAGCGTAAACGGAAGGCGTTCGTGGGAGGAGCGAGGGCGGAAAGAGATTCCACGTGTTTTGCCCAAACGCCTTCTCTTACTTTCATTGATTGTCGGCAATACAACTACTTAACTTTTTTCTTTTGAGGACACACTGTTGAGTTGAAAAGAAAAACAAGTCACGAGCGGCGGTTCTCGAAATAGCGCGATTACTCTTCAGAAATAAAAATGATGAACTTGCGTGTTGTGTGTGTGTGTGTGTTGGCCGCTGCTTTGCGAGACAGACAGCGAGCATTTCACTCAACACAGAGAGAGAAGGTGTGTGTGTCAAGTAAACGACGACATGCAGAGTTTCTACCGAGCATACAATGAGCAACACTATTGTGGAACTCAATCAAAGAAGAAGCAGCGCAGCACCAAAGCCGACAGCTTGTACACCGTAAATGAATAAAACTTCTGTTGGAACACAGATCTTGCTTCGAAAAGAAGGAGCACAGCGACCGCTTTGCTTTTTAAGAAGCGCATGCATTGGTCCGGCTACGAAGACGCGCTGCCTTGTTGCTGTCCTTTTCACTCGTGTTTGTTTTGTTGTTTTTTTGTAAGACCTGCGTTGTAGCCACCGCGTCGAGTATGTGACCTAACGCCTATTAAGTGAGTAAAGCACCAATGAGAACAGAACGATAATTTCCATAAAGGAAAGCTCTCAATCGCCACGGTAGCAGCAAGCAAAAAGGAAGGGCAAAATGGGTGGGGCTCACGCCCGTCGCAGACCCGCAAACTCCTTTCTAAACGCCGGCCTTGCCTTCGCATACATGTTTCAGTGAGTGGCTTCTGCCTTCTCCTCTGACTAACCTTTCGAGTCACCTAAGTCAACCCGCTGGGTCGCGCTGAGCCTAGCCCCAGCCCACCGGCGCAGCCACGCGCTCCAGCCCTGACTGCGGCTTCTCCGCTGCATGGCCGCCTGCAGCTCTTGGTGGTGCGCCTCCAACACGGCTGGGTGCCCCGCCGGCAGGTACGACTCCACCCCATACGTTTGCTCGGGCTCCAGCACGCTAAAATTATGCGTGTTCACCTCACGCGTGATGTCAAACTGCATGCGATCGGCGCCGTAGTGACGCACGTGGGCCCGCAGCAAATCTTGGAACTCGTGCACGTTCGCGACGCTGCCGATGTTCGCCTTGCCGCGCGTCGCCGCGTCCTGGAAGGTCATGAGGATCGTACACGGCGACGTCGTGCAGTGCACGAGCAGCACGGGACGCCCCGCAAACGACATGCGCCAGTTCTGCACCATGTTGAACACAAACCCGGCATCTCGGTTGGGCAAGGTCATGGCCACACAACCGTTGTCGCTCATCAAGTTGCGTACGTTGTTGATGAACTCCAGACGTCCGTACTGGGTGCTCAGCTTCCCTGCCCCGTCGATGCCATCAATCAGCACCAGGTCGTAGGGCTTGCCTGCGCCATTCACCGCGCTGCTGCTGGTACCGGCACCGGCGTTGCCGGTCAGCACGGCCTGTCTCTTCACGAACTCGACAGGATCTGCCACCTCCACGGCGAGGTTGCTGCTTTCCTGGAACCCTAAAAAGCGCTTGCACAGGCGCACCAGCGTGCCGTCCTTCTCCACGACGTCAACGTGGAAGTTCGGGTAGCACGTGCTCAGCCACCGCGGCATCTCGCCCGAGTGCATGCCCAGCACCAACGTCTCAACGGGGATTTGCTTCACAAAGGAAAAGCGCCACGGCAGCGTCGTCTTGGCCGGATCGCGCAGGATGTGCACGGGGCCCAGCGCGAGCATCAGTTTACGCGCGTACTCCTCCTCGAGGTGGCCTGGAGAGGGGACACAGTTGTTTTGCGTCGTCACACCTTTGCACTTCACCATCCCGTGCACCACCTCTTCGCCTTGGCCAGGCATAAACTGAAGGTAATCCGTGGAGCGAATGGCCTTCTCTACATCCGCCGGTGTAGCGGTGGAGGATCCATCCGCGTTGCCGGCCGCTCCCTTAGCGCCAGCAGCAGCAGCAGCGGCGGCAGCTGCTTCAGATGGACTGACCATGCGCTTCCATAGCCCGTCAGGGGCGTCCGACCCCTCCTTTCTGTGCGGCTTCGACGTATCGCGCGACCCAGCAGACGACGTCGCCAACGGTATGCTGGGCTCGATCGCGCTAGGGACGTAGTGCACGCTGCGGTAGTACACGTCGTCTCGCAGGCCCGCGTCGTACTCGGACAGCTCGAGGCACACAAGGTCTACCTCCCCGGTCGGGTTCGCCGCAGAGGCGCGTTCGTGCAGTTCGCTCGCCTCGCTGAAGAGGAGCTGCGGGCGGCGCATCGCCTCCTCCTGTCCCGCGTTGGAGCCCTGAGGGAGATACAAGTTAGCGCCCACCTCCTCCACCCCAGCGTCTGCACTCCGCGCCGCCGTCGTCGTTGCAGAGGCGACCGTGCGCTCGTCCGCGTTGCTGAAGCCCCAGAAGGCGTTGTGTGATTGCTCAAACGGCACCCGTTGGATGGGCCGGCGCAGTGCAAGCTGCTCCTGTCGCGGTGTCACGTAGCGGTCCGTGACCTTCCACGCCACGTAAGAGAAGAAGACACCCGAGACAACGAGGACGTACGGCGACTCGAATCCTTTATCGAGCTCGGTGAAGAAGAACTTCGACGCACGATTCGAAAAGGTGCGTTTGGCATGCTGGCCAACCAGAAATTGATTCGGCCCTGGCGGCATTTTCGCCTCTGCCTCTCTCTACGTCTGTGTGTGTGTGTGTGTGTGTGTGTGTGTGTCGTTGTCCGTCGTACGACGTCGTTTTGTTTGGAGGAGAAAGGGGGAGTGGGGATCAGCTTCGTAAAGTGTTTTCTCTGATGAGCACTTTCCTGTTGGCAGCCGGATGTGTTTCGTCCCTTCCGCGTTCGCTCCGCTGTTTTTGTTTGTTGGTTGGTTTCAGCAAAAAGGTAAGAGAAGAAAACAGATGTGCTCAGAGAAGAAGAGAAGGGAGGGAAACGATTGGGATTGCGGCGTTGGGAGCACACGTGCACGCAGACTGTGCTGTCGAGAAACGTCCGACACCAAAGAAGCGTGAAAAATGGGGAGGAGAAGCTGCCCCTTCACTGCATACCCAACACGTTGAGAAAGCGACGGTGCTCCGCTACAATTAAATCTGCAGTCTTCGCCTTCTCATTGACACACACACGTCAACGTCGATGACTGTGATGTGAGCAACAGTTGAAAGAAAATGAATATATATTGGTACAGATACAAAGGCGAAAACGCCAACCGCAAGGAAACGTAGGCCACGGTGTTGTGCAGTTGAACACGCATGTCCTTCAGTCGACGACATGACCATATTTGATAGCGGTAAGGCAGGTATTCACAAAGAGTCAATAATGCAATGTACAAGCTAACAGAAGAAAAAAAAATAGAGAAGGGGCTCCTACAGGAGAAGTAACGCAGCGCCGTTGCATTCGGTGATGCATGCACACACATCAACACGCCGCTGAGGTCAACTGTACACACCTGCTGCCCAAATTAATTTCTGATATTTTCCTCGACCTCTCCGGTTCGATATCATTGTCGCAGGGTATTGACAAAGGGTGTTCGCTGGGCCGCCCACAGCAGCCGCTCCTCCGCGGACTGGGCTGCCAGTTCTCGACAAGCCTCGCATCGCCCTCCGAACACGACACACGTGTGTTGCGCCTCCGCGCCGGCCGCTGCAAGACGGTGCACTCGCTCACTGCTCCTCACACTGTGTAAGCGGCACGGGTACGACGCGCCTCCACAGGGTGGGCTTGATTGCTTCGATTTCACTTTACCACCTTGAAAGTCGTGATCAGACGGTGAGGGTAGAGGGGACGTGCTTTGATTTGCGTGGCGAGACTCAGACTGCAACCGAAGCCTTTTCAGAGCCTCATTGACGTGGAGTGGAAGTCGACACACGCCCTGGCAGAGCAGCTGGATGACATCGGGGTGCTCAATCCCGTACGCGATCCACTCACGGTAGGCGATGCAGCCGTCGCGATCCTGGTCGGCGCTGCGCAGTACGTCATCCCACGACAGCCCGAACTGCGAGGCGAGTTCTGCTGTGAGACTCATTGGGCATGGCGGAACCGCAGACCCGCTTTCACGGCCTGCTGTCCCGGTGGAAGAACAAGAGCTCACGTAGGAAGAGAGGAGATAGAAGTCCCGCAGCAGCAGGTAATGCCGCTCAGATCCTGCCTCCTGTTTGTCCAGGTGCACGAGAACATCAAAGAGAAGGCTGAGCCGCTCGCCGAGGCGCGCGTAGCGGTTTTCGCCGTTCCCGCTGAGCAGAAGCGCAGACGACGCGCTGCGGACGTGCTTGTACGAGTTCCTGTCTCCGAACTCTGCGGACGTCTCCAGCGAGCGCTGTCTATTTCTCCTGAGACTCGTCACGGGAGAGTTACTCCTGTTGAACGAATAAGGGTCGGAAAAGTACGTTAGGGGAGAGTTGTCCCTCTTGCTCTGGAAGTTGCGAATCAAGGAGAGCCGCGAGTTCTCACTGTTCAGGCGCCGGTTGTCCATCGGACCGCTGCTGTTGAGGTCACTGCGTCTGCATATCCGTCCTGACAACCGCGGCTCCGCACTTTCTCGTCGGAGTAGGTAACTCGGCTGAATCGCCGACGGTGAGTTCGAGGTGTAACACCGAGACGCAAGCGGCACTCGATGAGGCGAAAACGCAGCCGCAGCGGTCGCTGCCGTGTCGTCATCCAGCACACGACTTAGATTTCGCGAGTTTGACGGTGAGACACAAGCAGAGAAGGATTGGTCGGCCCGCACCCCGCTACCCCGTCGTGGAGTCTTTTGCGCAGCTGCGCTGTTGAGCGGCGTCGTTGCGGTGCAGTCCCACACGAGACGCTCCTGCGGCTCGGGAATGGCGCCGGGACGGTCCGCGTTGACCCATTTATCTCGTACCCCCGTAACCACCGGCAGCGTCTCTCGCAGTGAAAAGGTAATAGACGAGTGGGTGCCATGACGTACCGACGGAGATGCACTCTCCTTTGGCTGGACGACTGCCACGTGGTGGTGCTGCAGAGGGCAGAAGCAGTACACCTGTGCGCCAGGCGTGAGCTGAGAGGCGCTGTAGACCTCCTCCCACTGCCGTGTGGCGGGATTGATGAAGGCAATGGACTCCACGATGTAATCGCCTACAGAGGAAGTGTGGTGACGCAGACGTTGGAGGTCGACTGAGGGAAGTGAGAAGTTCCCTGTTGTCGACCCATCCAGTGGACCAGGCGGGTGCCAAGGGCGTCGGTCGTGTCTTCCCTGCAGCGGGAGAATCGTTTCGGCTACGGTGCAGATTTGCTGCAGAGACGGCCGGCGAGGAAATGTCACCTCGACGTTGCGCTTCAGCCCCAACACATCTCCGGCTATTCGCAAAACAAACATACTGGGACGCTGGACAGCACCGGAAAAGATAGAAGTGAGCGAGAGACGGTTTCGCAGTCCGAGCATGCGTGTCGCAGATGCGTAGATTCGCATAAAGCATAAGTAGAAGAAGAGGAGAAGGTGCAGCGAGAGAACAAGGTAAAAGCTAGCGGGAGAAGTAGTGCACGTACGCATGAATTTACTTTTGCAAAAGCGTTCACGTCACAATTTCTCTCTTCTTTTCTGAAGGGTTCATTCGCTCGCCTACGTATGCGTAATAAGATTTCATTAAACCTCCACACACGCGACGGTGATGGTCGTGAAAAAAACAAAAGAGCAACTCAGGAATAACCGTCTCCTTCATTCAGTGCCTTACTCTGGAGGCGAAAGCAGAGGAAAGGAAAGCGGCCTCCGAGCGTTAAGAGTACTCATGTTAAACGCTTCTAGTGTGAATAATAATAATAAGACCTTTCAGAAAAGCACTCCCGCAACACAGCTAAGTATGTATAAGTGATGAGAGAAGAAAGAAAAGAAAGAAAAGAAAGCATTCAGCATCTTGAAATCCAAAAAGAAGACAAATAAGACAAAGTGAGTCTTTAATCGCTTGCAGTATTGTGTAAGAAGAAACACTCTCACTAACAGTTTTCATCAAGACGTTTATTGGTGCTAGGTCATGGCCTCCGTGCGGACGCAGCTACCGCATGTGGCTCTCGCATACTCAAACAATCGCATTTGTTTTTACATACATAATAATGAGAAACAGGAAAAAAAACGTCTTGTTCGGCCTAACGTACGGTTTTTTCAGGGTCAATACACCGTTTGTTGTTCCTTTTCTTGTCATTTGCACTCGAAAGCGCTGAAGCACAGCAGAAGGAGCGAGCAGCCAACCTGATGAAGAGGAGACAGAGACGGCATCCAGAAGGGGACAGAAAAAGAGCAGAAAAGAAAACGGGCACTTCTTAATCATCATCCAGGTCATCCTCGTCAAAAGGCATGAAGCTCTCTTCACAGCCGCAGCCGTACTTCTGATTGGGATTCTTGAAGGTGAATTTCTCCTCGACGTTGCGCACGACGTAGTCCATCTCCGTGCCGATCACGTAGAAGAGCGCGTCGCCGTCGACCACGACCTTCACGCCGTCCTGCTCCACCACCACATCGTCCATGAAACTACCTTTTTTTCCTGCGGGAGAGGCCGCCGCACCCGCAGCAGCAGCCGAGCCGCTTTGGCCGCCGCTGGCGGGCGCGAAGAAGTAGTTCACCGTGTAGCTGTACCCACTGCAGCCGCGACGACGCACACCAATGCGGATGCCGCATGGCACCGTGACGCCACCGGCGCCTTCCTCGCTCGTCGCTGCACCTTTGGCGGCAACGTGTGTGGAGGGGTACTGGCCAATTAAAAACTTCACCCGACGCAGCGCCTGCGGGGTGAGGACGAAGGCAGCTTTGTTGCGGAACTGCAGCTGACGCTTCTGGAGCGGCGAGAGGGCACGCTGCGGTACGGGTCCTGCGTCCTCAGCGCACGACGAGCGCGCACCGAACAGCGGCGCAGGTGCAGGATCGACAACGGCCGCCCCTGCTGGTGCTCGATTTGGTTTCTCCTTTCGCGCTTGATACGGCTTTGGCATGGGTGTGCTGCCCGTTCCCTTGTGCGAAGACTTGTAAAGTGATTGCCGATGAGAAGAGCCGTTGTTGCTGCTGCTGCCGGGGTAGGACGGAGCGCCTGCATCCGTGCGCTTCACCTCGACAGACCCAACTTGGGTGTCCACCGCAGCGGTGCTCTGAAAGCGTTGCGGAGCAAGCAGGGAGCCCACGGTAACGTTGCGAAGCGCAGCACTCACCCGTGCGCTCGCGGCTGAAAAAAATCTTCGTTGCATTGCGAATGATTAGCTCTAAAGAGAGAAAAAGATCAACGTATTTACTATATTTGGAAAAGGCAGAAAAAAGGAAAGCACTCACTTTTTTTTTTAAGCTAGTGCTATGGCAAACGAAAGCAGAAGAAGTAGAATAATAATAATAGCAATAGTTACCGTTGTAATAGACCGCAAATAGTATATATGTATATACATGTATAGCGTTCAGTTCATCCGCGTATGTGTCCGCTCGTGGTGAAGCGCATGCGCGAGAAATAGAGTAGAGATTCGCTTAGGAAGCTGCAGCAGCGGGAGAAAAGAAGCGTAGGAGAGGTAAAAAAAAATGGTACGTGGTCTGAAATTGGATTTTTCGCAGTGTTTTCTTCACGACAGGAAGGAGCACAACGATCCCATCACAGCAAGGAAGAAAGATACTTGACAGTTTCAAGACACAGGTGAGGTTTGCCGTACACAGCAACAACACGCGAGGCGGCGGTTCAGACGTTGAAGCGAAAAAGATGGCACAGTCTTGTGCCGTGCTGCCATGAATTTTGTTTCGTATGTCTCTTTGGACGCTGTAATGCAGTTTTACTGTGAAGCGGTGGCACGTTAAGAAGTAGTTGAGCACCACCGTGTCCCGTGTAGAACCCCAAACTATCACAAGGGACACTTCAGAAGACACACTTGATAGAACGCGAACTACGAAAGTAGCTATCAAGTAGAGAAGTGAAAACGCAAACAGGTGCCACTCAATCACTTTCGGACTCATACGCCAAGTACTCTTCCAGCGCAGCGTCGGAGCCTTCGAGAGCCAAAAAGCGCAGCAACGCCCACTGATCAACCGCGGCAGTCTGCGCAAGTGCGGCTGCAGCAGCGCTCACCGCGACCTCGGCTGCAGTTTCTGCCGCCTCTCGCTTCGCCACCGTCTCCGCAGTCGCATTCACGTAGAGCTCCGCCCACGCAATTCCGCGAACAAGTTGTATCTTCTCTGCCTCCCGCATCCTGCCCTGCTTTGGGGGAGCCCAAAAGCTGGAGGAGATAGCGGTGTGCAGAGGAGGAGAGAGACCGAGCACACCGAGGCCGCAGCCCTTCGCCACGCGTGGAGAAGCCGTCTCAGCAAACAGCGGCCATCGCTGCGCAACCCACTGACGCATCCATCCGTCCGCCTTCAACCCAGCGGCGTGGGACGCGGAAAGGTTCTCCGAGCACGGCGCTGCCAGCGGTGAAGTCTGCGAAAAGGAGAGAAACAAAACATCCATCCACGTCTGCCCACGTACGGCAGGTGGGTAGTTGCCCTCGGCGTCTGCTAAAGGGGAGAGGGGAAGGCGATAGGCGCGATTGAGAGCTTTTGCCCATGTATTGTACGCATATTCGTCTGTTTCGTCCTGCGTTGCCGGACTGGGCTGATCCCCGTCAGGAGTCGTCGGTTCGGCGGACACGTGTAAAGGCTGTATCTGCTGCCGGTAGTAGGCAATACGGGTGGCGGCACACACAATCTGCGGCAGAAGAACATGCAACGCACGTGCCGTGTGAAGCAATAGGTGACTTCCATCTGCCTCCACTACGCCAGGCGGAAGCAGCGGAACAACAGCGTTCGTCGCGTCACACGTGCCGGTGACGACAGGGGAAAGATGACTTGTAGGCAGCAGCGAAGGTCGCAGCGTGAAGCCGTACCACATGAGAAGCTCCACGTCAGAATACGCGCCGTAGTGCAGCATCACTTGCTCGCCTGCTGCCTGGACAGGACGAATAAGCTGGAACTCGTAGATGTTGTAGTTGGCCAGTGGAATGGCGTCTTTGCCCACCTGTGCGCTGCGCAGCCCACTGCGACGGGCTTGCTTGCGTGGTGCCGCGGCCGGCATCAGCGCTGTGCCCACCATCGACAAGCTCACACTGCTAAGACTCTCAGCGTCAGAGGGGTCGTCTTCCTGTGGAAACATCGTCCCGTTGGAGTCCAGTGCGTAGTTGAAGTAGTCCACAAAGGGTATCACAGCCCACGTCTCTTCCGGGAAGAAAAAGCCGCGACTCATGAGAGTGTTGAAGGCCCACAGAAAGTGTCCCAGCGTGCATGGAGAAGCGAGCGACTCTTCAGCAGGCTGTGGCAGGGGAGAAGACGATGACGTGCGTGGCTGCTGGTGCTGCTCGTCCTGCTGCGCCTCGTCCTCCGGCTCGTCAGCGAGAGCTGCCTGTGCCACTGAGCATTGGTCAGACTCTTCTCCGCTGGGCATGTTCCGCAAAGACCGCAGGGCGGCGCAGCATTTGCGGTAGCGCTGCTCCACCGAGTGCTGCCCACGCAGCGTCGACGCACGGAAGCGCGCGAGTGCGACATACGACCGCAGCCACTCGGACGAAGTGGTGTACGACGTCTTCAGCGGCAGCGGTGGCACTGGGGAGGAAGGCGCGGTAGAGAACAACGGAGGTGCTTGCCCTGCAGCGGGGTTCGCGCTGGCAACATCAGGCGCAGCCGATGCGCTGAGTTGCGACGGCGCAAGCTCCAGCAGATTATCGTACTGTACCGGAAGCGCATGAATCCACATCCGCATCCACCTGTTCTCGTGGGTGAACCGCAGTGCAGACGGGTGTGATCGAATGCTACTCTCAGAAGCTTGTTCGTTCTCTTCTTCAGTGTCGTGCGTTTGCGGGCTGCTTGCGTCAGCTTGCCAACGACCGTGAAGCGCTGCCATCAGCAAAATGTAGCACACGATTGCCTCGGTACCATCTAATACCGCCTCCAGCTCCTCCACCTTGGCGTCGATCGCCCTGCGCACCTTCTGTGAGCGGACCTGCGACTCAAACTCGCTCTCCGACCACACGCGTGAAGTGAAAGGGACGACAGGAAAAAGATCTTCCTCTGCCATCCCTGTAGCTGACGTTTGCTTCGCATCCGCAGCCTTCGTAGACGTCTCTTCGCTCAGCTCCAGCGCCACTTCGGCCATCGCAAGATTGAACCGGGCTTTGCGGGCAGTGATCATGGAGCGAAATGGGAAGCGCGCGAGCGTCGCCCCGGGGGCCAGTTTCTTCGTGAGAACCATCCCGACACCACCACCCATGGACGGCAGCGCACGCGCTTGCAGAGCGGCGTGAATTACGGCCCCTTCTGCCTCGAGCAGATGCTGCAAGGCGGTGGCGGTACCCGCCACTGACATGATCCTTGAGGGTTTTTCTTCTTCAATGAGGAAGAGGTCCAAACCAAGATGCAAACGCGCAATGCCTCCGCTGGTTGTCTTTGCTGACCGTGTGACAGCACAGCGGTCAAGTACTATTAAAGTGTTACCTTGTACGTGGAAGACAGAGGGAAAATTCGGTGCAGACGGGTGTCAGAACAAGGATAGAGGAAAAAGAGGGCCGAACAGGAAGTCATTCCACACCACCACCACTACCCCGCACGTCACAGTGATGATCATCTGCACGTGTTTCTCCTGTTGCTGCTCGACAAAAGCGGCCAGGATGGTCGTAGAGGAGGGGAGCCTCCTGTCGCCGCCATCGTCGACTGTGAACGTTGATGCTGTCGTGAGGAAGCACAGGCACGTCACCCGCATCGGTCAGTCCTGTCACATGCAAATGATCATTCTACGTTTCTTTCCTTTTTAAAGGGGGTCTTAGGTCAAACGTCTGACTTCGTTCCTTTGTTGATGCCGAAGGCAAAGTGGAATGACAGTCCGATAAATTCAAGCTTTTTAGGAGGAGACAACATGCTGCAAAGAGCATCCCTCCTGCGTAAAGCCAAAACACCGAGCACCACACGTCAGATGCGACGCCAGCAAAAGGAGAATCGTCGAGACGACAAGAAAGAAAGGAGGAAAACCATCGGGGAAGCAGACGTGATACCTTCACTCTTGCTCTTCGTGATGCATCGCCTTTGATGCTGCAGATACCACACGAAGCGCTTGTAGCAACTCTGGCTGCGCTGGCTGGGCGGCGTTCAATAGAGAAAACGATTCGGACTTGGCTTGCAGTGCATCGCGGGTGACGGTCAGAAGATGGTGTACCACCGCCACCTTCTTTTCCTCTGCCCTTTCCTCGCGGTTCGTAGAATACTTAGCCCACTCGATTGCTTCCTCCCTCGACTTGGACCCGGCGGATTTGTAGAGCCGCGGCATCGCTCCCGGCTCGTACCGTCCGCCGCGCTGCACCGCGCTGGTTGAGCTGGGCGTCGTGACAGCTCGTCCTCCGCTGGGCAGGTCCGCCAACGCAGCGGTGATGTCGGCCAGTTCCTTGGAGCAGCACTGACACGTACGCGTCGACGCAGCAAAGGGGAAGGTCAAGGACAGGGAGAGCGGCCAGAAGTGCTGCTGCAGCGTCGCCCACAGAGGCGCGTCGCGGGCACTTTGTACCACCTTTACAGGCAGCTCGTAGAAGCGATGGGCGTGCATGCCAAACTCCTTGATGCGGCTGGTGGGTAGAGGGTCGAAGCTGCTCCCGCTCGCACCAGCAAGACCGTTTGAATGAGGAAAAGAACGAGGAGGCGGGTCGTTGCCTTCGCCTTCTTCGGTGCGCGATGCCTTTTCAGCAGCCTCGGGTGGGATGTAGCCCTCCGGGTAGGTGCGGAACGCCTTCATCGAAAACTGACCGGTGCGCAGCGTCTCCACCGGATCAATCACGAGAGCCACCCACGGGTCCTGCATGCGTTGACTGCCCTGCTGCGTCGTCACGTCGATGCCGGAAAGAAAACACGAGTAACCGGGGTGGGTGTGATACCACCCAACGCAACCCGGTTCGGCTTTGCCAAGTCGACGATGGTAGTCTAAATAGTTCGACATGTAGATTTGCGACGCCTCCGTCATGCTGCACTCCACCTCCGAGGCGGTTACCGGCAGACAGAAGCTATCCGTCAACACCAGCTCGCGATCGCGGAAGTGACCAATGAGGAGGCCCATCACCTCAAACCAGTTGAAGCGGCCCTGCGAGATGTCAGGGCACCCACGCGTGCCATGCATGAACATCTTCACCGTGGCAGCCAGGGAGACGGAGACCGCGTTGAAAAAGTGCGGGTCGGCGCGCCACGGCTTCTGTCGACGTGTGGCGTCCATCTGTTCTACATCGGGCACCCAGTAAGAGTCCGAGACCACCGGGACATCCGCAGAGGGTGGCGTGATACGCGCAACGGATGTGTTCCAGTGGTGGCCGCCGCGTTTCTCCGGCCGGCGGACGGACGTGGCGGTGGGTGTGGACATTTTATCTCCTCTTCCTCACCGGCCTTGACGATATGAGTGGCGAGTTCACTTTCTGCTTTCTCGGTAAATAGCAGTGGTTTTTTCGCGTTAGCGAAGCCGCTCGTTAAAAATGAAGAAGAGCGTTGCGCCTGTGTGGGATTCCCCTCGAACGGAAAGAAAACTTGAATGAGCGATACAAATTGGAGGAGAAGCGACGTAGCCAACGAAGTAGCCTTCTGCCATTCCACGGCGTGCACGCTACACCTTGATAGCGCGGCGCCTTTACGAACCCTGCACAGTTGGGCAAGTAGAAAGGGAAAAAGAAGAGAGATAAGATGTGCTGCGAGACTTGGAAAGAGGCGCAGGAGGAAGGAAGAAGGGTAAAGAACAACAGCGAGGCTAACGTTCAAACGAGAGAGAGAGAGTCGAGGGTATTCGTCACAGCAGCGCAATCCACCCTGGCATCCTCAACAGAGCGCCAGCAGCAGCTCCCTAACGTAAGAAGTCCTTCCTTATGCACTGATGGAAAAGAAGAGCAGGCGAGTTTTTGCTGCAATAGCAGGAGAGCGCACAAAGATGTGAGAAATAAAATGCGTGACGGAGGCCACTCGCGCCGATTCGCTCTCTTACCAGCGCCTTCTCTCTGTTGAAGATGTGCGAAGGGTTTCCTCGGTGTGTCCTCAACAGTTGCTACTATTATTATGTGTGAGTGTGTGTGCCGATGTCCAGTTGTTAATTACAGAGTGGACTTTAACCGCTTCACCGTTACGCGCAGCTTGCAAGACGTCAACAACAACAGTTAAACACATCTCCTTTAAAAAAAAAGACATGGATGACTAGAAAAACTTCCTTAGTGCAACCTCCGTGCCTCCTTTCAAGAAAGGCAGAGAATCAATTTGACACGACGAGCCAAGCCGAACTACTGCGTCGCCAGCAAGAGAACTTGTTCTTTCGTCAGCGTAGTTTGCTGCAGCCCTTGCAAACGCACAACAAAGCGGCGCGACCCTTGGTACCGCTTCACCGACCCGCTGCTGCCCGAGGACCCCGCCGTGGTTTCCATGTTCTCCGCCACCACGGACAAGTTCTCAATAGACCCTTCCGAGGTGAACGCCAACGGCGAGTGGAAGACGACGGAGCCGGCCAGCTCCGTACCCGCCGTTGACGGCGTAGAGGCGTCCGCCGCAATCGCGGACGTGCTCGCACTGAAGTTGCAGCTGGCCAGTGTCACCGTCTTCAGCAACGGAGAGGGTGACACCGTGGCGGCATCGGCGGCATCGCGATCGCGCTTGCGGTTCAACTTGCTTTCCGCTTGCGGCAGAAGATGGGCGACGAGGCTTACCCGGACGACGCTGTTCTTTTGACTGGGTGCCGTTTTTTCGACAGTGGCTGTCGTCGTGTTGTCCGTCTCCGCCTCTATCTCTTCCACAAAGCAGATGCTGCTCACCCAGGCCTGGAAATCGTTCTTTGCAAACGCGTTGGTGTCCCTTGTCGATGACTCGGACGTCCCATTCTCTGCTGCCGGAGTTCGGGCCAGCTTAAGCTCCTCTCCGGGGTGCAGCTCCATAACAAACGGAGTCTCAATCGCAGGCATTTTCGGCTTACTTAAAAAGGGGTTGTTTTTGGTTTTACTTCCAGCTATCAAAGTTCAATTGAGCAGCTCAGCATCGCCTCGTAGGAGTTGCTTGATTTATTTAGTTATCTTTGCACTGCAGCCGTGTTGTGACAGCTAAGTAGTGAAGAGGGGAAGGTGAGCTTTCTGTGGAGACTGCTTGACGATTATTGAGGGGTAGCGAGATCAACAAGAGGAGAGTCTGCGGAACAAGGACAAGAAGACACATTTCAAGAAAGCAACCAGAGTTTAGAAGGAATACAAAATATCCGTGAACTTAATCGAGCTCAAGGGCCGTGCTGCCATCTTCAAGCTAGAGCACATCGCAGCGCGCATCCCTGGCCTTCCAACGAGGACCAGAACCCTCCCTATAGTAGCTGCTTCACAGAGCACAACACATTAGTTCGATTTAGGATGCACTGCCACATTCCGTGACGGGAGCAGCTTGTCAACACAGCCGTGATATTCAAGAGCACAGCACCAATAAAAATGCGGTCATTTCTTTAGCTCCTCTCTTTTTATTAATCTCGTGTGGTGTGTGTGCGTGTGTCCGTCCGATCTTCGATAAGTACAACGACGCGGCGTTGAGGTGCTTGGTACAGCACATACGATGGACACTCAGATGCAAAAGAAGATTCGAAAGGAACACAAAACCTAATGGGGAAAAGAAAAAAGAAATGCTGAGTCACCAAAGGGAGCAAAAAGGGAACATAATGCAGGAGAGAGAAAAAAGAGAGGAGAAGCAACGCTACCAAAGCCGAAAGCAACAAGAAAAAACAGCGGCAAGACAAACATCAGTGAAACGAAGAGAAGGGGGCGGTGCGAGAGAAACGAAGCTATTATATGTTGTGCGCTTTGCTAGAGAAGACCTTTCCTTGAACGACAACTGCGTTCTACACGAACCTGCAAAATATATATATATTTATATATTCAATACAACTCCAGCGCCGTTTCAATGATCCAAGAGGTACTTGGTCATAATGTCCGTCAGACGCCCTCCCACCACGTGCGCTGTAGGTCGCCGCAGTGGGTTGTAGGAGAGGAGGTCGACTATGAGCTGTGCGAGGTCGTCTGAGAAGCCTTTGCGCACTACATTGGCGCGCACACATTCTCCTAACGTTATTCCGCGATTCCCTTGACCTGTCAGTGCGGACGCGGTGTTGGAGCGGCCGCCGCCGAGGGCGCTGGCGGAGTAGCTTTCCATTGCGAACAGGTCCTCCAGCGTAGCCCACGAATCCGCGTTGAGCAAATCCAGATTTTGCGTGTTGGGGTTCAGAATCATCGGGAAGTCAGGAAGCACGGTCAAGACGTAGAGAAAGACGCCCAAGCTCCACATGTCCGACGACGGCATCAAGCGCTCCACCTTCAGCGTCTCCGGTGCCATGTACGCCGTCGTGCCGAGGGAGGACTGCACCGCTTCCTGATTTCCCACCGACACCTCCCGACTGGCATCGAGGTCCATGAGCACAATCTGCTGCTTGTGATTGTAGAACATCACGTTCTCCACCTTGAGGTCGCCGTGGACGATAGGCGGGTTGCGCTCGTGCAAAAAGGCCAGCGCCAACGACAACTGCAGTGCAACGGAGCAGACGAAACTCTCCTCAAAGTGGTCGCCGCGGAAGTCGCGGATCATAGTCGAGACATCGCCTTCTTCGTAATACGGCATGCAGATTCGCACAGTGCGGTGGTCTGGCTTCAACTGCACCGCCAAGTATTCGACAAGATGGGGGTGCTGCATTACCGTCATAAAACGGACCGATTTCTGATACTCCTGCAGACCCATCTTATCGCTTGAGAAGAACATCGACTTCACCACTACCTTCTGCAGACGCGACGCGTGTGCGAGGTGCTGGCTCCGAAAGTTGTACACGGCGCTCGTAGGGCCAGCCTGCTGCAGCTCGGCACTCGTGGGCTGCACCACGTTCATGAGATCCACCACTCCCTGCGCGCCTTCACCGAGGCGGCGGGGAGAGGTTAGGTTCTGCATTAAGCCGGAGTCTCCGCACAGCAGCCCGAGCTCGTCGTCGTCGGTGAACACGCCATACTCCACACCGGAGCCTTTCTTGTGCGTACTCATGTGTTCATGCAGTTCCAGTTTCAGGAGGACAAAGCCGCAGTGTTTGCACTGCATCGCAGCCGCGCGGTGGACCGACTGGATGCTAGCAAGCGAGATGCAGCTCGCAAAACGCTCCGACCGGTCATGCCAGACTATCCTTGTGTTGTCGTCCGAGTACCCCAGCACCGTACCAAATGAAGTGTACCTGGTGGGCGAAGTCGCGGCTCCTGGATTGGGGTCGGCACCTGCCGCGGCAGCCGCCCCCGCCGGCAGCACAGGCTTGAACTCCACAGCGATAAAACGGTTCTTCTGCTCCGCGAGAACAAATTGAGGCCGCAGACTCTGACCGAAGTAGACGAGGCGGCGGCCATTGGAGGGATTCACGGGCTCTGCTGGGAGTGGCATCGGCCAGCCGACCTCCCGTCGACGCGGGTGGGAATCGTCCGACAAACGTGACAGCGCACTCTGCAGACACCCCGGTGCGTGACGAGAAAAGATGTAGTCGATAAGCTGCCGTGCCCCGAGCGCTTCGGGCGGCAGCGGCTGCTCGTACGTGTCTGTGTGGCTGTGGTGCGACGAAGGCTCTAACGGCGACGCGATAGAGCTGCCGCGCCGCGTCAACTCAACGATGCCCTGCGTGGGCGGCTGCCCAGCCGTGGCGGAGCCGTTCGGAGGAGGCGTCCTCTGCCGCTCCGCTGGCACTTCGCCACGCGGGGAAAAGTTCTCATCGTTGAGGACTCCGTTGTTAGGCTGACCTACTCGCATTGCAGATGCGTCCGGGGAGATGGAGCTCGATTCTGAACCCAGTGACGGCGGGTGTCCAAAGGCGGCGTTGTCGTTCTTAATAGCTGACTCGGCCACTTCATTTTGAGCCGCATTACCACCGTAGCAGACATTGTAGTCGTTGGTATAAAAAGACATGATGTTTGCCGAACGAGTGGACGTCTGCCTAAGTCCGACGATTCTGGGGGGAACACTACTAAAAGCTGAAGAAAACGAAGAAGGAAGCTGTTCACGGAGCACAAGATCGTTTTCAAAAGATGATCCCCACAGTTCTATGTCCCACATACACTGCCGCGGTGAACAGAAGAACACCAATTAATGTACAAGTCTTTTTCTTCCCTTTGGGGGAGATTCGAGTTGGCGCCAAGCAGGTGAGAAGGGAATGATGGAGAAAGAAAAGAGGAAAAGCAGCAGAGGGTTCTGGAATCACAAACAGTTCCAATGTCAAAAGTGCCAAATGGTGTTAGACGGTAAACCAAAAACAGACAGCTCCACATAACGGCCTACATATTGTAAGCTACTGTTTACCTTTTGGTTTTTTATTGTTGTTGGTGCTTCTTGTAAGTTCGACTTGTGATTGCTTCATCCAGTTGCACGCGCGCACAGGTTTTCATGTTTCAGCACGTACATTGATAGAACACGTTAAAAAAAAAAGAGAGAGAGAGAGAGAGATGGAGCATTCCCAACAAGAGTTGCGAATAGCAGAGAACGAGGAGAGAATAGGGAGGGAGAAAGACACCACGATCGGCTGTTCAAACTCTTCTCACGCTAAGCTTGTTTCTTCTTCTTTTTTCTGCTGGACACTTTTGGCGTTGCTGACGGTGTAACAGGCATCATCTACAAGAGCAATACAGACGTTTAGCAGGTGGGACTTTTTGGTCTTGAAGCGCTTGTATCATCTCTGTGTAACCTATAGAAGTTGGTGTCGATGACACTACAGCATCAAGAGAGATGCGGCCAGATTCCACTTTTCTGATTTCAATGCTTTTCTTTTTAAAGAACAGTCAAGATTACTTAACAGTTGACTACCCAATTGATGATGACGATCACAAAGATCTTATCCGATTTCAAAAAAAAATGTTAGAAGGCCTTCTCCTTAAGATTGTTAAACTGGAGTTGCACTCCACCACTCACACTTCGCACCCGTTACAAAAGCACTGCCCAGCCGCGTACCCGCCTCAACAACAACACCTTGGAAACGAGCAGATCCAATTCGCGTGAGCTTGTGCGACACGTTTCATTCTACTATCTTTTTTGGTGTGGGCACGTGTGAGTGACTAGTAGCTCTTACTCGCCGGATCAGCGTCGCCGTACAAATCTTGCTTTGTGAGGTGGTAAGCCTTCTTCCGCTTCGTGTTGTGCACGGGCTTGCGTTTCGCCCGCGTCTCCTCCGACACAATCTTCTTTCGCAGCTCTGCATTGGTGATACCAGTCTTCTCCCCGCCCTCCGCGATGAGGGCAGCCTTGCGTGCCTTCACCTTCTGCCTCATCTCCGTATTTCGGTTCTGCTTCTTCATATCACGCACGGCCTGACGCTCACTGCGCACCTTCCCGCGGATGCCATCCACGTCGGCGAGCTCACGCTCGATGCGGCGACGCTGTCCGGAGAACGAAACCTCCTGGAAAGAGTCGGGGTCCGCGGACTGGCGCAGAATGAGCTCCGCCTCGGAAAACATGGGCCGCACCTCGTGGGCGATGCCGCGGGCGACGGCGTATTTTCGACAGCAGAAGGCGACCTCCAGCATGATCGTGTTCGCCTCCGCCGTGGCCTGCGCCGTCGCCTTCGCCTCGAGCGCCTCCGCAGTGGCGGCGGCAGAGCTGCGGGCCTTACCACTACTCCCGACAGCCTTCTTGCCCGCACCTGCCGTGGCCACGGCGGCCGCCATGGTTTGCGCCAGCTGCTCTGCCCTACGCTGCGCATAGACGCCTCCCGCGATGGGCGGGAAGAAGTTGTCCAACACACGCTTCTCGACGTAGTTTCCTTGACTCATGGCGTAGAGTGGGATGCCGGCTGCCAGGGCAAGGAAGAGGTCCACGCCTGTCGCGGCCCTCACTAGCTCATCGAAAACGACGTCGCAGATGTGCATCGTCATTCCGATGCTTGCCGTGTTGACGAAGATCTGGCGCTGGAGAATAAAGAATATTTCCTCCACAATCTCTGCGGTGTGGGTGGCATTGCCGAGGTACTTTTTAACTGCGGCGTGCGGAATGCCGTGCGAGACCTTCCAGTTCGCCGAAGTGTTGTCATCCGTCTCCGAGGACGCCTCCGCCTCCGCTGTCGTCTCTGCGGCTGCGGCGGTGGTGGCTCCGTCACGACTGCGCTTTCCAGCCGCCTTGCCTTTCTTGGTCGGCGGAGGCTGAGCGTCCCCGATCTCCTTGTCGTCCTTGGCGGACGAGGCACCGCGCGTTGCCAAGGCCGCGACTTCTTCCTCGTGAATCTCGCGCACAAGCTTGACGTACGCGAACACCATGCGCCGCACGAGGGCTAAGTACTTGTCCATGCGGTAGCGGTCGATCGTGGACCACTCACGGGCAAGGACGCGGAAGAGGGCACCATAAAACAGCACCTTGCAGCGCGTCGTCTGCGGGGCATACAGCAGGTCCGCAATCTTCTGCGCGCACGCGAGCTGCACGAGGGGCTTGTCGGAGTGCCACATGCAGTAGTGAATGCCGCGAGCCAGCTTCAGAAAGACAAGTTCGAGGTCGCACCATGCCTCCATCCAAACCTGATAGCGCTCACGGTGCATATTCTCGCCCTTGTACTCGTGCGGCGGGCGTGGGCCCCAATTTAATCCGGCGTTGGAGTCCTCCTCGTCACTCTCACCGTCAGCATCACCGGCGGCCTTTCCAAAGCGGCCGTACTGATCGTTCTCGCGCCGCGCTTCCGCCTGCTGATGGCGCAATTCACGCAGCGACTGCTTGCGGCGGTTTTCGCGCTCCTGCCCCACAGCCTTCTCGCGAAAAACTTGAAGCGCCAACGGCAAATTCTCGTAGTGGTACGGATTTGGCGCTCTGCGGTGCGCCTTGAAGTACGCCTGGACCTCCGCGATCTCCGCCTCGTAGTTCTTCTCCATCGCCCGCATCGCCGTGGTGAGGCGCTCGAGGTAGTGGGGAAGTTCAGCCAACACGGCGTCGCGCACAACCACCTCGTTGTGTGCTAGCCGCTTGCAGAGGATCTCCACCTGGACCATCTCCACCTCCAGGTCGATCGCACCGCCCGGCAGCGACTCAGGGAGGACATCTGGGTCGGGGTAGTTGATCGGGAGTTGAGCCTCTCGCTTCCGCAGCTCCTTCTTCTTGATCTTCATGTCTGGAGTACAGTTAGGAGAGAGGGGTATATAGTTAGCTATTTATATATGAAACGGCAAGAAGTACCTCGAGTAAAGAGAAGCAAAAAGCCGATCAGTGCTGTTCGCACTTGAATGTGAGAGAGTAGTGAGACCGCGGGAGCTTTCAAAAGTGTGAAAAGAAAAAGGTTAACTAAAAGGGCAGTACAGCGAACCACGTTGTGCTTGCATCGACAGGCCTCCCATCACCAAATGCCGCCGGTCAAACAACAAAAAACAGAGAAATTCAAAATACTCGCGCGGTTCCCTCAAATCTTATGTTTACATGCGCAGACGCAACGTGATCATTTGGGGTGCATGTAAGCACCTTCTTTGTGGTCTTTTGATGACAGATTTCTAAATTCGAAATGCAAGTTTTTAATTCACCAAAACAAACCCGCAAATTTCAAAAGAAAAAAATATGTCTTTTGCCCCTGTGTTATGCAGACGTGGATTCCATTTAGCCGCTCTCTTTAAGAGCAAATGAAAAAGCAGCAAACAGCGCAGAGTTCCAACGTGGCGCTCAAGTTATTTCTCTTCGCGTGCGGTTGGCTCCCTCTAGATTTTTAATGAACATTAAAGGTGTCCCTTTCAAGGAAAACGTATCTGAGGCTGCGAAGGAGGAGCGGCAACTGAAGTTACAACCAAAGAAAAAAGAGAGGGATCAATTCACATTAACAAAAAAAGGATAACGTGACCCTTTACATGATCACCAGGTTTCGGCATAAGTGTGTGTAGCCAGCTGGTTTGCTTTCGGGATGAAGCTGGTCAGCATCGGCAGTGCTGCGCGTCAACGGTGCGGCTGAGAGTTCAGACACGCCGACGCTGTTGTGCTTTTGAAGGCACTTGCTTCCGCTGTCGCTTCGATTGTCAGCCACTGCGCTCTTCGAAGAAGGGGCTTCCATTTCCAGTTCATAAATTCGTGCCTCGGCGCGCTGCAGTGCTCGCAGCAGCTCACTATCACGGACACAAAGCTGGGTTGGCAGCGGTTCGACAAGAACAGTATTATGTGTTTGAGCTTCGTCCCTTTTGTGATGTAGATCTCGCGGCGAAGTCCGCTTGCCGCGCCGCCCCGTCAACGACTCAGGTGCCCCGGAGGCTTGGGGAGAGTGCATCGCTTTGCTCTTCGGCACCGTTGGAAATCTGTGAGGACGTTCCCTTTGTGAAGGGGTGCCTTCGAAGGACCATTCAGGAACATCAGAGCGCTGTAATCGGTGAGACGGTTTCGACAAAGCGAGATCGACTCTTTTTTCTTGCTCGCTGCACCGCAGCTCCAATCGCGCAACTTGCTCCTCCCACATTAGTTGAGACAGCTTCGCGTCTTTCTCACGAAAAAGTTCCTTTGGAGTGGCTTTACGCACACGTGGAACGACTTCCTGCGTTTTTAAAGCTCCCGTTAGCGTTGGTGTCTTGCCAACGCAGCCGCATCGACAGCTTAACAACCCGTAAGCTGGAGCAAAAGGAGCAGCGGGTGATGCGGTGCCAGCGCTGCCAGCGGAGCGAGGGCCGCGGCACGACGCCCCAATAGCGACGAGTGGCGGATGCCGCCGCCGCGCGGCAGCCGAGAAGAGCTGGGTGCGGTAGTTAGTCCTCGAATCAAACAACGGCATCGTCTGCGCAAAAAAGTTCTGGTCCATTCTTTTTTTAGTACTGCCTAAGCTTACATCAGAATACAGGTGACTCAGTTTTCAGCTGCGACAGCTTGTGTCCAAGCACGTGTGAAATGTCTTTCGGCGCCAGGCGTTGGTGAGAAGGGCGAGAAAGGGAGGAGAAAGGGAGGAGAAAAGATGAAAAGAAGATTATTGCGCGTGTGAAAACCCAGCATGAATGCGAGGGGTAAAACCGTTAAAAAGCACCACCACAGTCGACGCGTTGAGGAAGCCGATCATTTTTTCCAATTCTGTTTCCAAGCGGCAAATATATTAACAATAATAATAATAATAATACAGTTTAGGTGCGAAGTGCCTCTTACTTGCATTTCCTTTTCAACTGCATGTTGTGAAGAGGGAGCAGCTGAGTCTCTCGATCGAGAGAACGCTGATGAATTCTTTTCACTTTCTTTTTCCTTCGTTCTTTTACCTTGAGGAAACTAGATAACGGAAAAGGAAGAGCTAAATGATAGAGAGTGGGGGGGTTCCTTACTTCTCTTCCTGGACTCTTGTCGTAGTTCTCAAAAATAAGAACAAAAAAAGGGCTGCCAAGAGAGCCTTCGCACGAAGAGAGCTTTCCAAGTTTTGTCTTCGCCAAAACAGAAACCTTGTTTTTCTTTACGAATTATACACATAAAGACGAATGCAAAATGCTTGAAGCTCGGTTCAATTGGCTTCCACGAGCTCAAAAGAAATTTTTTTGAAAGAGTATTGTACACAAAAGAGAAATGAAGGCTGAGATACTGTTACATCCAGTAGGAAAAATAATAATAATAATAATAATAATAATCAACGTTCGTTTTGTTGGTTTTCACTCAACGCAGCACTGTTGCTCCGTTTACATGGAAGCATATTCCTCCTCCATCGTGGCTATCGCGTCAACAGCATCGTCATAGCCGTAACCGTAGCCCTCGGGATGGAGGTCGTGCTCTGAGGCCCAAATGGCAAACCCTATGAATGACATTGCATCCGTCTTACGGCGTTGATCGTTGATGTCGTAAAACAACTCGTCTGGGTCGTTGACGTGAGCGCCCCACTTGCGCAGAAGTTGGCGTCCCATGCGGAACTGTGCAAGAGTGATTTCTTTCTTCATCGGCACCGCCTCCAACGTAATTTGATATGGTTTCTTCGCTGCTTCCAGAAGAGCGGCAGCACCGCTGCGAGGAGCGGCCGAGGTGTCAGACCCCGCTGCTGTCGTTGGGGGCTTTACCGCGTTTGCTGTTGCGTTGGGAGGCGTTGCATGTGAATTTCCTTTCAGTTTACTTGCTGGTTCCTCGTCGCCGTCGTCGCCTGCGCGGTAGCTCTGTTTCTTTTGCACGATGTGCAGTGTCTCGGGATGGACGTGCCCGCCGCAGGTGAGAACGTCAAACATAAAATACAGTTCCAGATATCGGTAGAGGTAGGTGAGGAACGCATTCAACTCTGCAGGCAGCAGCACCTGCTCCTCCGAATTTTGGGTGAGGTAAACGATCTTCTCGTGCTCGTCTGTCATCTCCTTGGTTGCCATAAAGGCACGCAGAAGTACAGGGGTAAAATCGACGCGAAACGACTGCAGCTGCACCAGGTCCATCAATCCGCCGGCCAAGTCAGAGATGGTCAGGTAGCCGCGCTGACGTCGGTCCATCCACAGGTACAACTCGCGTCGTCGCTCGCGGTGTCGCAGGGACGGCCCAAACGGCAGCAGCAGGCGGAGTCGCTCCCAGTACTTCAGCTTCGCAGAGGCCGAGTAGCCGCCCAGCGCACCAAGGAAGGCGCGCTCGGTCGTGAACGCCTCGTGCAGGGCCTGAGTCTCTCGGTTGTCGAGATAGGAGTGCCGCGCACGCGCTGCAATCTCGTGTGTGTGTCGCACAAACAGTGCGGCGATTCCGTGAGCAACACCTTGGCACGTGGAGTCCGCCACCGCTCCCTTTGCTCGCTTCTCCTCCCACGCCTCGCTGAGCAGGGTGTCGAACACACTCGTCATTTCCGCCGGAGCTGAGCCAGACGGCAACAGAAGAGGCAGGACGCTCTGCCGGAAGATGTCCACCAATCGGGCGCGGTCCTCATCTGACACACCGGTGATCTGGTTCAAATCCTTTCCAGACGTGCCGTCCCGAGGAGATGCCTCGAGAACCGTGAGCGCGTAGTAGAGCCCCGCATAGGCGGACACGAAATGATGCACGTACTGCAGGAGACAGCGGAAGTCACTGTGATGAACCTCGCGCGACTCGAGATCGCTGCGATGCGCCACCGCATTCACTTCACGGACGCACGACCTGACCCAGGCAGCTACCTTGAAAGCGTCATCAACGCCCTGCGCTTCTGCACCGTCGCCGCCAGCCGCCGCACTTTCGTCGGCGTTTTCCTGTTCAAACGTGTGGAAGACTCGCAGCGTGATCTCGTCCAGAAGCATGCGCTTCGTCATCACGTACGAGATCAAGCCGACAGGCAAGTACCCGTCCTCGTCCTCTTCGAGCTCCACCGGTGCGTCCTCAGGCAGGTCCTCGTGGTGCTGCTTGATGCGCAAGATCTCACGCATGGTGGAAAGTCGTGCAAAACGATGGGCTATGGATACGGTGAACGGCACCCGCGGAGCCATCTTTTCCTTCCACCAGCAGAACAAGGACTCTAGGGCGTACGACTCGATGCGGTGGGCTCCGTACCAGAGAAGGGCGTTGTCCAACGAGAGAAATCCTTCATAATCGGCGCCAATGCCACGCGAGTGCAGCCACGCCTGCGCCTCCTCCGCGGACGGCACGTTGCATGCGCCTCCGTCCGTCAGGCCAGTGAAACACTCCAGCATGCGACGCAGATCGCGCTCCGACATAAATGTCTCCTCAACCTCTCTCTTCTCCCCCTCCTCCTTCCCCTCCGCTTCTGCATCACTCGCAAGTCCAGCTTGCGTGGCGGGATCGCGAACAGTGCAATCGTACGCTTTCAGCATCATCACGTTCCCAAGAACAAACTGCAGGAATCCGCTGTAGTCATTGCGTGTCAGGATCACAGTACTGCCTCCTCGATTTGGGTTGCTCGTGATGTACTGGAAAGCACGTCGCGCGATCTCCGCGACGGCGCTTTTACTGAGCTTGAGCTCTGCAAAAAATGCCCTATAATGCTCGTAAAAGGCGAGAAGAAAAGTTTGTTGAAAAGCGTTTTCTGCGCCTCCGTTTCCGTTGTTGTCCCTAACACCTGCGCACGACGTGGTGAGCTCCGCAAACTCGCGATACGTGGTGTTCAAGCAATGAAGTGGCATTGTGGTGCTGAGCTCCAGCAACGCGCGTTCGTCCTTCCATGTATACACTGGTTCTTCGCTCTCGTCAAAAGCAGCCGCATCGTTGAGTTGGTCGACGCTGTTGGTCTGCCAGTACGCCGCGCAGTGAAGGCGTGTGTAGTTGGAGACAACAACAAACAAAACGTGCTTGATGCTTACCATGGGCTCTGCCTCGACGCTTCCGGTGCTCTTCAAATCTGCTCCGACGGCATCCCTGGGTTGTCCGCACGCCTTGCATAGAGAAGAAAACGCGCCTTCTACAGTGAAGCTCGCTTCTTGGGGTGCAGTTGCGCTGCTGTTGCTCTCCTCGTCTTGCCTCAATAAAGTGGAACAGTTGTGTAGCAGCGTTTCGGCGGGGCAGTCGAGGTACTTGCACATGGTGGCAACAGCGCGCACAAAGTGTGACTCGGTAGCTTCGTACTCCTTTTGTACGCCGGCCGTGCTCTTTACAGCTCCATTGCTGCGGGAACTCGATGGGCGGCCCTCCGTCTCTTCAGGCGCAGTGTCCTCGAAGGCGCGTTGCGTTGCGGCGATGCTGAAAAAGGCGCGCACAAAGAAATGGCAATTAATGTGATCATCCAGCAAAAGCCGATCAGCCGACTCGGACCGTATTTTGTGCAACCATTTCGCTATCAATCCTGATGAAGGAGACTCCTTCACCGCGAACAAGTCCCAATGGGGTGGGCTCAGGCAGGTGAAGCGGATCGCCATGACGCTGACGCCGGCGCTGTAGTCGGTGTAGCGGGGGAGCTCCACCACCGCCTCCAACGCTTCGGCAGCCAGCGCCGTTCCGCAGTTGGAAAGACTATTGTTGCTAAGGATGAGCACCTGGTTTAGGAAGGACGCAATACATCGAACTTGGCTCTTGTCGTCCGCCAGCCCAATGGCGTTTCCGAGCTGCTCAATGGGGTGGCGCAGCACGAGCGTTTCTCCGGCAGGCACTAAGTCTCCTGCTACGGTCGTGCAGACGGCGTCAAAGTTGATCACCTTTGCCTCTTCAGACCTCTCCGTGCTCTCTATGTTGAAAACCTGACGGAAGACCTCTGCCACCTCGTCCGCACTCAAGATTCCTTTTCCGCCTTCGACAGCGACAATGAGAGGATCGAGGTCGATGTCGTGGCGCATCTGCGAGCCCCAGAGCGCCGCCCGGAACGACTCAAAATTCACGCTGTCAGGCAAGCATGAGATGTCGTATGTTCCGTCTTTCCGTGATGCGTCCAGCTGTTGCAGTAGAACATCGCGGTAGAGGTCGTGCAAGGCAAGGTAGGCCTTCAAATACTTGCGAAACTTACCTGCTGTGTCGATGGTCTCCGTGTCAGAGTCTCTGATGGCGTTCGCGAAGGCCTTAGAAGAAAGCAACTCGTGTACGCTGTTGTCGGGCAAGGTTTGACTAATGTCCAGCATCTCTGAGCACTTTTCCATGATTTCGGCAGCTGTCAAACTAAAGTGAGATCCGCGCCAGCTAGCAAAAAGTTTCTCAGTCTCCTCCTTGATCTCTCTCTGCTCGACCCGCAATCGTAGGTACGATGCAGAGCGATCTCCTAGCAGTTCCAACTCCGCTAGCTGTTCCTCCACTGTCTCGAGACGATGAAGCCGTATCCACCACAAGTGCATCGCGTCGTTTTGGTGCTTCAACACCTTCTCAGAGTACTCGATTTGCACCACGCCGTAGGAGCCAGGGTTTTCCTCCGGTCCGCACACTGAGAGCGCGCATTGCAAAGCGGCCCACTCGACGAAGGCCAGAAACGAGAGACTTGTAGGCGACTCTTTTATACCAGGAGCAGACAAGGGATTGCTACCATGCAGGTTCATCACCTTTTCTAGTCGAATTTCGTATTCCCTTGCAAGATTGATCAGACGCTTTGCGATCAGTGAGCTATCGTGGCCGTCTTGTTTTCCAATGTCCGCAAAACACCACGGAAGCTGCGTTTTCAGTACACTGAGCACTTTTGGTGTCAGCAGCTCCGTTGTTATTGGTATCGCAGCTCCCTCCTCCCAAATACAAGCGGTGAATTCGTATTGCGTCTTACTATCGGCAGCAGCTCCCAGCTTCGACAGAGCTGGATCATTATCACTTTTCAACAGCTTGGAAATCGATTTCATGAAGCTCTTCACTGCTTTGGGAAGCGTCTTCGACGCCTCAAAGGCAGCCAGCACGTGAAAAAATTCGCAGCAGGCGATCATCCAAATTCGATAATCCCAGCGGGATAAAAAGTGAGTGACACACGCATTTATAGGTTCTTTTGGGAGCAGCTGGTATGCGTGCTCGGCTGAAACCGCCACTTGTAGTCGATGGTAAAGCACTGCCGTGTACGGGTGAAGAGTTTTCTTCTTGTCTTCCTCGTTAAATGGAAGGTCCACAAGACGGAATTGCTCAACAAGTAGTGGACTGCATTTGAAAACGCGCTTTCCGCGAGACAGTAACTTTTTGGAAGCGTTCCGAGAGCGATCAGTCGCACAGGACTCAAAGAGCCGCGTACGCTCATTCACACTAGCCTCGTCCTCTACTGTGTACGCTTCCGACCGCAGATTCCATTGTTTCTGAAGGCCTACATAGGTTTCACGAAACAACAGAGAAGACGACGAAGCACCCATCGTGCCAGAAAGGGGGAAAATAGAAGTCGATCGCGTGCAGCGTTCGTTTGGCACCGATTCTCTTCAGCGTGAGTGTGAAGCATAAAACTAGCTGCTTTGTATAGTGTGATATGTACTGGGTATGTCTGAAAGAAAAAGGTAGGTTTAATTTCACGTTTGAATTTGTCTGCACAAAAGTCGAAAAAAAGAGAACAGTTATGCCAGCGCAACTGAGTGAAAAGAGATGTCACCAGGTCGCTGTGTTGCGCAATAATATTTGAGTTGAAGCAGAAAGGAGAAGGAAGGAGAACAATTGAGAGAAGTGTAAATGACTTGAAAAAAAATTGAACTACTATTGCCTACAACATCACGCAATAAAAAAAAACTGTTTTAAAGGGCAAATAAGACTTGAAGAGAGCATCGAAAAACAGAAACCAAAAAGGTGATCTATGCACTTAACATGAAGCCGGGAAAAGGGACTAAATCATCCGTCAACAGCTTGCAGCAGGAACAAAAGCCTTCTCTTTTGCTCAGTTTTTCTGATTCGCAAAATAGCCTATAAAAGAAGTAATACGTAGCCTCCCTTGCTTATTTCTTTTTGTTTTCATAACAAAAATAGCCTTTGCTGGTTAACTTGCTCGTTCTCCAAAACTGGGGTTTTTCTCCTCTGAAAGAAGTACAGCGTTCAAAAAGGTTGCCAAGTATTGTACATACTTGCCTTTCAATCGTTCCATGATCGCAAGACTCTATCCGATGCGAATGGTCCAACTAGTACAATCTGTGCAACTTTACAAATTTTCGGGACATACAGATAAAAAGAAGTAAAGAAAAAGAAAATACATCGTTAGAGAAGAGGAAGAAGCTCTGAAAAAAGAAATTTGGCAAAGCTATGGTTTCTGGTATATATATGCCACCTGCTCAAGTGACAGGGGCAGAGAAACAGAAAAGCTTATCTACAGGAGAGAGAGAGAGTTGAAAACATGGAATACAAAAAAACATACAATCAGTTTTGTCTTTGTCCTGGAGAACAATGAAACACTTGAAAAGACTGTAAAACAACGCAAAAGCTAGGGAGAGAAAAAAGTACAGGATTCTTTCCTACGCAGCCACGTTGTCCGGATCGCCATCGACGTCGAGCTTGTGGGCACTCGCCCAGGCGGCGAATTCGTCAAACGTGATCTGACCCGAGCCATTGTCGTCGATCTCCTTGAACACGGCATCAGGGTCGCTGATCTTCACACCCCACTCTGCGATCTTCGGAGCAGCCTTCTTGAACTCCTTCGCGTCGATCAGCATGTTACCAGAAGTGTCGATCTCATCGAACATAATGGTTAGCTCAAAGTAGTCGTAGATGTAGCACAGCATCAGACGGAACTCGAGGAACTCCACGAACTGCTCGCTGCCTGAGTTGCGCTCCTTCGTTCCCATGTCCTTGGCCTTGTTGAAGGCGCGCTTCACGATATCACGCAGACGAGTCGTGAACTCATCCAGATGCAGAACAGATACGCACCCCTTGTACGTCTCTTCGAATGTCAACTTGCCTGAACCGTTCTGATCGAACTTCTTGAAAAGTTCAATGCGGCGCTCCTTATCTTCGGCGGTCTTCTGGCGGGGCAGACGCTGGCGGATGCTTTCCCACGCAGCCTTACGCTCCGCGGCAGTCTTGCCCTCCTTCTTGCCAGTCTGAGTAGATTTCGAAGAGGTGCACCCCATTTTGTCTGTAAGATTTTGGCTCCTGATGGATTAAAGTGGTTTTAGTAATCGCGAATATAGAACTTTCGGGACTGGAAAGAAAAACAAGAGATAGCGAGAAGAGCGGTGGTGAGAGGAAAAGGGAGCACTGCACCAACACGCGTTCAGCAGAACACTTACATAACACCAAGAACGATATTTCTCTTCTCATGAACTACACAGAGCATTCATTATCAGTGTCCTTCCTTTCGCTTGGATCAGTATTGTGACTGGTGCGAAGATCAGCATCGAAAAAAGAGAGGAGCTACTTCTTTTCTGTTATTTTCCTGTGGGAGGTACTTTTCCGAAAATTGCTTCAAAACCATCTACATATCAAACAATAAAAAAAAAGCTTCTAAACGTTGGAGTCAACTTCGCTAGCAGCCAAAAGATAAATAGAAAAGAATGGATTTAAATGTCCATCAACGTGCACACATTCACTACAGCTCCTCAGCGCATGTGCAGCACTTTTGTTCAGTCTACAAGTAGGTAAAATTGCACATCACTTTTTCATCTTCTCTTTTTCTCTCTCTCTACACACGTAGAAGCCGGAGGAGTCGCGCTCACTATTCACACTGTCTGTTGTGGAGTTTTCAATCGACATCCCCTTCGTTTCATGAACAATATTTCTGCTAGCTCGGTTGCCCAACATACGTTCCAGAAACTTGAGAAAAGTTTTGCAGGAAAAAAAACGAGAACGTATTAAAAGGAAAGAAAGACTTCAAAACATTTTTTTTTGGGAAAAAAGAGAAAGAAAACTTGTCTGCAAAAGTAGAAAGAAAAGCCAAATAATGATTGCACAACAGGAAAGCAATTAGAATCCACTGTTGTTCTTTCGTCCGATAATGTTGACAATTGGCCTCAATTTTACTCAGCAGCAGATAATTTCCCATCCGCTTATTCGGCGTTGTCCGGATCGCCATCGACGTCGAGCTTGTGGGCACTCGCCCAGGCGGCGAATTCGTCAAACGTGATCTGACCCGAGCCATTGTCGTCGATCTCCTTGAACACGGCATCAGGGTCGCTGATCTTCACACCCCACTCTGCGATCTTCGGAGCAGCCTTCTTGAACTCCTTCGCGTCGATCAGCATGTTACCAGAAGTGTCGATCTCATCGAACATAATGGTTAGCTCAAAGTAGTCGTAGATGTAGCACAGCATCAGACGGAACTCGAGGAACTCCACGAACTGCTCGCTGCCTGAGTTGCGCTCCTTCGTTCCCATGTCCTTGGCCTTGTTGAAGGCGCGCTTCACGATATCACGCAGACGAGTCGTGAACTCATCCAGATGCAGAACAGATACGCACCCCTTGTACGTCTCTTCGAATGTCAACTTGCCTGAACCGTTCTGATCGAACTTCTTGAAAAGTTCAATGCGGCGCTCCTTATCTTCGGCGGTCTTCTGGCGGGGCAGACGCTGGCGGATGCTTTCCCACGCAGCCTTACGCTCCGCGGCAGTCTTGCCCTCCTTCTTGCCAGTCTGAGTAGATTTCGAAGAGGTGCACCCCATTTTGTCTGTAAGATTTTGGCTCCTGATGGATTAAAGTGGTTTTAGTAATCGCGAATATAGAACTTTCGGGACTGGAAAGAAAAACAAGAGATAGCGAGAAGAGCGGTGGTGAGAGGAAAAGGGAGCACTGCACCAACACGCGTTCAGCAGAACACTTACATAACACCAAGAACGATATTTCTCTTCTCATGAACTACACAGAGCATTCATTATCAGTGTCCTTCCTTTCGCTTGGATCAGTATTGTGACTGGTGCGAAGATCAGCATCGAAAAAAGAGAGGAGCTACTTCTTTTCTGTTATTTTCCTGTGGGAGGTACTTTTCCGAAAATTGCTTCAAAACCATCTACATATCAAACAATAAAAAAAAAGCTTCTAAACGTTGGAGTCAACTTCGCTAGCAGCCAAAAGATAAATAGAAAAGAATGGATTTAAATGTCCATCAACGTGCACACATTCACTACAGCTCCTCAGCGCATGTGCAGCACTTTTGTTCAGTCTACAAGTAGGTAAAATTGCACATCACTTTTTCATCTTCTCTTTTTCTCTCTCTCTACACACGTAGAAGCCGGAGGAGTCGCGCTCACTATTCACACTGTCTGTTGTGGAGTTTTCAATCGACATCCCCTTCGTTTCATGAACAATATTTCTGCTAGCTCGGTTGCCCAACATACGTTCCAGAAACTTGAGAAAAGTTTTGCAGGAAAAAAAACGAGAACGTATTAAAAGGAAAGAAAGACTTCAAAACATTTTTTTTTGGGAAAAAAGAGAAAGAAAACTTGTCTGCAAAAGTAGAAAGAAAAGCCAAATAATGATTGCACAACAGGAAAGCAATTAGAATCCACTGTTGTTCTTTCGTCCGATAATGTTGACAATTGGCCTCAATTTTACTCAGCAGCAGATAATTTCCCATCCGCTTATTCGGCGTTGTCCGGATCGCCATCGACGTCGAGCTTGTGGGCACTCGCCCAGGCGGCGAATTCGTCAAACGTGATCTGACCCGAGCCATTGTCGTCGATCTCCTTGAACACGGCATCAGGGTCGCTGATCTTCACACCCCACTCTGCGATCTTCGGAGCAGCCTTCTTGAACTCCTTCGCGTCGATCAGCATGTTACCAGAAGTGTCGATCTCATCGAACATAATGGTTAGCTCAAAGTAGTCGTAGATGTAGCACAGCATCAGACGGAACTCGAGGAACTCCACGAACTGCTCGCTGCCTGAGTTGCGCTCCTTCGTTCCCATGTCCTTGGCCTTGTTGAAGGCGCGCTTCACGATATCACGCAGACGAGTCGTGAACTCATCCAGATGCAGAACAGATACGCACCCCTTGTACGTCTCTTCGAATGTCAACTTGCCTGAACCGTTCTGATCGAACTTCTTGAAAAGTTCAATGCGGCGCTCCTTATCTTCGGCGGTCTTCTGGCGGGGCAGACGCTGGCGGATGCTTTCCCACGCAGCCTTACGCTCCGCGGCAGTCTTGCCCTCCTTCTTGGATTTGGAGGAGAATGCGGAAGAAGCGCAGCCCATTTTTGAGGCGGAAAAAGGTAAGACACTGTTTGTTTGTTTTTTTGCTTTTAAGCTCGCAGAGAACAATCTACGTAATATGTTGAGGTTGTTATTTTTTGGCACGGAGTAAGAAAACTGTTATTATATTGAATGAATCAATAAAGCATAACCATAGTTTGGTGGTATCGACGTACACATTGGGAACGATTCAAATCCAAGAGATGCAACAGAAAAAGGCGTGGAGTAGTACAAGAATGAGAAAGTAGAAAACCGCTTCACCTTCTTTGTTCTGGTGGCATTCTTTTTTTTTTTTAGCATCTGCCAAAAAGAATTCATTTTGTTGTGGTTGAGAGGTACGCCTGGCTTTGTTGCATGCTGCGCTTTTCCGCAATACGATTCCGAAACTAGAGTAATGATGATTAAGAAAACAATAATTTAGTAGTGTCCAGTAGAGCAGGAAAATAGAATCAGAACGATCTGCAAAGCATATTTTGGTCAATTCATTACGACACGATTCTAATTAAAGAGCACAGCGGTGCTTGGTTCGGAAATGTCGCTGGATGATCACCTAGAAAAAGGTCGTGTTTGGCAAATTTGACGCAGCAAGAATTACAGGGAAAAAGTACACAGTGATCCAGCTCGTCTCATCCTGATTCTTTGAATCCTAAACACACACAACACAACACGCACTGGAGTAGCCAGCCATTCCCGACCTCGTAGCGCACTCGTGCTTTTGCGCCACCCCACCTACTTCGAAACGCTTACGACAGCAAAGCGTTATCTTTGCCCTCTGCAGCTTTTCCGCCTCCTTGCCACTCTGTCATTGAGCTACCCGTGGCGCTTGTCTTCCGCGATGCATTTTCTTTCTCGCCACGAGCCAGGAGCCCCTCTCGGTTTTCCACACATTCACCATCTCCTCTTTTCTGCAGCCCGTTATCCATAAGGTTTCTTTTAGCAGATTCAGGAGTTCTCGAAACCCACCTTCCGCACAAGCAAGTCAACAATCGACATACACTGGTCGTCAATACTGCTGTTTTGTTCGACAACAACTATGAACTTTTTCGTTCAGAGCAAGATTCACTCTCAACGCTCCTAACCGGCAAAAGTCAGTTTCGTTCTCTGTGTTCATTGTTCACCGTCATCTTGCGATTCGAACAGCATCGTCTCAAATCCCTCGTTACTTCCGCAAAATCTGGAATGGCGGAGGCCTTTGCCGCGGAGGGGACACCTTCTGTAAACACGGAAGCCCCTGCACCGTCGGCCTCGTCATCAACCCCCCCCCCACCTTCGCAATCGCCACAACACGTTTCTAACTCTAGCAGCACGTGTTACCTACTCTGGCTTCGAGGCGCACAAGCAGTGTATATAGAATCCTTGTTGCCGCATGGCAGCGCCCCGGTGCCAAAGGAAGCATCCATACTACTTCATTCAGGACCCACGCGTGCTGCACGTACAGACCTGCTAAACTATGGAACGAGTCGTAAGCCTCCTCAACATGACTCCACCCTTGATCTACATGTCCAGACCATGTCGCGATCCCCTTTGTCTAGCGTCAGAAAACGCATATGGATTCTATCACACATACCACTGCTCTGCATGCACCATGCAAAATTGAATCTCTGAAGATGCTGACTACCGCAACATAATATCACGATCCGGCGCCCACCAAGTCGGGAAGCCAAGAGCTTGCAACCTGTCCTCGTATCCGGTTGTGCGCTTATTGGCTCGGCGGACAGGTATGGGTCGTGCATATGCGGCGGAGACTCGTAGCCGTTCACACGTTCGACACGAATAGCGAAAATATGTGTCTGCGGATTATGAAAACCCTAAGACGGACCGCTGAAGCCGTAGTGCTAATATACTGTAGAAGTGTTGAGTGCAATCCTGGCAAACCACATTTTTCGGAACCTCTTCGCGCTCCCATTGAGAGCAGATGCTCCGGGAAACCTTTTCAGAGAAAAATAAAAACTATGACTGTGGAACAGTCGGACAGAACTAGCGGAAAAAGGGTACCGTAAAGGCTGAAACTTTCACTGCAGAGAAGAACAGAGAGGATAATGTAAAAGAAGGTTCGACGAACAAAAAGACGATGTTATCGTTGTCAACGTCTGAACCTCAGAAGGCCATAAAGCAAAGTGAAAGGCTCCGTATGTGTCCAAGTGGAACACTCTTCCAGCTCTACAATTGATGTCACATGAAAGACGATCACATTCGTAAACAGCTCCAAGAAAGGACAAAAGGGTGTAGGATTAGAAGTAAACTTAGAATCGGACACGCTGTCGTGTTCATCAGGCAAACGTTCAACAGTGCGCCTTGTTCCATCGCACCAACAAGGGTCTTCTTTTGACGGCTCTTTTGGTGACATTTCATTGGGGCTCCCACTTTGTCACCTAAGGGACAAGGGCAGCTACGGTGCTTGTTGCGGCAAAACCTTTGCTATCCGGCTACCAGCAGATACTGTTCTGCATCACTCCTAGGAAACACAGTGCTTAAGGATGGATTTTGAACTTTCAACGAATAAAAGTGACATCGTTTCAGCTGCGAGGATGGAAAGAGAGGCGCCGAAGAAGGTGGTACAGTTGCATTGCAGAGGCCGCAGGCCGAGGTCTTCAGACGCCGCCCCTTCCTGCTCTGCGGTGGGAAAGGTGTTTAGCTGGTGTATGACCGGCTTGAGGTTGGAGTGGCATAAAGTACGGAAAGCAGTCGCTCATCTCGCCCATCTCTCTTCTCTCTTCTCTCCTCTCTCTCTCTGTCTCTCTCTGCGACGTGCTACTCGTGCGATTATCGATGACTATCGACGACTATCGACGAAGTAGCGAAGCTTGGGAGTGCTGAAATTCTGTCAAGAGATTTTCAGATCCCACCCACCCGCCCTGTGTTTCTGTTTTTCCTTGTTTTCCGTGCGGTACCACGCGGCTACTCCGGCGCTCTGCGACTTCGGAGCAGGCCCGGCGTGTGGCGCTGCGGACCGGGAATGGGTTGGGCA